AGAACCGCGTTGTACATATCAGTGACGAGTCGGAGATCAAGGGCGATACCTCTAGTACGCAGGTTCCATTCGACCTGCTGGTTGTAGGAGTTGGAGCTCAGAATGCCACTTTTGGTATGCCAAACTATCATACAGGCTGATGTGATCTGAGAGTCGTCGAGCTAACAGTTGCTGAACTATAGGTATTCCCGGTGTCCAGGAACATTCCTGCTTCTTGAAAGAAGTTGGTGATGCCCAGAAGATTAGAACCCGCATCATGGACTGTGTTGAAACTGCCATATTCAAAGATCAGACTCAGGACGAGATCAAGCGACTCCTCCACATGGTCGTCGTGGGTGGTGGTCCAACCGGAGTAGAGTTTGCTGGCGAACTGCAAGATTTCTTTAACGAGGATCTAAAGAAATGGATTCCGGATATCAAGGACAACTTTCAAGTCACCCTTGTTGAGGCTCTTCCAAATGTTAGTAACCCTTACTTGATACTCTCGAAGCCAGCACTGACGCTTTCTTAGGTTCTCCCTACGTTTTCAAAACAGCTGATTGATTACACCGAGTCCACTTTCAAGGAAGAGGCTATCAAAATCCGAACCGGTACCATGGTTAAGAACGTTACCGACAAATACATCGAGGCCCAGGTCACTAAACCAGACGGCTCCAAGGAGATTGAAAGAATTCCCTATGGCCTGCTGGTCTGGGCCACTGGTAATGCTGTCCGGGATGTAGTTCGTGACCTCATGAACCAAATACCAGCTCAGAAAAAGTCTCGACGCGGTCTGGCAGTCAACGAGTACCTCGTTGTGAACGGCACCGAAAACATCTGGGCAGTGGGTGACTGCGCAATCACCAACTATGCCCCAACCGCCCAAGTAGCCAGCCAGGAAGGAGCTTTCTTGGCTAGACTATTCAATACCATGGCTAAGACAGATCAGATAGAAAAGGAGCTCAGCCATCTGTCTGTCGCTCAATCAGAGGCCAAGGACGACTCAGACCGTAACAAAATATTAGACGAGATCAGAGCCCTCCAACAGCAAATGAGACGAATGAAGCAGGTTGGGCCATTCCAGTATTCTCACCAGGGAAGTCTGGCCTATATCGGCAAGGAGCGTGCTGTAGCGGACATCAGCTGGTTGAGCGGAAACATTGCCAGTGGTGGTACCTTGACGTATCTCTTCTGGCGAAGTGCCTACCTAAGCATGTGTTTTAGCAGTAAGTTTATGCATTCATGTCTTTCCTTACCGTCTACATAGGTTGCACATCAGAGGAGGGAAATTTGATCTAACATTTTCAATCTATAGCACGAAACCGCGTCCTTGTCGTCGTCGACTGGCTCAAAGCCAAACTCTTTGGCCGTGACGTCTCCAGAGAATAAATGCCGCCCTTCCATTCTTCCACCATCATAGATCTACTTTGTTCATTGCCATGACCCAAACCTGAAACCGCATCTCTTACCCACATCAAGCGTGTTATCCGTGAATCCACCACAAAAAGTATAGCCGAGGGCAAGTGCGTTTTGCTAATAATAGTAGCCGTAGGGACTAACTCTCTTTTTTACTTGTATGATATCATTCACTTGTCCCTTGACGGTTAAATCGCTATATATCCATAAAAAACTATGTTTCCTTATCTTCGTGTTTCCTTATCGTTTCGGTGGTGTTTGGGCTTTAAGTGTGGGTGGCAGTGCAGGTGGAAGGATATATATCTGAAATATCTATATCACGACGTTCTAATATCGCTTATTCTCATGGACATGTCACGTACTTCAAACTACCTTATTCCTACAGGGGGCTTTTTCGGGAACCGAAAGGAATATATGTTGTCTCAAGGAGTTACAGAATGAACAAAAGAAAAGAGTGCATGTAGATTGTTGATGGCGCCTTTGCAGACCCGTAGAACTCCCCTTGAGATGCCACCAGAATACCTCCGAAATCCCAAGTGAAGAGCTGTTTCGCCATATCCCACCTGAACAAAATAAAAAAACAATTTGTACACGAAATACTGAAGATCTACACGGCTATGCAAGATCTAATTGGGTATGTAAATATAGACAACGAATGGGGGATATGGAACCGCAAAAGAAGTAAATGGTATATGAACAAGTGAGCACAGTTAGCTGGAATGGTTTGTCCCGTGTCAGAAGGCTGCTTAGGTGGAAATAATGCCCACGGCAGCATTGATATGATAAAGGGAAGTAGACAAATCGATAGATTTTATCTAGCTATTGTTAAGGTGCGAGCGAGGGCGGCCTGCAGTAGCCGCCGTACCTGCTTCGATATCTCGAACGCTGTCACCGTAAGACTCGCGGTGGTTGAAGAAGGTCATGGAATTGTATGATGGTTCGATAGGGGTAACTTGTGTTGCCACGGACCATGGGTATTTTGATACCATGGACTCTGGTTGTGTGGTAGGTGTATTACGGGAATTCCGGTTCAAGGTGGAAGATGCTGACACCGGCCTGTCTCCCACGGAGGGCCGGTCTAGATGGAGTATAGATGATGAGTGTGTACTCGTCACCCTCGGGAAGATCTTGGGAGGCTTGTCGATTTCTGTTATGGTTTCACGGAGCAGAGGGCTGCCCCCGCTCCCATCTCGGTGATGTGTAGACAGCCCTTCTAGTTCATTATCCGTGCCCGTAGAAGGGTTTCCCCTAATATGGAGCTTCGGAGGTCGACTTCCACCTATAGAATTATGCCAGAATTTCCGTATACTTGACGATGACAGCATTCCTTGGGGCTGAGTGTATGGCTTTCCAACGTATGGTTTTGGTAGAGATGGTTTTGCAAAGGTGGATTCTGGATTCCATTCTAAGCCACCCTTTACGTTGGAAGTTGATTTTAATCCTTTTCCTGCCTGGATTATTTCTGATTTCCCAGTCCTTGTTGAAGCTTGACGTCGTGTAAATGTTGAACGGTATCGGGATCTTCTGCTTCGCCATCTAACAAACCAGAATAGTGATATTCCAACAACGATAACAGCTTCATAGACTCGTTAGCTCTGCTTGTACTGTTCGTTTATCGTTTATAAAATGAGTCATACCTATTACGGTTGTGATTAAGATTGCAACGCGAGGTGGCGGCTGACCACCAGATGAATCATCGTCCTGACTAGATTCAAAGGGAGCAATAGAGTCACCCGGTTCTTCGTCAACTCGTTCGAGGGCCATCTTCTCCAATGTAATATGTGGCATAACTGGGGGAATGCGGGTTGGGACCGAACGTATATGTTCGATATGCATATCTATATGGTATCTTGTCCTCCGTTGTTATACTTCTAGAAACCAAAAGGGAGATAAGAATCTCAAAGAATGCACTCCAGCCTTTACTCGAGTCTGGACTAGAAGCTTAGCTCTGTTTCGATGATTTATTCCCGGCAACACAGCACCTTTGTCTCTGTAATTGGTATCCTTGGGTTGAGATAAATGTTGTTTCCGTTATTCGATTACTGTTCCTCGAATTCGTAACCCAGCACAAGGGATCAATTAAAAGGAGATATATTCGATGCCGCGCGTCGACCTTACTCCTCTGGTTTTTGAGGCATGTGTGTATAATTTCAATCGAAAGGGGGGCTGTCTTTTCTCTGGCGCAGTCTGAAACAATGGCCCGGTCGTCCAAGCTCCCTTACACTTGGTACCAGAAACGTCGGAGTAATAACGATAGGCCTCACGAATGAGATAGAGGGTAATGAGAAGGAGGGGTATCAAAAGCTGATAATAACTCAGGCAAGATATAGATCTTCACACCTCTTACCAGACAAACTCAGGAGAGAAGAACGGTCTCAGGATATATCGGGAAACATAGTAAGGTATATAATCGAACTACACTCCGAAAGGGAGGGTGCAAGCGAGGAAGATTCGGCAATCGTCCCGACGAGTGAGGATTAGGGATGAATTTAATGCTTGCGAGAGATCGGTGGGGTGAAAAGCGTTGTTGGAAGATCTCAAAAGGCGCAGCATGCCGTTTATGGAGTATACATGATCGAGATGATGGTATATACGACGTATAGCAGCCGATGTGAATACCTAAGTAAGGGACTCCTGGTGCGGGGGGGGTATATAGGTTGGATATATGTGTAAACACACATATATAGGCTCATGACAAGCATCCTGCTGTCATGCATCTCAACTTCCGGGAAGGTCAAGCTTAACCAACAACTGGGACACCATCCACACCACAGGAGGCAGAAAATTCTCTTTGGGGATCCATGCCCCAGGACCGCAGGGGGCGGGAAGGGGAGGAAGGCAGCAAATAGGATGCAAAAGAAAGAACGAAGAGGACAACCATGACATCGTCGAAGGTGGTTGATAGTCGAAAAGAACACCAGGTAAGGAAAATGGAATTGAGGAAAAAGCAAAAGCGGTCTATTTTCTCGAAACAGATTTTCGGATCCCCTTGTATCAGCATGGTGGATTGCCGCCTGTAGCCATGAGCACCCTATTGGAAGAAAGCATTAAAAATAAGGGTCGAGCACGCTGCTAGGCAACCTTTGTCAACGGGTGTAAGAGAAAATGAGGGTCTGCCAGGAGGATGGGAGAAGCGGTAAATGTCCAGGACCGCCAGATATCCATAAAAAATATTTATAGATGTAGTGATGTATATCTTCCGTCCACATGGACGGGCATCTCCAGGAGGATCAAGCGCAGGAGTCGGTCTTCCGCACCGCTAAAACCTAGCATGACGCCAGGGAAGATTCTATGACCTCAAATACTGCTTATCATTTCTGGCTGCCCGCCCCCACAGCTTCTTGGGAAGCTGCTCGTGGCAAACAGTCATGCATGAATTACGGGCGATTCTCGCGGCATCGAGGCCCGTTTCCGGTGCTGGGAACGAGTCGGCGATGTTTCCCCCAAAGTTTGGAGCCCCCGAGGGATTGTCCCATTCGATCAAGGGTAAAAAAACCAAGGCGAGAGCTGGTCTATCTGGGGCTTCCCTGCCGAGATAATGTCCGTAATATATTGATGTCGCCCCTGAAACGGCGGTGCATTTGCACCCGAGGCCACGTTTCATGTTCGTCAGGGATTCGTGGCTTTCGCGGCCACGCTGATAGGCGAACGTAAGCAAGGATCGGTACAACGATCTCAGATGATGTTGGGCGGCCGATGGGCAGATATATGCCGGTCGATAGATTTGATAAAGTGTTCAAGTCCTGTTTGGGATGATATTCAGGCGTGTACAGAAAATTATATACAAGGGGGTAACAGATGCACATACGGAGCATTTTGTCATAGTAGGTAGGCAGTTCCGCCCGTTGCTTGCATTATTTCGCTGATCTACTACTGCGTATATCTTTGTCGATAACTGGCTTCAACCCAACATCTCGACCTGGTTCGCTCTCTTGAACGCTCTGTAAGAGAAAACAAGGAAAAAGGCGCCATTGGCAATTTGTTTCGCGACAAGCAAAGTATGATGTGATATCAAAACGAAAACAAAGGGGAAGGGGGGGAATGGCTACTCAGCACTCCTCGGTTTCTCCTAGAATCTCCCAATCTCACTAGTTTAAACGCGTCTATTTAGCTCTGGGATTTCGGCTCTCGGATCATGCAATACAACTGGACAATGACCGGTCAGCATTTCACCGATAATCGATGAAGTATCGATTGATCAATGGAAAAGGTACTCACCTTGCAAGTCTCCCCGTTATCATCACAAACCATGTCCCTGATCAGCTTAAAGCCGAATCTTTCGTAGATCTGGATATTTGGGACCTGTTTTGAACTCTCCAGGTAGCAATTTATTCCCTCTTCGTCTGCCTGCTGGGTCACGATGTTGACGAGTTGTCTTCCGATACCCTTACCATGCACTTCTGGTCGAACGGCAACCACATTACAAAAGTAATACCCTCTCTCATCTGTCCAGAGTTCATCCTGGACATTTGCCTGTGCCTCTTTCCAAATCCTGTATCGTTGTACACGCAGGCCTCCGCGACCCATAAAGCGGATGTTGGTCAGGAGTTGACGGAAGCTCAGGAGCCATGTTTGAAAGTATGTAAACCAGCTGTCTGGTTTCGATCGCGGCTGGGGTAATAGCCACATGGCAACGCCGACGACGCGGGCAGGGGATGCTGAGGACGATTTGTCTCGTAAAAGGCTCGTTCGTTCATGAGGCTCTTGAAGTCCCTTTTGGTCATCAGGCATGTCACTGGCCGACGGGACTTCTCTCGCTACGTAGAAAAGACCATTTTTGATCCCCCATAGGCATCGATTTGTTAGAGAAACATCATTTCTGTCTTTTGAAAACTGCAGGAGAGATTTGTCGAAGAGCCACTCAGGAGCTCTCGCGGATGAAGAGGAGAGAGAACAGCCAAAACTCGCCCTCTCGCTGACTCCCCTCTCCGGTCCGCGAAACAATGTACTATGGTCAGCCTGATCATTTCGTCTTGAGATATTCTTTTTCTCTTGCATATAGGTCTTCGAATATCGGGCTCTTTCTTTCTAAATACTTGGAGTTTATAAAGAGGAGAGGATATGGCCTGGCGGTTATATGCATGTATAGCTACTTGGATATTTCCACAACCACACCCACATCTCTCGCAAGTGCGCAGACAGTACGTACCTTTGATACATCAAATACCCAGTTAAAATAGGGGTCATCAGCAAAGCCTGTCTGGACACATTCGATTGCGCCAGGGATATCTTCTTTGGTCATACGTCTGATTTCCACTAACATTTTGACAGTATGCATTGGCTATGGCAAGGTTGACTATTCCGCCTTGAAGTATTATTTAGTTTCAAAAGCTGATCGAAGAAGTCGATTTTCCTTATATCAAGTCGGACGAAATATGTGGACGTTGTGTACGGAGTACTGTGCGTGTACAGCGTTGTTAAATGCTGGTGAGGGAAGCAGGATTTAGTAGGGCTGTGGTGATAGGGATGATCAAACTGACGCTTAACACGGCTTCATATATAAATACGTAAGGGCCAGGCATTCTGGCTGCGAAGCTTGCAAAAGCAAACATCGCCCATCCGTGTTGGCTGCCTTGGCCTTCTTTATAACCAAAGCAAACTAACTGTCTCCACTTGCTTGCTTGTCATGCGGTAGGTTCGCGTTCCCTGTCATTTTCATTGGCGAATGGTGCCTTTTTGGTTTGTGCAGTTTATCAACCGACAATACGATTATATCAATCCAGACTGCATGTTCCCCGTGCACATGAGATGTTGATATTGAGCGCCAAGTCTGTGCTCGGTGATACGTGGATAATTAGTTGGATAGTTAGCTGGTTAACACACTGCTTTCAACGATTTAAGGCGTCTTGGCGTGGCTGTTGATAGTGTTTCTCAACAGGTACAGCAACCGCCGTTTGATGGGTTTGGATCACTCAGCCCTCATATCTATCGGCATGGTGTGAGAGCGGCCGGTAAGTCACAACTCGTCGACCAATTTGTATTAGCCGTTCTTCCACGAGATCAGTTTGCCCTGGAACTGACGTCAATTTCCGTATGGAGGGCTATTCTGTATCCTAGGAAGAATAGATGGTACCTCTGCACCAGGACTTTACCTCAAAAATAACCTCCCTGGTCTATTAATAGTTAGCACGCCTTGACTATTGGGACTGGCCTATCCTTCCCACCGCCTCACTGTTGCTTCCGTTTAACTTTGAGATAAGGGTGTGTTGGTTAGAAAGAGGTTGTTAACTTTGGGCATGAAATAGGGCGTGGAAAAGAAAACACAATGGCGGATAAGGGTAGTTAGAGGAAGAACGTATCGTCCACAGCATGAGCCCTGATGATGCCAAGTAAGCACCATATCACGTGAATGTTGCTATTACATAACCAAGTGGCTTAAAGTCGTGGAAACTATTGGCCGTCGGGTTGGTTGCGATCAAGTCACATGAAACAGTTTTCCCTCAACTATATGGGTCGTTATCAAGCATATATATGTCTATGACGGTGTTCAAGCTTGTGTTGGGTATTACTATGGGCACATTGTTGCCTTATATTCCTACTGGCACTGCAAATATCCCTCGCAGTTTATATAAGCAGCATTCGCAAACCACCATGACGTAGGAAGGATCAGTCTAGATTAAGGGCTAGATGATCAGATAACTGGTTTTGCCGCAATATCCACGCACTGGAGTCTGGGGGTTTAACCACCGCTTCTTTATGCCCACGAAAGCTTGATCAGCCTTGTTCAATTCCCCTGCTGGAATCCGGAATGAAGAAGCTGATGGTCTATATCTTCCATACTCAAACACTGCTCACATGAAATTCCATGCTCTAATAAGAACTCCTTCGTGATGGCCCCTTGCTTGTGCTACAAAATTCGGTACTAGAACAAGTAATCATACGACAGGCTGCTAAGCAGTTTAGAAAACTCTTAAGATTTGCCTGTTATATTCTATCTATTTAAATGACCGCGTAAAGCCAACCTCCTTCCTTGTTATGCAGGTTTATTTATATGCTTAATATTTATTTATGTTTACATAGGCCAGGTCTTTCGTTTAACAGGATCTCATCTTTTGCTAACTTTCTTGAAATGCGCTCAGCAACTCCTAAAACAACCCTTTTAGGTAAAATAAGTTATAAACTTTGAAAGAGCCTCATAGCAGTATTGAAACCTACTCTGAACGAAGACACACATACGCTCCTAGAGTAACCAACTCCTAAGTCTACTTACTTACCTACACTAGTCCTTGACAAAAGTTTAATATTGCTAGCTACCGGATTATCGTGTCAAATAAATCATGAGAGATTGCAGACTTGTATTCGTGGCAATGGCAGCATATCACCCCACATGTAATACTTGCTTGCTTTATTTCGGATTATGAGTATTTCGAAGAGCCACAGTCTAAATAGGCTCACCGCTGTAATATAAATCGGTTCTGGTATCTTGTACTGGAGCTCCTCACCTTTAAGCAACAGCCAACAGTACGCCTGGGACAGAACAATTAAACTCATCGCTCATAAAAATCGTCAATATAGACAAATATAAATACAAAGAGATGCAAGTAAATTTATGCATTCCGCCCTGGCAAAGGTGGAACATTGGTCAAGCATTCCCTAGGAATATCCATACTACGGTGGACTCTTCCGCCAGGAGTCAGCGGTATATCAACCCGCCCGCTTCCTCGTACATTATCATCGTATTGTCCCTCTCGCGCATGCGCGAGGGCAAAAATAGTCAGCAATCTCGTTGTTCCCTGATTCGCTGGAACAGATGGTTGAATATTCAGGCGGGGGGCTTAGAATAGGAGGTGGTGGAGGGGGAACAGACTCGAATGGTGGAGGGTTAAACGATGGAGCCCGCAAAAAGTGGACGGGCCGGGTTGGTGGATCATTGTAGTGGTTATGCTCCTCTTGATGTTCATCGCTTCGAGAAGTATCATTTGACTCGCTAGTAGTTGTAGGGGATGGCACGCCTTGGTCTGTAAATGAAGGTGGTAAGGAGAGCGTAGGGTTCAGGTTCACGTCATGCGACAAGGCCACGGCATCCGGGCAGCCGCACTCATATTCATCTGTGTAGTAGGATGACGGTGAGTTGTAGGAAGGCACATAAATATTTGAAGCATTCGCTTTGCAAGACGTTATACAAAGCGGCGAGTCAATAGAGATGTCGAACTGGCGCCTTCTTTGAGGTGACCCATTATCCCATTTTGATAGACGGAAGACAATCTGTATTTATTGATAAGTCAGCGGTTGTATCTCTAGATGTAAGAGGTCTCGGCTTACCTTAACGGAGTGAGATATTTCAATGCTTGAATATTGCACATCGCAATGAAGTTTCATTGAGGGGTCTGTCATTTTCTTCATAGCTGGGCAGCTCGGCAATTGTACCTCGCACTCTATCTCTGTTGTGCCAGGGCTGAAACCATCGTGACTGATGTTTCCTAGGAAATTATGTGCACCACTTGCTAGATCTTCGCCGTTGGGTGCAATTTGCTCGTCTCCTCCAGAGAGACGCATTGTGCTTCCCGAATAGATGCTTTTGCTGGGCATACCAGCTCTTTTCTCAAAGAGGAGTAGCATCTTATCACTAGCCACGCGGTGAGCTTTTCTATTATGAGCCCATAGTTGAACCTTCTCCGTTATGAAAACACTAATACGGTGGCAGCCAACTTTAGCAAATGGTGTAAACTTGATTGCTACCGGTATCTTTGAACCCAAGGGGAATGACTTTCCCGTTATAACGACATCGTAGTGTAGCTTGTTATCCCACGTTCTGCTGATTGCAATGGGTTCAATATGCTCCAAACAGTCATCGCCTGGAGTGCGGATGAGGGGTATTTCCTTGATGCCAATAAGATTCGGGCGAAAGGCGCCAGTGCGCTCGACCACAGCCTCAAGCTCGTATTTTACCGATGCGTGATCCCATTTAACAGTTTCCGGATATCGATGCTCCATCGGTATCTCAAAGTTGTACATATATTCGCCTGGTGGGAATGCCTTATAACCTTTCTGGCCCATGATATCCGATATCAAATTTGTCTCACCCTTTCCAAAGCTATTCGACCGCGAGTGGTGTAGCGAAAGTCTTTTGAGCTCCTTTGGTAGTGATGAAGATGATTCCAACAAACCGGCTATGTCGACAACAGGGCTGTTTTCAGACCCTTTGTCCCTCGGGTTAGTGAATTTGATATGATTTGCACCATAGCCCTTCCTAGCAGCGCGGGAATGAGCATCGAAGAAAGCCCAATTTAGACTGATGACAGTCTCTGTATCTCTTGTTCTTTTCCTGTTCCCGGGGATACCTGCATTCAGTTTAGCTATACAGACTTCTATATCTACTTTAGATTTTGGTACAAATTCGTATCACATACCTTCGGGCCATAGTGTCCTAGCTATACCCTTGAAGCCGAGGCTTATCCTCTTGATTTTGGTAGGCTTTGTAATTTTGAGATGTAACGAGCCTGTAAGCACACGCTTCTTGTCCGAAGACACCCTTTTGTCGACCCGTTCGAGGTAGAGCACCGGTTCAGCGAGCCCGATTAAAACGACTATGCCATTTCCGGACGCTACTATACGCTCATGAGGGAATGATGGAAGGACAGAGTTTGGTACCGGAACTGAGTTGCTTTCTGACGATTTCAAGGAGGCCGAACGCGAGAAGGTCTCTCTCCGAGGGGTATCTGCGAGCTGTTTAGCATGCTCTTCGAACGTACGTTCCACCTCAGAAGGGCCCGCGATTGTGTTGTTGACGATGCGAGTAGGTGAGCAGTGATCACCCAGGGACCTGCTGCTGGTAGAGGAACACAGACTAGGACTTGTATCTCTGGAGCTCTCCTTCATTATCAGGGAACGGCGAACGAATCGCTTTCCATGGTGTAGGTAGGACGCCAGTTTGACGGCTTGTAGTGTTGTCCTATCGTGTTGTCGGTCTCGTTGTTTATAATATCCGCCGCAGGGGTAGCTATAGAATTGGCGTGATTGCGGCGAAAGAACTCTCGGAGGTACCTCGGTTTGTCAGGGCCAATTGAATGTTATACCGTGTTTTGGGCCGAACAAACAAGCAGCACTTCTTCCCGTAAATCAACAAGTACGCCGAAAACAAACTCCAAGAGCTATGTACAGCAGCAATGAGAGAAACGGATGCGCCTCTATGCAGGAGAAAAAAATGAGGAAGATGATGAAGTAACAAGGGTGGGGAGGCTTGTTTTAGGCACACTATATATAAAGGAAGTGTATTAGCAGAACCGCCACCAAGCGCTGTCACAAGACACTAAGCTTGTCATTGAATTCGACCCTTCTACGGAAGACAAGGAGGTGACAAACCAGTGGAACCTAGACGGCGAAGAACCGTTTAGTCTCTAGATTCAACCATGGAACAGGGAGGTGTCGACCGTATTCTGCAGTCCAGCTGTTCCAAACGATGGGAATCTAGATCATGTAAATAAAGAATAACAAGAAATTGGAGGCAACTTTCGGCCCAAAAAAAAAAGGCGATAGAAAGTGCCTGTTATTTTATCTTTCCCTGTGAATGGAGGTGAGAAAAATATAAAAGAGTCAGTTTTGACAAGGATTTGGGCCAATTGACGCTGCGAACTACACGCGAAGGGGCTCCAGCGTCATCGTGCAGTCGGGCAGCCGTCTTCTTGGGTCTCTTTTATTATCTGCCTCTTGTCTGTGGGGACACCAGCAAGGAAGCTCTGTTTGTTGACGAAACCCTTAAGATTTGTCAATAAAGTGAGACCTGGCTCCTCCGCGGACAATGTAAGTTTGGACCGCATTCTGTTCGAGCTGCAAGGTCTCACGTTAGCTATCGATGCTGTCAGGAAGAAATGGCACGAACTTGACTGGCTGGAGTTTGAATGCCGGCTTCGACCATTTTGCATGACCCAGGTCTGAGGGACTCCATGGTTTCATCCTCCTTTTCTCCGGACCCTGCACGCTCGCTCCCCAGATTACACTTGCGTGGCATCTCGTCGCGGGATGCAGAATTTATAAAAAGCTGTCAAGCTGTCAACCTGCATTTCTTTCTCGCGACGTTGAAAGGGACGAAAGAGGAAGCGGTCCCGTGACGCTCCTGATTAGGCAACATTCAACATCTTCTCTCGAAATGATATGGATCAGTTTTTTTATCTCAATATTGAATAGATTAACTATATTGAATACAGCCACAGGAGACAGCCTTTTCTGTTCCAGAGTACTCGTGATGATCTTTGTCGTCGCAAATACAAGGGCAGCAGGATATTCTCCTCCTTGATACTCGTCAATTTGCCCGTCCTGGAGTCTCGACCTGTGAGTCACATAAAAAAGGGTCATCAGGCATCCATAAATTTTGCAAATTGAATACATCTGCACAATTAAAGAGGAGAAAAGATCAAAAAAAGAGAGACAAAAACGGTAAAGAAACAGTATGACGAATTGAATACACTGCATCCCTGTCCCTGCTGGCTCTCTCGGGGTTGTCATGTCTGTCACAACTGTGGCAAGGGAGCAGGGGCAAGGGGAGTGAATGGGACGGCATGGATGAAAAACTGTTGATTGGTTTCTCACTTGGATAACAGATTGTAAGTATATGGATGTGCTTGCTTATGCACCTCGTAGCACGGCTCATCATCGCTAGCTGCGACGTTTCGACCTACCTGGCGGCCGGCCTCGGTGAGGACGTTGGTGATAGTACCAAGAGTGTAGGGGGTATACCAGTCACGACCTGTACGGAGTAGATGACCGTGTTATCAGGCTGTAGGCAGGATTTGGATTCGGCGAAGTTCGGAATATGCAAGTTAGTGCATCATGGCGCACTGTCTGGTTGACTTATCTCCGACTGGACGATAGAACCATTTTCTGACCGATATTGAACCGATTGGCTGTTGTATGTGGGATCTAAGTATATCTAATGGGTTCTCGATCGACGAGAACATTCACTTGAAGGACGTTGGAATAGCCATCAGGTTGATTCCTTTTGTTTAATATTTTTTTATACTGTTGATATAATACACAGTGAAAGGCGTGTTTATTCATATATGGAGAACTGCCGCCACATCGCTTCTGTATGATATCACGCTAACCAGAACACTGTTCGAGCAACTATTTACTGAAACCACGAGTCATCAAGTTCTGTTGTCTCGGCAGTATTCATCATCAAGTCATCAGCGTCACCGCCAAAGTCTCCAGACCCTACGAATAAGTCATCAAAATTCGATTCAGGCACATCGTCCATCACTACATCACGCCGGGGATTCTCTGTCGTAGAATTATTCCTGTTCTCTGCATTATTCTGGTTGTTCTGTTGAGTGCTGGACTGGCCGTTAGCTTGGCCATTGGGCTGTCCGGTTGACGGCAGAAGGTCCAAGATAGCCTCATCACCGGCGTTGGCGTAAGTTTCTAATCCTGGGAGAAGCGAACCTATTGAGCCTGAGGTGTGACTGATATTACTCTGAGTGTGCGCCATGGGCTCGGCCGTGATAGGCTGTACATTGGCTGGCATATCAGGGATGGTAGTGTCTGGTATACCTTCAGTTGCAGCAGCAGGAGGTTGAGCTGGTTGTGTGGTTGTCGTTAATGCCACCTGCACTGGCGCTGTGGTGACAGATGGCGACGTTGTAGTGGGATTCATCACTGGTATTGCAGGTGATGACGCTGCAGGCTGTGCCTGTGCTTGTGTGTCTGCTGGCTGTGTGATGGGAGCGGGAGCGGATGTAGAAGTCAGAGTCGGCGACTGTGTGGTCGGTTGCAGAGGTCCATCGATGACTGGTGCATTCGTCGGTTGGACCGCTGATGGAGCTGTTGATGGAATAGGCGCTGCATTTGTAGTTTCGGACGTAGCTGGGAGTGCTACTGGAGAATCAGCTCCCCCTTGTTGAGCTCTGTTCAGCTCCGCCTTCTTCTCACGGATATCCTGGTAGTCTATCTCCAGCAGAGCTTTGGCAAGAAACTAACCAAAACGGACTATTAGAATGGATTTATGACACAAGGGGCGAATTGGAGAGAAAGTGGGTTGGGGAGATGTACGATTTCCTGTTGCAGCCGGTCAAGAGCCCGCTGGAACTGCTCATGCGCTGCCGGAATATGACGCTTCAGCTCGTTTGGGTAACGCTCTGGATTACGGAACCAGCGCCCTGTAGCCACCATCTAGACAGAGTTAGCTCTATGTTTCAGTCTTCTCGGGTGTGTGTCTTGAAGAGTACCGTCTTGTTGGCCATGGCCGTCATCTCGACCAGGGCCTCCTCACACGACTGTCTGCGGGCCACCATCTTGAGACTCGCCCGCCAAACTACAGTGCCTGTATCTTCTGCAAGCTCGTCTGGCCTTCCCGAGATGGAAGGTGTCTGCTGGGCGGTATAAATCTTGTGCGAAGGACTCCCCTTGCGCCGGACGAAGCTAGGAAGAAGCTTTGATAATGCTGGGATGGAGCTCCCGGGTTTGCTGGTTCCGGTGGGGATAGTAGGTATAACGACGACGGTTTGCAGGAGGTGTCAACAACGGCGGATATCTCAGCAAAGACGATCGATGCCACAGAGCGGTATCCGAGAACTATTGTTCATCGAGCAGACGCTGCAGAGGGAAAATGGGATCGACGACGTCAACTTTTGCTGTCTCTTGGGCGTCATCCATGAACCAGGGAAAAGCGTGTCACATGACCACCTCGGGTGCCTGTCAAAACATGTCACTGTGTCCCCCATTCTTTCTGGCCCAGGCATAGAAGCAGTCCGTAGGGGGGCCGAGGCGAGCAGAAACAAAACAAATCAAACAAACAAACAAAAAATTAGGGCAGCAGCTGGAGGAGTAAAGAAGCAGCAGCGGTGGGCGAGGGGCGGAAGGCTGCAGAGCGAGACGGAGAGGAACTACAAGTTAAGTCACTTCACTAAGCAACTCCGCAAGTGGTAGCAAGAAGGGTGTTGGCGCTCTGCTTAGTCAACCGTCGAACAGCGCAGAGGCCGCCTTTTATTTCTTCTCCGTCAACTTCAACTTCAACTTCAACTTCTCTTCCTCCTCCTCCTCCTCCTCCTCCTCCTCTTTCTTCCTCACCACGAAGCGCTCTCTGCCTCTTCATCTCTTTCTTCTCTCTTCCTCTCTCTTCTCCTTGCTTTTTCTTTGCCCGCCCTGTCTCCTTGTTCCTCCGTGTTTCCGTGTTTCCTAGCTGCGTGTTGTCCTTCTGTAGCTTCGTCTCCTACTTCTTTCTCTCAGTCCTGCCATCTCTCTTGACTCTCTCTTCTCTTTTCTTCTCTTTGCTCTCTCTGGGCTCTCTCTACATCTCTCTATCTCCTCGGCCCGTCTTTTAGCAGGCTCGAGTCACTGCCATTGAACCGGCTCTTCTTGTCTGTCTATTTTTTTCCACTCGCCCCGTCCATCTCTCCTCCCGCCCGCAGCTAGATCAGATCAATTTAAACAGAAAAGAAAAGAAAAAGCAGACAGGGAAGCAAAAAAGAAAAGGACCCCAGAAAAGACCGTCGTTTTGTGCGTATTATCTACCTTCTTTTCTCGTCCTTCTGCATCAGAAAAAAAAGAGTCCAATAACTAAGATATTTCTCTTCTCCTTTCCCCAGTGTGGCCGTTCGATGCACTTGAGGGCCCTTCCAGAGTAACAGGGGTTATTTGTTCTGCTTGTCTCTTCTCCCGTCTTTCTCACTCTTTCTATCTGGAGACCTCACTCTCTCTCGGCCTCAAACGCAAAGAGTAGCTAGCTAGCTCCAGCCTCATCTTCAACCGCCTGCCTTTTCCCACACACACCAAACACAAAAACCACACACCACAAACATCCAACCTAAACACCAAAAAAAAAACTACACATACAGCTCGTCGACCCATCTCGTAGTCTTCCAGCCCGGCACACTCGTCCAGAGGCTCCTTCGATCTCTTCGACTCGTCCAGCTTCGTCATTTCGTCCTTGCAATGGCTGACAACGCCCCACCAGCGACTTCAACTTCGCTTCCTCCCCCTCCCCATCAGTCATCTGCCGGTGCTCCAGGCCAGCAGCAGCAGCAACAGCAGGGACAGCAACAGCAGTTCGACAACTCCCAGGGAAATGGACAGACAAACCCGTCACACATGCCACCGCCACCGCTGCCGCCGGTTGTCATTCCGCAAAACACCAATCCGATTCCGACGGCAATCACCTCGCCCATGTCAGGCAACATGATGTCGCCCACCGCGGCTGGCGGTTATGTGCGTCGTTCTGCTCCTGAGCCCAACAAGCGAGCTCTTTATGTTGGTGGCCTTGATCCTCGCGTCACAGAAGACATCTTGAAACAGATTTTTGAGACCACTGGCCATGTCCAGAGTGTTAAGATCATTCCCGATAAGAATGTGAGTCAACACCTTTTACTACTCTACCTTTCAGACCTGTATCTCCCCTTTACATATGTCTTATATATGTTTATCTCCATCTTATTACTTCTGCTCTTCTTCCAGTTATTGTTTGTTTACTTGTTTACTCTATAAACTTTTGCTATCTTTCTAATTCACTTTCCACTAACCTAGACACCCGCACAGTTCCAGAGCAAAGGCCTGAACTATGGCTTCATAGAATATGATGACCCTGGCGCGGCAGAGCGTGCGATGCAGACCCTTAATGGCCGCCGTGTTCATCAATCAGTATGTGTTTATCTATTCCTCTTCAGGTCGGTTGATTAGCCCTGGGGCTAAATATCGGTTATAGGAAATCCGCGTTAATTGGGCTTATCAGTCCAACACCGCTTCCAAAGAAGACACCTCAAGCCACTTCCACATCTTTGTCGGTGACCTGAGCAACGAAGTCAATGATGAGGTTCTCCTTCAGGCTTTCTCTGCTTGTGGTTCAGTCTCTGAGGCTCGTGTAATGTGGGACATGAAGACCGGTCGATCTCGTGGCTACGGGTTCGTTGCTTTCCGTGAAAGAGCTGATGCTGAAAAGGCCCTCAGTTCCATGGATGGCGAATGGCTTGGTTCTCGTGCTATCCGCTGCAACTGGGCCAACCAGAAGGGCCAACCTTCCATCTCCCAACAGCAAGCCATGGCTGCCATGGGCATGACGCCTACTACTCCGTTTGGTCACCACCATTTCCCTACCCACGGCGTTCAGAGCTATGACATGGTTGTCCAGCAGACTCCCCAGTGGCAGACCACCTGCTACGTCGGAAATCTCACCCCCTATACTACCCAGAACGACCTCATTCCATTGTTCCAGAACTTCGGTTACGTTGTTGAGACCCGCTTCCAGGCCGATCGTGGCTTCGCTTTCGTGAAGATGGATACCCACGAGAATGCTGCCATGGCCATCTGCCAGCTCAACGGCTACAACGTCAACGGCCGTCCTCTCAAGTGTAGCGTACGTTGACTCAAATATCTTTTCTCCTTTCTTCCTGCTCATCTTTAACTTTCATCCCGCCGTACTAACCTTGTGGGTCTCCCGTCTTCAGTGGGGTAAGGACCGTCCGCCAACCGGCCAATTTGACGCATATTCGCCTCAGCAGAGTGGAAACCCGGCCTTCAACTCTGGTACTTCACCATACTTCCCTCAATACGGCGGCCCGGGTGGCCCAATGACTCCTCAAGGTAAACCTTTATCCCAAAATTGCCACTCCTATCCCTGCCCCCTTTGGGCTCTGCTAGTCGCCTCTTGTGCGACTTAATCCCCTTTATCGAGAGCAAAGCACGCTAATTCGTCACACAGGTGGAATGCCACCAGCCCAGGGCTACCCTCAAGTCCAAGTTCCTGTGCAGGGAGGTCCAGGGGGCCCTGGAGGCCCTGGAGGGCCTGGTGCCGCCTCTGCCGGCTACGGCCGTGGCCAGTCCAACCCTCCTTCTGCCGGATGGGCTCAACAACCTAACAACGGCGTTGGCGTTGGCGGTGCTGGTGGAAACTTTGGTAACGGTTTCGGTGGTTATCAGACTTAAGCTGTTGCTCCTACTATTGTCCCTTTGCCTCCTACCGACCCGCACACCCTACCCATGCCTCGATGCATTGCATACCGCACAGACCCGACCTATCCTGCATCCGATTTCTGATCATTATTACGATTATCATCATTCTTGAGCGTAACTTCTTGGTTTGGTTATCGGGCAGCTCTGTTATTCTTTCTTTCGATTGGTTTTATCTTCTTTCCACCTTCTTTTACCTTTCTGTTAAAACCTTTCTTTTTATTCACTGACTGACTGCCTGGCTTGGATCTTCCTGTTTCGACTTTTGGCCTATTGTCTGATTTACCCATTCTCCTTGTCTTCCTTTATCAACTCTCTTCTTCACCTCTCTTTTGATCAGCTTCTTCTCCTTTGCATCCACGTTCGATTCTTCCCAGATTGCCATTGGTATTCATGCTCAAAGTAAGGTTTTTTTATTTCTTGCTGGGGTTTTTTCATTCCATATTCACTTCACGTCTTCTATCTATGCCTGCAGCTGGCTTCCCCCTGTGTTCTATCCATCTCCTGTCTGTGTGTCTCCTGAAATGAAACCCTCGGCCCCAAGCTTATAATCAACGAATACCCCTTTGCCCCATTATCCTAAATTGGTTTTTCCTCACCGTATGCTCTTGTCTTCTGCGTTTTACCCTCCCCACCTTTTTTCTTATTGGCCTTTCTTCTTAGCGCTCTCATTCCGTTGGTCTTGAACTTCACCTGTCTTTCCTTTATGATGACTGAGACCTTTTTTTTTACCACTGATGTCTCCTTTCTCTTTCGCCCTCTGTCTTTTTTGCCATACTAAATCTCCTCTCCCGCCATTAAACAATCCTAACCAACAGCAGTTGATGCCTGAAGTTGAACTGAAAAAAAGCGTTTAAACCCCTTGGCTCCTTGCTTACCCTGTCGTTTTTCTTCCGGTCAAACAGCCTGATCATGATTCTCAGGTCTATCCCTTTTTCTTTTTCTCAACCTTTCTCTCTTCTTCTCCTTCTACCCTGTGCTTTTCTTAGCTTTTACTTCTCGACTTCAACTTGTCTTCTTATATCTATTCATCACAGTTTGAATTGACTTGATTCCTTGGGGTTTTCTGCTCGTTCATTCATTATTCCTCCATCCATACAGTCATATGGATGCGTGGGAATCTCATCTATCTTCTACCCGCTCCTATCTATCTATCTATCTATCTATTTCCACTTCATCAGGTGAGGATGTGAAGCAAAAACGAGTCTCTTTCATTAGCGGTCATCAGTTTTACTTATGATACCCCATTTCCTTCCCGTCCCCATTTTCGAGGACGCTAATGATCGTGATGACTTGATGACTTTCATATGGTATGATAAAAATGTGCATTCTTCCCAGCAAGCAGCGATCTTTGAAGCATTGTCTCCTTTGGGTTATCTATTTACTATAACTACGTTGTTCTGTTCCTGGGCTCCATAAATACAGATTGATAATGCCAGATGTAGCACCATCCTTCCTCGGCGGTCGTGCATTGTGTATATACTACCTAATGGCAAGACCCGGCGGGCCCAATCTATCATTCAGCCATTCTCGCCTACCATACCAGATATCTACCTGTCCACCGGCTATTCCGCTTCCAAGCCGTAGTAGATGCGTGCTTATACTTCTATCCATCTATCTGCCTTCTCTCAAGGAAACTATCAAAATAAAATAAAACAAGCAACGTTGCCAAGCCTCGCCATCGTTCTCCCCACCAAACTCAATTTCATCGAACTAAAGCGAAGGCAGATTTCGCCAGCGGAAGACGACGACGTGCACCCGACACCGCGCTACGGCTCTCTAGATACCTCCCAGTTCAATAATAGCCTGCTAATTACTTCTATAGACGTGTTACTCTTACGCTTGCTCCCTTTGATGGGAGATGGGAACGCAGAGACGCGACTCGACGGGGCTGCCGGGCCACGACTAGGGGGGAGCTTTGCGCCAGCCAACCTTCCATATCACAAGAGAAACAGTGCCGGTAGCACAAGACTGCCGAGCTTGCTGCCGTCGAGATTTACTTTCTTGCGCATGAATTCCGCTAACGTCACGAAAAATACACATGACAAGGCCGAGGGCGAAGAGGAAGCAGACGGGGACGAGATCGATGGTGGCCTTGACATCATGCGGACAACAGGACAGCAGACCGGAGGGCAGAGGTTAAAGGTGCCAGACAGAGCTATTGCCAGCGTCCTAAACCAGCAAAGAAGGAAGACGCGGAGAAGAAAAGGCTCGTTGAGGAAAACGGCTTTACTTGGGACGGGTATGTTGCGGATGGAAGGGAAGGAGAGATTTGCCAGTGGCGGTACAACACTGAAGCGAGCAACAGGGATCTTTCTCAACCAGTACGATGGACCGGCAGAGACTGAGGGGCATAAGAGCAGAGAGGAAGAGGAGCTTGAAAAGGATGGGGATGCGGGTCGTGAAGCTGCCTCTGTTGTCACAAACGACAGCAAGAAGTTATCTCGGCTTCAACGACAGCTCTCAACGTCATTTGACGAGGGTGAGTCTACTCCCCGACGATATAGTCATTCGAGCACGCTTGCTGCGGATCACGAAAGTTCCTCCTCTGCCTCTCCCTCTTCCTGGAACCGGAACCAGTGGAAGCAACAACAGCAGGGACAGCAATTGCAGCACACGCCGACAAACAGTGGCTCCTTCTCGAATACCGCGCAAGTAGGACAATCAAGTGCAGCAAACTCCGTCCAAGATGATGGCACAACGGATGATGAAGACGGACTCTCGCTACCGCGACTGAATACCTCGAAACACTCTCGTCTGTCGAGCAAAACTAGCAACAGCAGCATATCGGCCTCTCCTGTACTTCCTCCTCGACGTATGCCGCTGACGGCTCTACAAACAACTGTTTCATCTAGTTCAGACTCCTTCTTCAAACATTCCAACACCATGGCACAGATTTCACGCTCGTCTTCTCAGCGTATTCGGTCACCACTAGCTACTTCAAACACTGCCGAAATCACCAGTACCTCAGAGGTATGGGATTACTCTGAGACCGAGTGGTGGGGATGGATTATACTGATAGTCACCTGGCTGGTGTTTGTCGTCGGCATGGGTAGCTGTCTTGGGGTATGGAGCTGGGCGTGGGATGTTGGAGAGACTCCATATGCACCACCAGAGCTGGAGGATGATGCCACCCTTCCAATTGTAGGGTATTACCCTGCCTTGATCGTCCTGACAGCTGTTATGGCTTGGGTTTGGGTGATAGTTGCTTGGGTGGGCATGAAGTATTTCCGACATGCAAATATATCAGGGGACGATACGTGAGCATCAGCTGCACGCACTACAGCATCCTATACCCTTTCTTGGCGCATATCCATGCCATGATTATCTTATCTTTTCTTTTATATTGATGAGCATTTTTCTAACGGTATTTGGGACGTGGACGGTTGGCTGCATTGGATGTTAAATGTGGAAAGCTGGAAATGACATCCACGAATTGACATTATATCGATCTATATACCCTAGGAGTTGCTGGAGAAGGGAAATGATAATATATAAGAATGAAAAATAAAAAGAAACTAGATCTTCAACAGTCGCCATAAAATGAGAACAACATGGGTATCCAAACTAGAGTAATATCATACCTCAATAAACGAAATACGGCCCCAAAGGAAGAGAGCGAAACGATGGGGTATCAACTATGCGATGGAGCAAATTTTGCAGAATGACTGACTAGGAAGGGAGAGCGACCCCATTAGTATTCCGATGCATCTCCAGGGTTAGGCTGTCTATGTCCCTTCTAGCTCCGCAAGCAGTTATGACAGTATTTGCCGGCCCATTAGGTCTAGGGACGCCTTCGCCTTCAGGAGCAACGGTGGTTCCGGGGGCTTTGCTTACAAGTCCCTTCGAGACCGCGAACCCGGAAGATCTGTCATGATTTGGATCCCCGTCATAAAACTCGTCTATGATAGGATGAATGAGCACGTTTTGTTTGTGGATCGTGAGAATAGAGTTTGTCGGGACAGTAACCCAGTTATCTATAATTCAACATGGTCAGAATTGGTAATGCCACACTCTCATGAAAAAAGAGCATAGACTTACGCCTCTCGAATGTGAGCGGTTCACTGGCTACTAGGACAATGTCGGCTCCCTTGTCATGTCTCTCCATCTTAAAATCACCTTTAACTTTGCCTTCTTTCCATTTGGTGCCTGACGAAAAGTACAAGCTAGCGGCTTCGTCTGTTTTGCTACTCACATAGCGGGTGCAAATAACAGAGTGTCCGTCTGTCACCGCAAAGTTGAGGAGACTTCTCACCTCAAGATCGGTCATGGCGTATTCCTTGGGAATGGCAGCGATAAATTCGTTGATTTTCCGGATTGTTTTGGTCATCACACCTCTCAGCAATTCAGGACCAAATCCTCCCTCTGGCGCTGAGCTGGGATCTACTCCTTCCTTTTCCATCAAATCCAGGAAGAGAGCAAATGCCCATTCGCTGTCAGTTCCTCCTTTTACGCCCAGATACCACTTGTTAGCCAATGAGTCGCCAAGGGGCCGTTTTATATGGTACCATCCTCCAAGATTTCCATTGTGCATCCACATCAGAGTATTGTGCTGGAAAGGATGACAGTTGTTTTCTGCTAAAGACCCCTCGGTTGTTGCTCGTACATGTGCAAACACGAGTGACGAGCATGTCTTAGATGCGATCCGTTCAAGGTTGTCGCAATTCCAGGCGGGAAGGGTCGAAGTGAATATGCAAGGTTCCGGTCCAAGTTCCGGGGAAGTATAGAATCCAACACCGAATCCATCGCCATTTACCGGTCGTCGTGTGTCCTAGGAAGGCACTTGTTAGATATACCATGTTATCTTTCATGCCGTTGAGTAGTAGCATCTCCAATTAAGTTAGGAATCGGAGGAGGATCAAGCTCACTAATCTCAGTCGGCAGTCATAGGATTGGGTTAGAATAGAGTGACTGGGTTCGGTGATCAATTTGCTTAGCAGGATGTCATTTCTCCCCTTGTATACCTATCAATTCCGGGCATTGTCAGCATTAGTTGGAAACCAACCGCTATTTTTGGGGAGCTATGAGCAAACCGGTTGTCATACCAGGAATCGACACATTTTCTATAACAATATCATCAACCATCAAGCTAAAAGCAAGACAAATCCAAAAATGTAGTAGCGAGGAGAGAAATTAGAGCTTCGTTTCTCGATCGAGGTCTCCGCAGTGGATGCTAAACGAAGCAGGGGTGGCAGGTCTCAAAGTAGACGATTAATATACGGCAGCTGATGCTGTTCTGTGAGAAACAGGTCTCTTAAAAAGGTTGACCGGAAACGAGCGACGCCTGTGTATTTAAATCTGGAGAAAACGTAGCTTGGGAAGCAGTTTAAAACGGTTTCATGTTTGACGTTTCGACTTTCTTTTTGCCCGTCAAAAAGATAAGAAGGGATGTCGTGATAAGCAAGCGGAATCACGTGTAATCGAGGTTGCCCTTTAGCTCGAGAGATGAGTCATAAATTACTAATCATAAAAGCAGCACGGCCCATTACGCAATTTATATTTAGAGCAGTGTATTTTGATATCTAATGGGAATGCTATGGAGGTAGCTAGGTGGCCGATGTTGGAGCGATCATAATAGAAAATTTTCCATATCATTCCCACGTCTATTCCTGTCATACAAAGCTCGTGTAACAACCCCCTTTTCTACACGCCAAATAGCAAATCATATGTTTAGTTACACCAGTCAACCAGCAAGCAGCATGAGGAATCTAAGCAGTTAACTAACCTATGCTCGACCAGACAGGTATCCTTCTCCAATACGCCTCTAACAGCAGAGTGTAGCCACACTAGCACTCCCCTTCGCGAAGCAAAACAAAGGATGAAGAAGATTTGTCGCAGTTTGCAGCCTTTAGCTGGCATAAGTTACTAAAGGTCTTGGAGGTCCCATCGCTGCCCTGACCACACACGGGTTTGAACTCCGCGGTGCAGATCGTCGACTGCATATACATTGGGTCTGATTAGCACTTGGTACACGTCGTTATCTCTGGTTGAAGTGCTTACACATCCATCATTCCGTTTCATGTGTCTGCCACTGTGAGCCATGGAGAGACCGATGGTCATGAACGTCAAAAGATATTGGACCTTCATCTTGGTTGATCGCTGTTGATAGCTATACCGTTGGGTAATTAGGGATATATCTTCCGCCTGGGAGATGGTAGAAAAGCCGAGAGAGGTAGATCTATATTGGATATAGCATTCAGATGGCGTTCATAAATAGAGGAGAATGGTGGAAAGTGCCCGGAATTTAAACCACTCGTTTAAATTGCAAGTCTCACAAAGCCCCTTTTGAAAATAAAGAAAAGGCAAATTGAGAGCAGGAACAAACTTCGCTAGTGTCGAAGATCGTTCTAACATATCTGGTATACCCTCCTAGGACGATATCCTATAATATAATAGAATAATACACTCCTTATAATAATAATACTTAGCCGTATGGGGGGTGCAGTCGGGGGACCAAACACTGCGTGCCAACGTATACAGAGTATTATAAAGGATGCGTTGGCAAACGCGACTTGTGGTGAAAGGAGGATCATCCTTTGAAGAGTTCAAGTACGGAGGAAAGGTAGTGCAGCGATATATTGCCAGATTCATGGCTTTGTTTGAGCATCCAGAACTCGAGATTCTCGACCCATGGATCTAACGAGTCGCCGTATCACTAACAGGCAAGATTCTCGCCATGGTTCGTCCGGGCGTCCGAAAGCGGAAAGGTTCGTCTTGGAGAGTTAAGGTTGCCCCTTCCCCACTCGGGCAGGCGCGAACTGTCTCACGTGGAATTCGCTGCTTTTACAAACACTTAGTCATAAGTTAGTCATGAATAAAAGCGGCGAGGGTCATCCCTGGAATTGTTAATTGGCGTCACTCATGAAGGACCGCTTGATGCGATGAACAGTGAGCAGTGCGATTACACCACCGCGACAGAAGTGCTGGCCACACGGTGATCAGTTGTGCATTAACAGGTTACCTTATGAGACGAACGCTATGAGTGGGAGACTACTCTCCCGCAGCGCTGCGCTGCTCTCGGGCAGAACGGTTGCGCGCCAGTTTCAGTACTTGGGCGTCACAAGAGCTGGGGGCCTCATCAATCCTCAGGGAAACGCATACTTACGTGTGAGATCATGGCCGCTAGGAACGAATGCTATTCACAATGTTCCGGCGGTCAGGACGATATCCTTTGCGCGCGTCCTGCCCAAGCTTGCCCTGAAGCTTGCCCGCATACCTGCCATGTTTGGTGGCGCAATGATAGCAGGCCTTGCATATATCCAGTATCAAGCAGCTCGTAAGTAAACTGATATGAGTAACCGCCTGTCATGTCCCTCCCGAGGCTCTCTAACCTTCTGCATCCGTATAGAAGCCGGAAATTATGCAATCGATGTGATAAAATCCGCCGGCGAAACCGCAGGGGGTGTAGCCTTGGACGCGCTCCAGGGCCTTCGAGATATTGCGGAACAGACGCAACAAGGCATTCAAAATACAAAGCATAATATTCAAGTACCAGAATGGGTGCAAAAAATTCTTCGAATAAACGAATACGCTACCCCCAACCATGGAGGGTCTTCAGGCGACGGTGGGAGCGGTGGCGGGGGAGGATCCCCAAAGAAGAGCAGCGCCGGAATAGCAATGGCTGGCGCTGCCGCTGGCTCAAGCTTAGGATTTGATTCTGATCAGGAAAACAGGAGTGCCGCTACCCTGGCCCTGGACGAGCAAATGATGACCTTGACCAGGAAGATGATTGAAATCCGAAACATGCTACAGCGTGTCGGCCAATCCAATACACTGACATTGCCATCTATAGTGGTAATCGGATCACAATCATCAGGCAAGAGCTCAGTACTGGAAGCCATCGTTGGCCATGAATTCTTGCCAAAGGGATCCAATATGGTCACTCGCCGTCCTATAGAGCTTACTCTGGTCAATACCCCTGACTCTTCTGCAGAATATGGCGAATTTCCGGCTCTGGGATTAGGAAAGATAACAGATTTTAGTCAAATTCAGCGCACTCTGACTGACCTAAACCTTGCAGTCCCAGAAAAGGAGTGTGTCATTGATGAGCCGATCCAACTTTCAATATACTCTCCACATGTCCCTGACCTTTCTCTAATTGACCTGCCTGGTTATATTCAGGTTGCTGGCCGCGGTCAGCCTCAAGAATTGAAACAAAAAATTTCCGACCTTTGTGACAAGTATATCCAGGCCCCGAACATTATACTGGCAATTTCCGCCGCAGATGTTGATCTGGCTAATTCTACAGCACTAAGAGCTAGTCGGAGGGTAGACCCTCGTGGCGAGAGAACTATTGGAGTCATCACCAAAATGGATCTTGTCGACCCTGAACGAGGTGCTAGCATTCTCTCAGACAGGAAATACCCCTTGCGTCTGGGTTATGTCGGGATCATAAGTCGCATCCCGCAATCTGCTGGCCTGTTCTCTCGTGGAAGCGGAAATATCTCAAACGCGATAGTGAAGAATGAAAATGCATACTTTAATGCACACCCACGGGAGTTTGGCCCTGATAGCGAATTGTTTGTGGGTACAAGTGTCCTTCGAAAGAAACTCATGCAAACCCTAGAACAAACTATGGCGTCTAACCTTGCCGGGACTCGTGATGCGGTTTCTCAAGAATTGGAAGAAGCTACGTACGAGTTTAAAGTCCAATATAATGACAGGCCTCTAAGTGCGGAATCATATCTTGCTGAGAGCTTAGATAGCTTCAAGCGCTCCTTCAAGGAGTTCAGCGAGGGGTTCGGGCGGCCACAAGTTCGGGAGCTGCTGAAAGCCCAGCTGGACCAGCGTGTTTTAGATATCCTGGCTCAGAGGTATTGGAATAAGCCGATAGAGGACATCTCTCTGGCTCTGCCAGAAGTTGATCCTTTAAGCAGCCTACCTACCTCAAGCCCAGATTCCTTATATTGGAGGAGAAAACTTGACGCTTCTTCATCAGCTCTTACTAAGTTAGGAATTGGCCGGCTGGCTACGACTATTGTTGCAAACTCATTGCAAAATCATATCGATTCTTTGGTAGCATCATCAACTTTCAACGCACATCCCTATGCGCGAAAAATCATTGAGGAGGCCTCCACTACCATACTCAATGATCGATTCTTCAGTACGAGTGATCAGGTTGAGAATTGCATCAAACCTTATAAATTTGAGATAGAGATTGATGATATGGAGTGGTCTAAAGGGCGAGAAAATGTGACTAGAAGTCTGAAAGAAGAGTTAAAGGCATGCGAAAGTGCACTGAAAAATGTTGAAAACGCAGTTGGAAAGCGGAAACTTAGGGATGTTATGTCATTCGTGGATAAGTCACGAAAAGGGGATATTAACATCGAGGGTGATAACACGGGTGGTGCTGGAGGGTTCAGTGCATCGTTGATTGAGCAAGGTGAGTTAGCTTTGATTTAATTCTCCCTTATTACTCGTATACTGACTTGCTTAATTTAGCCCGAAATGCCGCCTTTCTACGTGATAGGGCTGACATTCTGAAGATGCGACTCCTCGCCGTTCGCTCTAAACAATGTTCCTCCAAGAAGAACCGACATTACTGCCCAGAGGTGTTCCTGGATGTTGTTGCCGACAAGCTTACTTCCACAGCCGTGCTTTTCCTCAACGTTGAGCTCCTATCCGAATTTTACTACCACTTCCCTCGGGAACTTGACCTAAGATTGGGTCGTCACCTGTCTGAAGCAGAGGTGGAACGATTCGCCCGTGAAGACCCGCGAATCAGAAGGCACTTGGACGTGATCCAGAAGAAGGAGATGCTCGAACTAGTTTTGGAAAAGATTGAAAGCTTGCGACAATTGGAAGGACGCAGCAAATCCAATCCGAATCAAGCGGCTGCTACGAAGGAGCGTGTAAAGGGAAGCTGGCGCCTATTCTAAGTACCCAACTTCCCCTGGGGATCTGAACCATACGCGTCCCTTATGATTATTTCCTTTCCCCTTTTTGTTTGATATACCAATACACCAAAGACTTCGGCGGCGTTATTATTGGATTGGCTTTGGGCCACCAGTTAAATATCTGGCCTGACCTTTTTTTTTTTCACCCGGGTTGCGAAGTGCCCGGTTCTCTACCATTCCTCTCCATTATGTATATACAAACCCCATATCTAATGTATCATTCGAAAAGTGTTGCGTGATTTATTGTCACTCTTTAAATAGAATCCCCATTCATAGGCTAATGTATGTATGGTAGGCACCCAAAACAATAAGCATATCCCAGCCCTATGCCGTAAATCCAAGTATTATACATGCAAATATTCCAGCTCAACACACTCCGAGGCGCGAAAAAAAAAAAGTGGTGTACAGAACGCCATCAAGACCGTTGTAAAAAGATGTGATCCAAGATAGACAGCTGCCTTTCCGTTATTTCCCCCCTTGTCCCGCACACTATCCTATCATTATCTGGTCAAGGGCGAGGGTCTGTATTCGTTTCCAAATGTCTCTTCCTGTATCTTCGTGTTGTTCCACTCAATGCGGCCAGGAATATCCTTGACTTCTTTCAATGTAGAGCCGAGTTTCACAACTGAATATCGTATCATTCGGGGATCAAGACCAAGTGTTCGTCGCATTTCCTTTTGTACAGGAGCGGCGGCATCGAAGCGCATGATAAAGTGATGGCCTACGGTGTTCTTCACCTGGTGTTTCGTTGTAGGTCGTGGGAGAGTGAAGGGGCCCCAGTTGGTATATCCGCGAACAACACCGCCGGAACGGATTACTTGGAGGCCGAGGGTACGGGCAATGCTATAACGCAGCGGTTAGAAATCCTGAAGAGCATTATATTTTATATACGATGGGTCGAAGCTGTTGTTCGTTCACCTACTCTTTGACTTCTTGGAGACTGCCCTGACGGACCTGTGACAGACAAGTTAGCAAGCAGATTCAACCAACTCCTGCACCATCATAGCTTCATCATGGTGTATGCGTACAATTGCAACTAATTCGTACAGCATCGTGACAATCTCTGTCCCGTAGCCTTGATCGTTGATATCAATATGCAATATCAATAATATGACATTTGGTCGCTGCTGGAAAGCAAAGCAAATCTTTTTTTTTTCAAGCGGTATCGTTACGGTACCCGTTATTACCAAAGTGACCAATCATAGACCACATGGCGCCGACCCCGGAGACAAATCACGTGTTTACATCAGCATATTGCTGTAATCTGAATACGCCGCGGCCTCGCTTTCTTCCTTTTTCCCGAAGCTTCACCGAACTGTTTCCCGTCAACTTCTTCTCCCCACCACACAACTTCCAGCATCGCTCTTTTTTTGCGCCGTCTAGCATCCTGTTCTGGTTGTCAAAAGAAGCCGTGTAATCGTTATAAGCGTCCGCAATGGCTGCCACCGCTGTCCGACTCATTGCTCCTCTCCGAAGCGCCCTCAGCGTTCCCCGGTTCCGAGCTTCTTCCGCTCTCCGCTATGCCGCTCAGCCAAACATCAGACGGCCATTCTCCCAGAGTTCATTGCGTACGTACAATTGGATAGCTTAATGAATCATCTATATGCGAGTCCGGGTTCAATTGAGCTGCAGATAGCTATGGGGGGATTATAAAGCATGGGCTGACATCTTCTGTTACCGGTTAAATAGTTCGAGCAAAGAAATACACCGAACAGCATGAGTGGATAGAGCTTTTGGAAGATGGCAAGACCGGTATAATTATATCCTCCTATGAGCCCCCTTCTTTATTCTGAAGTACTTGAGGAGTACTGGAACTTCTACTCGAATGATATCCCGGACGATTCATTCAAGTCGAGGGAACTGATAACAAGGACCCGATATACTGACACAATATATGATAGCTACAATTGGTATCACCGAATATGCTGCCAAAGCCCTCGGAGATGTTGTTTACGTCGAATTACCAAGCGTTGATGATGAGGTTGCGTGCGGTGATGGCATTGGCGCTGTCGAGTCTGTCAAGTCTGCTTCAGACATCATGTCTCCCGCCAGCGGGAAAGTCATCGAGGTCAACACTGTTCTGGAGGAGAAACCAAAGACTGTCAACGACTCGCCCGAGGAAGATGGGTGGTTCGCTAAGATTGAGGTTTCCGATGCTAGTGAGCTGGATGGTTTGATGGATATCGAGGCATATAAGGCCTCCTTGGAGGAAGCCGACTAAACCTTTGGGTGACTCTGGGTCGTCTCCGAGATTGTTTTGAAGTTTCATGTTTCTTATTCATTAGCTACAAATCGTGCTAATGATGTTCACATATCCTCTGTCTTTTACCCTTCTAAGGCGGCTGAATACTTAGATCTGACCCTGCCTTGATTCCCTATCTGTGTACTCATGCTAAAACTAAGAGGGATGTACCAAAGGTAAAAGTTCGGTGCCCTGTTGTTTGCTGGATGGTCGTGGCGCTATAACTATACCTAATTTTATCATTTTGCTTACAATGTTGTGTATATATACTCTCAACAGACATAAATGTTCAACGGCTGCAGTTTTGAGTCATGATACCCACACGCAACGAAAATGCAGCCTGAATTACCTACTATACCGGTGAGAGACTGTATCATTTCCGTGGGAATGATATCAAAAATACGGAGAATTTTCATCTACTCGAGTATTTATTCGGACCTAACCAAAATTATATAGTACAATGGTGTTAGAGGAACAATCAAGGGATCAGATTGGGGGTATTGACTCTCGACAGATGGGGCATTGCAACCTCAGCCGCATCCACGTTTCCAGACATTGAGAGTGGAAAATATGGCGGCAAGGAGTTACCATGTAGGCACGTCGACTAAATAGGTGCGTGGCACCTGTCGTTACACTGGTTCCCGCGCTAGGATCGTTCCCAGTAACAACTGTGACATTAATATCCTGCATGCATATCGCACAGCTGAAATCCCTCCTGTATTGGCGAGAGTCTATCTCCTTGCCTCCATCTCGCAAGCCTGACGTCGGCTCACTCTGCTCAGCACGAAGTGAAGATATCGGTAAGGCATCTCCAACCTCCAAGTCCTCAGCAGAACCAGAGGCAGACGTGTCTCGCAGGATTGGATGGTAATCGTACGCAGGTGGTACCCAACTTTTGGGAACGAAGAAACGTGGCCCAAGGATATCCTGGCTGACAAGGCTCCAAATCTGAACCCATACCCAAAATGTGAGTAAAAGAGTTGTGATACCATCCGCCCGGATAAATAAGGCGTTCTGGGGTATAAAGTAGAGATACAAGAAAGGGAACAGGCGAAGGAGGCTTTGTCCGACGACAAATTCCCATCTGAGAGCCTTGCGGCAATTGCGCATTATGTTCCGGTAAATCTGCGGCGTCCAGAACGAGAGGTATATAAACGACAAAACATTGCCGTAAATAGTTCGGAGGCGACTGGGCCAGAAGAGAACCCAGGACGAGAAAAATAACAGGCTGAAAAGGAGGAAATAGAACCGTGAATACATTGCTCCGGCATTAGCTGTGTCATCGTTCTGGTCAGGGGTTGTTGGGTTGGCAGCAGTCCCGGGGTTTTCATCTTGATCTGGAGGGAGGATGACTGGGGTTGCACCTGTATCCGTGGGCCGTTGTGCTGTCACCGGTAGTGGAAGGGTTGATGGGGTTGGGTGGAGGACAGTTTGGTGTCGTTGCTGCTGCTGCTCTCTTCGCTCCGGAGCTTGCACCAGCCAGATTTCAATCTGAAATTTCATTCCCAGAAAGCTAACGCCGAAGAATGCTAGGAAGGAGGTAGCTGTAAGTAGCAAAAATGAGGTCTCCGAGTATAGCTCTATAAGCATAAAAGACATAAACAACGCGTCTCCCATTGACATCATAGCAATGGTATAGAAGCTAACTCGGCTTCGAGTTGAAGGTGTCGAGGATTCCTTCATCTGCTTCATCAACAACAGTATCTGCGAGGCAAGTATTCCAGCAACTAATGTGATAAAGCGTCCAGTATATTTACTATATTCTTCTTGTTTCAACCCGACTAAGTATAACTCGTCTGTAGGGGGGTATTCTGGCGACGCTTTACTTTCGAGGACAAATCCACAATCTGGAGAAAATATAATACCAGATAATACCAGTGGTGACGGCTTTGGGATAGGTGCTCCTGTGGGAAATCTGAGTTCCTGCTCAATATTTTCTATAATGGGGTCTGGGATGGGCTTCCCTCGGGATAGTAGGACATGTTGCTGCAGGTATACAACATATTCGCAGTTGGGGGCTGGTAGAGATGCCGAATTAGTTCCTTGGGAGAGAGACGACCAAGGCAGAAAGGTACTCAGATGACTGGACCTCTCCGAAAGAGCTTCAGTGAGCGAGTTGTTAAGCAATTCACGAGAGAGTTCAAACGTGTCATTCGACAAAGTTAAATGGGGTATCAATGCAAGACCAGCGTACTTCTCGCTTGTAGTAGTAAGAATAATTCCCCCGGATGTTGGAAAGTGTACACCGTATAGGGGTACTACCCAGCTCTCTCCAAGAGATTTATCAGTCCGTAAAAGCATCTCCGCTTTGATCTCCTCAACACCTTTGCCATCCTCACCAACTAGGCTGTGTCCTTGGCCCTCGTGAAGATTCAGCACAACACGGCCATTGGGAGCGGTAACATTGTGGCCAAATTCTCGAGTGAAATACTCATGCTCGGCTATTATTGTAGTGAGGTTGAGTTCCGGTCGGCTCAGCCTGTCCGTTTCCACAGAGCGAACCCATTCACCACGAACATTGCCCGAGACATTGCGGTAAACTGGAAGGGAGAGATCGGTGATATTCGTCTTCGAAGATACCGAATCTGACGTTCCAGAAGCACTGAGAGCTAGCTGTAACTGCTTTCTAGCCTTTTCTTGGACAGATGGAAGCAGGTTCCACGCATACCCATCTGTGGTCCTGATGCCGGCAAGGGAAAGCCATCGACCAGCTTGGGGATCCAAATCTCCATAACTCGACGAATTCAATGAAGTGAGAGCACTCTCATCGTCTGCTAATCGACGTTTATAATCGCGTACGGAGACCGAAGATGGCGGGTGAGGGTTTGGAGCCGTGAAGAGGAAGAAGAGGAGGATGAAGATGAAGGCACCACGACGCCCATCCATGGAGGCTGACGGCCGGGAAGCTTAGCCGGCCGGTCGTTCAAGTCTAAAATCCATGTCCTGCTCCCCGTCTTAGAGCTTCCGTTGGCCTTCTTCTTGCGACGTTGCTCCAAGGTCGGATGCTTGAAACGTTGCTGTTGATGTTGGGCGTGGAGGCTGCAGCGATTAAATCTAAAATAGTCGCGGCAAGATCGCCAAGCGCCAAAGGAGATAAGATCAACTTCGCTCCATGACGCTTGCCATAATATGCCACATAACACCAAGCCACCCTTCAATTATGGATTCGCAATGACTGCGTGACAGCTGTCCCTCACACGACTCACACAGATATAATGCTTTTCAAGTAGAGACAGCGATCTATTTGTTTCCTTCCTGCACGAATACGTGGTGGCAGCTTGCCTGGATTGGCCATCATGGCTTCAGGGCTCCCTATCCCACTCCCTCCCCGGACGCCTAGTCCACCGCTGGATAATATTACCTCTTCTCCGGCGGGGAGCGTTTCCATGGGATACCAAAGGCAAGGATCTCTTGAGCCCGGTGCCCTCCCATCGTTGACAGACACCCTTCCTTCAGGGTCCTCAGGTATTGTCTCCCATCAGTGGGCGCCTAGGAACACGGAGTGCTTATCAACCTTGTTTCAATAGATGCATCATGGAACTCGTATAGGCGGCCAAGTCTAGACGTTCCAAGCCCGTTCAATTTCAAGCCTACGACTCTTGCAAAGACCCCGGTTCTAAAACCAGTACGGGTGCCCAAATTCTCCGAAGTTCGCCCAGCCATGCTAACGGTGATATCTATTATAGAATGTTGGGCAGCGCCGGGGCCACAAATACAAGCACAGCAGTGTGTCTCACCAGATCTTTCTTGAACCGCCGCCGAGAGCACCATTGGCACTCCCAAATTCATTGCCGATTCCAACTTTCGTCGAATACCGCAAGAGCATGTCCCGAGATCAGAAGGCTCGGTTTTGGTGGAGTTTGTGTCATATGGCAGTGGCAGGATATACACTATGGAGTGCTCACGGCTCAATGGCCATGACTGGTCTTTCGCACTTAATGCTCTTCGACTCTCTTGGGGCAATGTTGTGTGTGGTGGTAGATATCCTTGGAAATTTTGAAGTCTGGAAAAGGTCCAGCATTCGACATCCATTTGGGCTAGAAAGAGCCGAAGTGGTTGCTGGTTTTGCTTTATCCGTCCTTCTATTCTTCATGGGAGGTGACTTGGTATCCCATACCGTGCAACATGTACTTGGCGGCTCTCATCATGCACACCCCCACAATGAGCATGAACGGGTAACTCCAGGTAGCATTGATATGACGGCACTCCTTTCAATTGCTGCAACTTTGATTTCAGCCATCGGGCTCAAAAATCATGGACGAATTGGCAAGGCTATGCGTGTCACCTATATACAAGCACTACCCTCCTTACTCAGCAACCCTGCTCATTTCCTTACTCTATCGTGTTCCACCCTCCTTCTTTTACTCCCTTTGATATCAACTTCATTTTATTCGATGCTTGACCCGGTTATTTCCTTTACTCTAGCCTTTTCTATGTGTTCCCTAGGGATTCGTCTAGTGGTGAACCTAGGCTCTATGCTCCTCATGTCTTATGCAGGACCTGGCGTTTCTGCCGTCATGAAGGACATTGCCGCACACCCATCAGTCACAACCGTTGAGGAGGCGCGCTTCTGGCAAGTCCACTATGGCTTGTGTATGGCCAATCTCAGGCTGAGAGTGAGTGGCTCAGAGGAAGCGATTACCCTTCTCAGGGAGCGGATAGTCAATATGATCAAGCAGCGTCTTGGAGGCGAGTATGGCACTGGAGTGCAAAAGTGGGAGGTTTCTTTACAATTCAATGTTGACTCAACATGACCCCGTACTTTGTTTATGATCTCCTTATTATATACTTATGGCAGTTGAATAACACACGGTCTCCTAGCAACCATGAAATCTCTGCTGGAAACTTCCATCACAATAAACAAAGCACCCAGGATTGCCCGTTTTTCCTAGCTAAAAAGAACTTTCTTGCTTTTTCAGCGACCTTTGCTCAAGGTACCTTGTTGCTGCTAGTCGTTGGCGTTTAAGACTTGGAGATGGTACCGCCCCCCAAGCCACTGATTGCTGCCAGTATAAACACGACTAGTGACATGTCTGTCGTGGACGAGGGGAGTATTTATGCTGGCCGGGACACAACTGAAAATGCAATGTGAGCCTTGAATTACCCTGCTGCTACCAGTCTCTACTAATAAAATGGTGCTAGTTCTGTACCAGAGCGCCTGGAGCGTCAAAGGGCCTACTTCTTTCAATTTCCCCTGAATATTCGCAAGGAAATCTACAGATATGCAGTTGCTCCAGGGAAGATCTTTGTCCGCCCGTTCGTTTCATTCCATTATGTAAACGATCAGAGCAGGCTTCACACCCATAAGCCCCCAAATATGGCAATTCTTCTTGTCTGCAAGAAGGTGTACGAAGAAGCCTGCCTAATATTCTATCGTGAGAATACTTTTTCAATCCTACATCCCGACGTTCTTTTGGATATTTCGAATGAATATCCCCGTGTAAGGGATCATCTAAGGCATATGCACAGCATTGAAGTAATCTTTCATCACCGGGATTTCCAGTACCTCAGTGGTCCGTTTTGCGATGATTTGCTTGCAGGAAGCATTGCCTTGAAACGGCAGGACAAACAAGGCGGCAAAAAAACGGGCAAAATGGCAAAGAATCTGTTGAAGTACAGAGCTTCTATACTCGGGGCCAGGACATATACCGCTGGCTGTGGGCTTATTGATCGAAATATAACTCCCATACTCCCCCATGCCCAAGACATTAAGAGCATGCAAGACTATCTATTTGGCCGGACCTTGACGTTTCTTCGTCAACACCTCCTTATTTCCAACCTCGAACTGAAGTTCATGGAATGTATTTGCCCTGAAGGGTGCTGCCGCTTAGCAGGGGAAATTTTGAACTGGGGAACTAGAAAGACATGGACCTTTGACCTTCCGCGAAGCATATCTGTGACAGGGGCCACGGAAGAAGAGCGGAAGCAGATTTTAGAAACAATTGCCCATCAACGACCGAGTCCGGAGGTCGTTGACCTCTTACTAAAGCACCAAAGTCGACGCAAGTCTTTCACAAATCGATCCATCAGAGGAATCCTCAAGGCCATTGATCTGAGCAAAAAATGAGGATAGCTGGTAATATTCGTCGGGATTATCTCAATGCAGGTTTGTGTTTATAGTCTTCTGAAAGATGGAGTCTTGTACATGGTAACTAAATGAATGGTCTTTTCATGGGATTCCTTGGGGTTCATATTGAGAGAAATAAACAAGGAATCACGTTATAAGTACAATTTTTAATGGTCTCCCATTCTAGTTCTCTTCTAAAAAGCGAGACTGAGCAACCCCATTTTCAACCACTTGATATATCCGTATTTCTATACTGTTGGCCCTGGAACCGCTCGCCCAGCGAATGTATCGAAACCAGTGTTCTCTCCTCAAGAAGTACTGGCCAGAATTCCTCCTTGTTCGGCCTGGCCGAGTCCGACGGTATCAGCTGCATCCCTCTCGGCTCTTCTCTGTCTCTTCTCAAGGAGTATTCGTTTTCTCTCGGCAAGCATTTTCAATTGTCGACCCTCCACGCCTTCTAACCAGTATCCGAAGCTTCCACCAACAGTTGCAAATAAAGGGTAAACCCATAGGGATTCCTTGTTGAAGAATGGGCGCATTTCAATTCCAAGCTGCCATAGTCGGACGGCAACGCCTACAAAAGAATCAGACGTTAGATAACGTGCAGTAACATGCGCCAGACTGTGCGGTCTTAGAGAGCCATTGGCCTGCGGGTAGAGATGAACCCAACAGGTACAGGGCAGCTGAGGCATATAACGGATAAAGAGAAAGATATCACTAACCAAAGCCGCTCCAGAAGAGCACTTTGTGGACTGGCATGATGATGGGTCGTGTCGAATGTGGCTGCGGAATCACGGGTGAGCGGCTGGGAAACTTGTCCACGCAACAAGCAGGCCGGAAAAAACACGCGAGTGCTCTGCTCTCAACCGTAAGCTGTCAATAGAGCATCCCTGGGGAGAGAAATGCCAATATGTGTTCGATCTCTGCCGCTTCGATTGCTTGAAGTCGTCGGATTTGCTTTTGGGAGGTCTTGATTTGACGAGCGTCGGGTCCAGTCCATCCGCCGCGGATGCGGGCTTACGTTTATCCGCAAGACTCCTTCAGGGCGGGCAGGATGGAGTTCCAACCTTATTGGGCATGAAGTGGGAAGAAAAGTGACCTGATGGAAGTGGAACATGGAGGCCAACCGATGTGCCAGCGCTGCTCTGTGACGATAATGTGCTGGGGCTGCTGCGAGCGTTATAGCATAATACCGTGGCTTTAGGCGCGTCAGCTCAATATGGCGGAAACAGAGACCGAAGGAGCTGGTGTGAAGCGCGTTGGGTCCAGCATGGAGAGTCTCCGGCGCAAAAAATTCAAGCTGTCGGAGCTGCCCATTTCCACGGCCCAGCGGACTACGATAGAAAATCTGTTATATTCTTTTAAGAAGAAAGGGGGCTTTGATGCTGTCCGGAAAGAAGTTTGGGCCAAATTCAATGATAGCGTGAGTTGTGCCAGAATTCCTACGTTGCTCGCCACTCTGTGCTAATATATCTGCTCTACAGGATGCTAAGAACTCATTTACAGCGTCGTTAATTGAAATGGCCGAGTCGGAAATCGAACGTGACCCGTCCTTACTATCCCGCGAGAGAGGGAAGGCTGCTACTCTAATCTCTGGAGCCGTTGACCGCAGTGACCTACATTCAGGGATAGAAGAAACAGTCGACGCCATAATATCCAACCATATTGATGAGATTCTAGTCTCTTTACGCAAAATTCGCGCTCAAGATATTGGCCAGGAAGCAGCAGATGCCGAAATAGCCAAGGGACTTACCACAGATGCAGAGTACGAGAAGCAGGTTCAAGCTAAGAGAGATGAGCGTGAGAAAATTAGACAGAAAGAACTAGAGATTGAAAGGAAAGCGGAGGAAGAAAGAAAGAAAGCTGAAGCAGAAGAAAAACGGCGGCAACGTGAGTTACGAAAGCAAAGGGAGGAAGAAGACCGGAAACGACGAGAGGAACGAGAGCAAAAGCGGCGGGCGGAAAGGGAAAAGCAGCGCGAGGAAGATAGGCTGCGAGAAGAACGGCGAGAACGAGAGCGGGAGGAGCGGTATGAACGAAGAAGGCGAGAGGAGAAAGAACGCTACCGGGAACGAGAACAAGAACGGGAGCGTGACTATGACAGAGACAGAAGTAGACGATCAGATCTCGACCGCGAAAGAGACGGGAGTGGTACACCACGAGATACATCCAGAGCGCACAAGACTCCAGCTCCCCCTGTGGATGAGAAAGCGCTGGAAGATGCAGCCCTTGAGCTGCTGCTAAAGGAAGGAAAGGAGCTTGCTGCTAAGTCTCGACAAAAGCCGGAGTTCGACTTTGAGCAGGCCGAAGCCCTGGAGAATGGCCAAGTTTTACAGCCTGCTAATACCACCACTCGAAGTACTTCTTCCAAGCCAAAAACGGAATCGGCCCTTCCTTCACAAGACCCTGTCCGATCAAGGACAGAAGACCGCGAAAGTCGTCGTAGCCATAGTCGCCGGCGTGACTGCAGCAGGTCCGGAAGCAGAACTAGAGCGAGGAGATCTTCAAGGCATGATGACAGATATCGAGATGCCGACTCATATAGGAGAGAGCCAGAAAGGCGGCCTCGTGATTTTGATGTATACCGGCCTGGAGAACGAGACAGACGAGACCGGGACGACCGCTCTGTTCGTGCTAGGTCTCGACGTCGGAGCAGGACTCGGAGCCGGAGTAGAGTTATAGACGACATGAATAAATACCGGCCTTACGATCGAGATAGGGAACGAGATCGTGACCGTGATAGGGACAGGGATCGAGAAAGAGGAAGGGATAGGGAAAGGGAACGGGACCGGGACCGGGAACGTGAGAGCAGAGGCGAATATCGCAGTTATCGCCCCAGTGCCCGTTCAAGATCTCGCTCAAGAGCAGCATCCCATAGGCCAGCACGAAGATCCAAGTCCCTGTCTCGGTCAAGATCTCGATCAACTACCCAGCGAAGGTACCGGGAAAGGGAACGGTCAAGATCCCGAAGCCGCCGGGTCAGGTCAACGTCTAGAAACGCTGGAGGTGATATTGACCGGTATGTTCCTCCAACTTCAACGCGGAGTCGGTCACCAAAACGGAGAGCCAGGTCACCAGACAGAGATAGGGAAAGAGACCGTGATCGTGAGCGTGACAGGGATAGAGACCGAGACAGAGAAAGAGATCGAGATCGAGACAGAGACAGGGACAGGTCACGAGATAGAGACAGGGATAGAGACCGAGATCGAGAAAGAGATCGAGATCGAGACAGAGACAGAGACAAGTCGCGAGATAGAGACAGGGAGCGTGATCGGGACAGAGGTCGAGACAGAGATAGGGAACGTGAGAGGGACAGGGAGAGGGACAGGGAGAGGGACCGCGACCGTGAAAGGGATAGGGATAGAGACAGAGACCGACTGCCTGATATTGATCGGTATATCCCGGGAGCCGCAGAGAAGGAGCCTCGAGGAGCCAGCGTCGATAGAGAGGACAGGAGGAGTAGGCGTCGGGACGCAAGTCGTTAAGTGCCAAACACCTATGCTACCTTGGGCCCAAGATTTGTACCACCAGTTGCATTTCCACGGAGTTTTGATATGATTGTATTGGAGCCCGCATAGTAGGCTAGTAATGAACAGGTGAAACATGGATATCTTAGGAGTATTTAAACGAGCAAATTCATTATCCCTGAACTCCATATATGCAGCAAAACAGAAAGCAGAAGGGCGCTAGAGTAATTCATAAAGTGTGAAAAGAAAGAGAAGCACAAATAGCAACTACTTCACCCCTTCTCCCTGGCAAAAAAAACTTCAGATAAGCTTGCTGCTTATTCCAACGTATTACTCCGGTCAGTAGTAGAGCCAAGTGCTGCTTCAACTGCAGCCTGGTACCCATCATGTTCATCATGGCGTTTGTAGAAGTAAGACTTTTCGGCGGTTGGACGAAGTTCGGGTGACAGACGTTGTAGTATAACCTCCTCTAGTGCCTTGATGGCTTTTGGGTTATATCCTTGTTTATTCCATATGGATATCAAATTAGAGTTAAATCTAGCAGATGTCGAGACTCCAAGAACATGATCACGCTCTACATGATTGTTAGCAGGCAGGATTGTGTGATGTATGGCTGTAGAACATACCGGACTGCACTGCGGCCTGGAACTCATTTGCCATACAAAGAATGGCTACTTCATGGAAGAATGCCTGGCTCTTTGACTTAGGAACTCGAAAAGTCCAGCACCCTCCCTTCAAGTTTTGAGGGTCCTCCCAGACGGGTTTCGTCTCACGGCGAAAAATATGCACAGTGTCGCGGACTTTGATCTTTCCCCACGGATAATTGTTGTATATCCGATAAAAGGTCGCAATATCGGCGACATCGTCGTGCAAGGGGTATAACCTATCACCGTAGTTGGTAGACTCAGAGTGCTTCTCATGCCATACGGCCCATCGGTACTGAAAAGGCAAGGGTCTCAGTTTGCCTATAATGTTCTGATGAAGTGTTTTTCGAGTTGGGTTGAGGGCCTGAACTTCGTCTTCAGTAACCGGTTCCAAGGCGGTAGACTTGGGAGGTTGAATGGCCATGTTGGATAGAGGACTTCTTGGGTGGCTGGCGCTTCGGGGGTACTGATAGACAAGAAAAGACCAAAGTCTCAGGAACACATGTCTTCATATAAGAAACGGCAAAGAGCCAGTACTCTGAATGAAGCGCTTAAGGGTGTGGCATATCACCTTTCAGAGACATCAATAGGAAGAACCGAACCCCTGTCTGTACCATTAAAGAGGCCAGGGAAATGCAGCACGGTCAAAGACCTGAAACGCATCTTCATGTACCAACCTTGATGCTATTCGACAAAGCAAGCATCAGACGAATCATGGCCAACAGCTCTCTCAGCTGGGCATTCATCGACAGGGTCTTCGAGTTCCTGGCCACCTCTGCTTGATGCGCACAACTTGCATGATAACCGCCGTATCATCATTGGCCCACAGAGAGTGTATCACTTGCCCAACCAGGCTGGAGCTCGGCCCGTCAGCGGCTTTCTCAGGGTCTGGCTGGAGCCCATCCGCAAAGGACGAAACGCATTCGAAACTGGACCGGCGGCCCCCACAAACTCTGAGATCTTTCTCGCGAGTCAACATCGCTGGCTAACTGTTACTGACGCATTATTGTCGCTTTCAAGCTCCTTGACTTGATTTTTGTTGTTTTTATTTTGTTTGTCGTTCTTTTTTCTTTTTTCTTTCTTTCTTTTTTTTTTTGGATGATTGACACGTGATGTCACGTGGTATCATTATATTATTCAAACTTTAACTCTCTCTTGGAGAAAATCTGATATATGACGGTCGAGACTATAAAAGGGACTACAACTATCATTTATACCCCCTTGAGCTGTGTTTGTTTTCTAGAGCAGTGATATATTTACGCTTCTTTCACACTTTTTAATTTCCTATCTCAAAGGTTAAGGTTTAGAAGGGCTTCTGCTGGAACATATTCTATTACCACGATATCTATACAACGGAAGAATGAGATAGGAGCACTGCAGTATTTCAGGATAGGGAGAGAACTATATCTCTATTCTAGTATATCCCAAAATATTGTACTGATGCAGGGCACTCTTACTTGCTGTCCATAATCTTATCCACTGCGATTTAATCTATCAAAATGTCCTCTTCGCATCAGTCTCCATCTAAGTGGCAGAAAATAAGCCGTGATCAGACCGTGTCTTCTTCGAAAGAGTCGAGGAAAGTGTCTGAGTCATTGACTCTCCACGATAAAGGCCAGTTGGATGGCATAAACAGTGTCTCTGGCGATCCAGGAGCAAACCCAACAAGCAAAGAAGTCTCCAAATGTCCATCACAGGAATCGACAGATTCGGAGCCAACATCCTCGTCTGGATCTTCTGTTGATTCGGATTTGGATTCTCAAGCTGGAGAAAGCTCAGATGAAGAAAAGTCTGACGATGATGAACAAATGGATGATCAGCCTAGCCCTTCTATACCTTCGAGACCGTTTGCCAGTCTTCCAAACAACTCAGCCCTGCGTGCAAGACTTGCAAGTTTTTTACCATCTCTAAAGGCGGCGAATGAAGACCTGGAACGAGAAATCGCTGCCGGAAAGTCAATGACTCTTGAGGTGGACAACGAAGATGAGGGACAGGGTCAGCTTATTGAAATGGTAAGATACCGCCCCAACCCCCGGCGACGGAGATGATAAGCATTTATAGCTAACTATCGCGGTAGAATCTTGGTTTAGGTGTGCTTCAAGAAAAAGGAGAAGAAAGTGATGAACATAGTGATGCAGACAGCGATAGTCCTGAGAGTATAGACCCAAAAGAAGAGAAAAACGTTATCGGCAAACTTATGGGAAAGAAACCCGACCTGCAAAAGCCGAGCATCGAAGATCTAGGGTCTTGATCTGATTTCCATTGCCATCAATGAAACGCCATTCTAACGTTATTTATACTCCACGAGTCCACTCTTCGATTATTTCCGTGTAATATTCACGACAGATAGATTCAAGGATTTTCGCCTGGCAAACAGTAATACTGCTTGGATCCAGCAAATCTGCTTACGTTCAACTCAGACAATTAATGGAGGCGGATTTTGGTCGTATCAGAAAGAGAATGAAAAAAAAAAAAAAAAAAAAAAAAAAATTGACATTCTAGCTAATGGTAAAGCCAATCGTACCGCCGCTCAAAAATAAAAAGGGTAACGATATAAGAAAGTGGACATAAAAACCAATAAGCACCCGCGTAGCTCCCAGATGAGAGAGAAAAGGTATAAATCTGGGGAGGGCAGGAAACTCTTCAAGAATATATTCCCTTGCGCATCATAACATCACAACTTAATGATCATCCAATTATTTTTTTTTCGGTTTCAGGTGCTTTCATTAAAAGGTGATATTTATAAAAATCTTGTGACAACGAAAGACGAGGTCTAAAATCTAATTCTTTCTCGTCATTTAAGAAATCTGCTTAATACGGCATTCCCACCCGGAGTTCTTGCTGAGGAGGGGGAGACTATTTGTGAAGTTAGTATTAATACGAATTTGGACATATATTAAGAGATACGTTTACTTACCTTGCACCCAGGCACCATCCGAGTTCGTTTCCGTCAATCTTCTTCGCCGTCTTGACTTCTCTTTGCAGAGGCATCTCATATCCGGTGTGCAGGAGGGCGAGCATGAAGTTAAGGTCCAAACAGTATTCTGGGCGGTCGCTTAGCTCTTTCATAGCGCTGCTGTTGGATTGGAAAACACCCCAGCTATCCTCGCCGCCGCAGACAATTGAAGTCAGTTCGTGAAGGTCATGGAGAGTGAATGAATCGGGCATTCCGAGGGGAGAGGTGCGGTCGTAGAAGTAAGAGAAAATAAAGACGTCCTCTTTAGCAAAAGTCTTGCGAAGGGAGGGCTGGTGGATTCCATTGAAAGAACATGGGGCAAGGTTGCAAGTTGCGTCCTTCTTGAGAATCTTCTCCGCGAGGTTTCGGCACTGGGCAGCTGAAGATTCCTTGGGGCCAACCATGAGTACCTCAACTTCCTTCCCCAGGGCATGATTATCTCCTAGATCAATGCTGACATTGCGAGACATCCCCGGAACAATACATGGGTTCACCACCTTCTGTTTGAGCCAGCCTTTGTCATTAGGGCTAAGTTCATGCTTGGTCTCGATGAGGTAACGGTGAATAGCGGACCTAGCGGCCATCAAACCGTATCCAAGGTGGGAGTGCTGGTAGAGAATAAACTCTCTGCCACCAAATTTGAGGGAGTACTTGTGGTCGCCTTCTGGCATTTTCTCTGGAAGACCGTCTGGTCCTTTGCCATTATAAGTTGGCTGGAAAACAATCTGAGTAGAACCGCCTCCCAGATCAAATATGGCAGCGGTTGGGATCTCTTCTGGAGAACCGATGTTTCCAAGCAAGTAATTGGTTGTAATCCAGGCATAAACACCCTCATCCTTGCCTTCCATAATCTCGACACCGCCTTGGGCCTCCGAGACAACCGGGAATGGGTAGACAGTCTCCAACCGAGTTCTGACGGCCTTAAGAATATTGTCACTCATGTCTTTGCCTAGCATTCGCAAACCAGCAGTAGCCTTGACGGCAATAGGCGAACAAGATCTATATTCTTCTGGGACAGTCTTCATGGCAACCTCCATCAACGGGTCGAGACTCTTGGCCGCACCCTCAGCATCCTCACGGTATGAGCTGAGACCAGAGCCGCCCTCCTTCGTCTCGGTCATCTTGAACTCCTCATTTTCCAGTGCTGGAGTTGGACCACAGTTATTGAAGCGGTAGACATGGATTCTTGATCCCGTACTACCGGCATCAATCATCAAGACATATTGGATGAGAGGCTTAGAGGAATCGTAGGGCTTTGTACATTTCGTCGTTGAATCTGGCCCGGGAGGAGGGAGATTCGGCGTCCGTGATGAAGGGGCGAGGACGTATATTATGAATAGTATGAGCGCAATGATTCCACCTGTTTTCAGGTATCTCGACCTCTGGCTTTGTGTCATCGGAGCTATGGTGGGAGAACCCTTCATCTGTTCCAGCGGGATATTCTCGATATCAAGGCCGTGATCGGTTGGTTTGGAGACAGAAGAGGCTCTCCGGTGTAAACTCGGGTCGGAATCTATGGTGGACGAAGTTGCACGGTGAGATCTGCCTCCAAAGGCTCCGGACATGCAAACTGCTGAGCGCGCAAAGAGAGAAGATGCCGAGATGGACCAGGGAAGGGTCGAAACGAAGGTGAGGTCCAGTCGACTTCAACACCTTTCGTCTTTTGCAAGGGAATAAACAGCTTGTAACAGCGACGGGATGATTTTTTATTTTTTTTTTTTCTTAACGATTTGCCTCCTGAACCCCCTAAACTGATATCAAATCAAAGAAATTTCCATACTTTTTGCTGTCCTCTGTCGTCGAGTTAAAATAAGATCCCGGGATGCCAAGAAGGTGTAATTCTTGGCTCCGCCCGCGGCTGTTACTTTTTGTCCTTTCAAGGCGTTCAACCACCTGGGCAACATCAACGTCACGAGACGAAGACGAAGCAGAGTCTGAAAAGAAGACTGACTACAAAGGCCGCTCGAGGCAGACAGTGCTATAAAGAGCAGATATAAAGCCGTTTCCCCTTATCTTGGAAGTACCTGTTGGAGGACAATGGCCTGTTTACGGCCTCTGTTTTCCGCTGCGCAGGCTCTGCGTCGCACCTTCATCTCCTCAATCGAATCACAGACAGCTGCCCAAGTTTCGAGACAGCGACATGCCCTCCCTACACGACAATTAAGATACTACCGGGCGACCCCTATTTCTCAATTCTCGCAACGACCTCATTATCCTCCTCCCCCAGCTACTTCGGCTGCCTCTGCCGCCTCTCGATCATCATTACCAAAAGACGAAGAGATACGGAGTGCGATAGTCCGAGTGGTTCAAGAGAATGGACAATTAGGGGAGCCAATGTCGCTCAAATCTGCGTTAGCATCATTCGACCGGTCCCGAAACTTCTTGGTACAAGTTCGAGCAGGATCAGAAGACCAGGCTCCGGTATGCAAGATTGTCGACAAGTCGGATTATAGCGCGAGTTTAAAGGCAAAGGCAAGGGGGAAGGAGAGCAAGCCTAAGTCGACGGCTGTTCAGATAAAGCAGATAGAGCTGAACTGGGCGATTGACCCTCATGACCTTCAGCACCGGCTGGACCAGCTGGAGACCTTCTTGTCCAAGGGCAAGAGGGTGTCGTTGATCCTGACAAAGAAGAAAAGAAAGAGAAGAGCTACACCGGATGAGGCACAACGGGTGTTGGCTGCCATTGAAAATAAGCTGTTTGAGATCGGGGTTACGGAGGTGAAACCAAGAAGAGGCAAAATCATGGAGCACATGGAATACGTTCTAGATAAGAAGAAGGCTGCGGCGTGATGAGTTTCAATCTGCCTATCGTGTACTATTATTCTATCTTTGGCCGACGGCTCATCTACCTATGTGCCTCTACAGTCTAACGAATACAGACTGATGTACTATATCAAAACTTAGACACCTGGGGCTTCCACAGCTTCGACAACGAACCAGATCTAACAGCAGTTCACTACCCACCGTCTACCATTCTCTTGCGCCTTCTAGTCTCTAGCTATCTTATCCTTACTGTCTTCCTCGATCTCTAGATCTCTCGTTTTCTTCTGCTTCCCTGCAAAAGCTCCAGCAAGCAAGGTATATATCACGTGACAGTGACTAAGCATGTTCCTGACACCAACAAAAACTTTTTTGAGCTTCAGATTTTTTGCTCGCGAACGACATCAAGGTTCAGCGATAGAAGTGAGCAGAGCAGCAACTTGTCTTTTGATATCGCATTTCCCCATCGTGGAGAGGATTCACAATGTCTACCTTTCAGAGATCTCTCAATGTGCTGCTAAGGACCGGCAAGTACGCCGCCCAGCGGCCGTCCGCCGTCAACCCAATGCAGTATGTCTTCTCTCACAACAGGATGTCTGTCCGAGGAATGGCTGCTGCTTTCGAGCGTAACAAGCCCCATGTCAACATTGGTAAGTGCTGCTCATTTGGTCTGATCCAATTGACCTTGGTGGACTGAAATCTGACGAGTGGTACAGGTACCATTGGACATGTTGATCACGGAAAGGTTCGACATTTACCTCGAGACCTCTAGAGAGGATGGAATAATAGCCAGCCAAGATAGACGGAAACTGACTATCTTTATAGACCACTTTGACCGCCGCTATTACCAAGCGCCAGGCCGAGAAGGGATTCGCCAACTTCCTTGACTACGGATCCATTGACAAGGCCCCCGAGGAGCGAAAGCGTGGTATCACCATCTCCTCCGCTCACATCGAATACCAGACCGAAAAAAGACACTATGCTCACGTCGACTGTCCCGGTCACGCTGATTACATCAAAAACATGATTACTGGTGCTGCCAGCATGGACGGAGCTGTTGTCGTTGTCGCAGCTTCTGACGGTCAAATGTAATTGAGTGCCCGCCCACACGGATGAAAGAATTTGATATTTCTAACACCAGTCTAGGCCTCAGACCAGAGAACATTTGCTCCTTGCCCGCCAGGTCGGTGTCCAGAAGCTCGTCGTTTTCGTTAACAAGGTCGATGCCGTTGAGGACCCAGAGATGTTGGAGCTTGTCGAACTAGAAATGCGTGAACTCCTCAGCCACTACGGTTTCGAGGGAGAGGAGACCCCCATCATCTTTGGCTCTGCTCTCTGTGCCCTCGAGTCCCGTCGACCTGAGCTGGGTGTCGAGAAGATTGACGAGCTATTGAACGCCGTCGACACCTGGATCCCCACCCCAGAGCGCGCCACTGATAAGCCTTTTCTCATGTCCATTGAGGAAGTGTTCTCTATCTCTGGTCGTGGTACCGTTGTCTCCGGCCGTGTTGAGCGTGGTATTCTCAAGAAGGATTCCGACGTCGAAATTGTTGGTGGTTCTACGACCCCTATCAAGACCAAGGTCACCGATATCGAGACCTTCAAGAAGTCCTGCGACGAATCTCGAGCTGGTGACAACTCCGGTCTCCTTCTCCGAGGTATCAAGCGTGAAGACTTGAAGCGTGGCATGGTTGTTGCTGCTCCCGGATCTACCAAGGCTCACACCGACTTCATGGTCTCCCTCTACGTCCTGACCGAGGCTGAGGGTGGTCGTTCCAACGGTTTCACCCACAAGTACCGCCCCCAAATGTTCATCCGTACTGCTGGTATGTAACCCAGAATTTCGCTATTTGCTAAGTAGATCATCACTAACCTGTATTCCCTTCCACAGACGAAGCCGCATCTTTCAGCTGGCCTGGAGAAGACCAAGACAAGAAGGCTATGCCTGGTGACAACGTCGAGATGATTTGCAAGACCCTTCACCCCATTGCTGCCGAGGCTGGCCAACGATTCAACATCCGTGAGGGTGGCAGAACCGTTGCCACGGGTTTGATCACTCGTGTCCTCTAAACGAAATAAAGAAAAAAATCGCCTTAGACGGAGTTATTGCTGGTCCTCCCACGTTAGCCCATTCTACCTGGAAGAATTCTTGTCATGTATTTCTATAATCATCCCTTTTGTTAATATCACCAACATCACATCTGTAAGCGGGGGGATCCTGGGAAAGAACAAACGGAGTCTGTGTCTACGAAGTTTTGGGGGTTTCTGTTTTTATTTGGGGATGGCCTCCTCTGCTTCCCTGCCCTTTCATGTAACAACAAGATATATACATAGGCTCTCTCGACTCTTACTCTTGGACTGCATTGCAAATTTGACAGTTCACTCTTCATGTATTCGTTCCTGTGGTTGTACGAGGGTAAACTGCTACTAAATTCAACAACACTTAACAAGAGAGTACTAGATTCACAAAGTATTTGACGGAATGTGTCACCATTTCAAAGCCTTGCTATCCCCAGACCCGCAAGACGACTGATTCGTTTCTCTGTTCCAGTCATAGACACCACCACGTCTGTTGAAGCTCGTTTCGTCCCAGTACACCTGGCCCAAGGCAGTAAAGACGTCAACATCTAGGATAGACGCTGACGGTTCTCGGCCATCCCTGTCCAGAAACCGCATATACTCATCCAAAATCAAATATGATTTTGCCATAAGATAATTCGGCTCTGCAACGAACGACGGTTGATGCTCATGCCGACGACAGAACTCCTTGTACTGCTGGTCAGTGATCTGAAACTTCCGCACATCCCTCAATGTCTTGTCGAAATCATTTTCTCCTTGGACCATAAGAACCTGGAAGCATTTTTATCTGAAGGGCCGCAGCATTTCAACGAGGGGATTCATGTCTTCCTGGTAGTTTAGGTTGCAAACAACCGTGTTCAATATGAACTTGATACCATTTTCCCGGCACCATTCAGCGATGCGAAATAGTTGCGGCACTTGATCACCCTTCCCGCGGCCAATTTCGATGTTCGTCTGCTCATTGAAAGAGTCGCATGATACAGCCAAAATGTCAATGAAGCGGCCGTATCGTTCGAGGAAATCTCGTTTGACCAAGCTGCCATTTGTGACTATGGTGACTGATTCCAAGAATAGCTCTTCCTTGCAGTATTGGATCATTGGCCCAAGGAATTTGGCAGACTGTAGGCTCCATGAAAGTAGTACACTCGTTATGATTGATAGTAGAATTGTAAGGGAGAGGGCAATCTGTTGAGACGATTGGGCCGGTATATCAGGGAAACTCCTGAATAGAGGCATGGTGTCAGCAGATTTCTTTCAACAAGTTACATATCAGTCTAAGTAGGGATTCAAGGTATGACCAGAATACCATTTGGATGTCTAAATGATGATGTTTAGTGCCTTTGCTGGGTATATTAGAGGGTATATATAATATTCCATAAACACCGCATTCCTTTGGTTTCCCACCTAACAACATGAGATCCATGGGGTATTTTGAAAATGAAAGGCCTTTCAATAGAGAAATAATCCACGGGTATGGTGGAAAGACGACGGGATGCAAAGATCTCGTAGCTCAAATTGTAGGGATATGGATGCTAAATCAGGCAAAATAAGAAGTTCCGTTGAATGCCATGAAATACAACAGTAAAGCCATGGCAACTTGCAGCGTTCAAAGACCCATCTAGCGGTTCCCCTGAAGATGCAAGAAAGCGGCTGTTAGACAATGGTAGGCCTCTAAGAGCCGCGACCATGCTTCTTTGTTCGCGGATCAGCTTCCAATGGTCACCACTTTTCGTAGCATGTTTTCAGTACATTCTCACTTAAATCCTGAGCTTTTCCTATCAAAAGAGGAAGTGAAACCAGAACCTCTGGGAAAGAAGAACGTTGATAGAAGCCGGCTATCATGCGCCCAACCGCCGTCCTGGGACTCCGCCGCGCAGTGATTGAAGTCGAGAGAAAATTCTCCTGCGGGCCAAAATCGGGCGAAATTTTCCATTCCAACAGAGGCTCGCCATCGTTCGACCGTGTAGAGAACATTGGACAGAGTGTCTTTGAAGACCAGTACTTTGACTACCGCCAACAGCTGTTCAAGAACGGAGTCTGGATACGGCGACGGGAAGGCATCTGGCAGGCCAAAGTGCGGACAGACCGGACGAATTCAACCTTCACCAACTCTCGATTCGAAGAGCTGTCTGAACCCGGCGAAGTGCTCAGGCTGGTCCAGCGGCTTGTGTCTGGGGTGAAGTTCCTGCCCACGGAGAGAGATGGCAGCGATATTAGACAGTCTGGGCTAGAAGTGATGGCTCGATATACGACATATCGGGATACCTGGAGGTTAAACCGGGAATTTGAGGTTGTGCTAGATAGAACGGACTTTGGCCATTGGGTTGGAGAGGTTGAGCTACAGCGGGACATCGAAGTGGATGAAGACGAGATGAAGGCCTTCAACCAGCGGCAGGCTGTCTCTGCTGCGATGGACGGGGATATACAAGCCTTTATGGAGCGTTACCAGTGGGCATTTCCTGTCGACAAGCCTGTTGGCAAGCTGACTGCGTACTTTGCTAAGAGATGATCAAGGGGCGACTATTCTTCAACTAGTCATCTTTCAATCTGTGGGAGTGTAGCTCTCTTCACCGGGTTCTTTCTAGTCAACAACGAGGTGGCCATCCAGGTGGCAATGAAGCTTCATTATTATTCTCTTAATACACGCGAATCTCTCCTTATAATGGAGCATATCCATCTTTGAGGCTGAAATTGTCTCTTAAGCAGGCAGCCATCATTCCTGGGCCAATACCACCTACGGTAAAGTCTGTCCTCGCATTGTCAAAAGCTGAGCTGACGTCCAGGGAGCTAGGAGTATTCAGTTTACAATGATGTGATAAGTTAGCTGAGGCTCCTGGAATCAAGACGGTGCCATTGATATTCAAATAACAGAATATCTTGTCTGTACAGTTACAGGTCCCGTGTATAACTGAACTCATCCGGACTGTAAAATGCTCATCCTCATCTTCCTCAGAGTCGATATCACCATTTTCTTGGGTAATTTTCCAGGTACTATCATCCTCCGGTTCAATTCAGGATGTTCGAGTTGAGGTTGACGTTGACTCCGGGGCCTTCCTTGGGTAGCTGAAGAGTAACTAACAATCCAGGAGAGCTTGCGACTTCAAGTGTTTGTCCAAGCACAAGGTATATGCTGCCACTTCTGCGGCATATCAAGGGGCTGAAGCCATGCGGGGAATGGGGTAGCTGTATAACTAGAGAGCTCGATGATTATTCGGAGAGAACGGCAACGGGTTCCCTTGGTAATTTGGTATCCTCAGGGGCAGTTTATCAACCAGCGCCTCGGCCTTATTTTGGAGAGCAAGTTATATCGAGAGGACGGGAGCAAAACTACCATGGAGACGACGACCTCTAGCTGGATACCGGATATTTGACTATCCATGCATGTAGTTCCTGAGTGGTTATCCGACATGGTCTATGTGTTAGGTATGTACATAGATTGCACGGAGTAGGTGACAGGCCGCAGACATCCAGCTACTTATGTATCTTTCCGACGGCCGGCTCCTGCTGGAGAGATTTGCAGATCCAAATCCTTCCATCCGATTGGGGCTCACTGACAAACTTGCTCATATTATCTGGTCACTGGTCACTGGTTACTGGTTACTGGTTACTGGTTACTGTTGCTGGTTGCTGGTTAGCCCGTCGATTGACCAAGTGGCTCCCGGCATGCATGGATCCTTCGGGCCAGAGCATGTAACGAGCAGATCGCGAGGGAGGCTTGATCTTACCGTTAAACAGTAATATCCGTACTCCGTAGACCGCTACAGCTAGCTGGATAGTTAACGGTTTGACAATAATCACCAAGGACTCTGGCCCCCTTTTTGCAACCGCCAGGCATCTCAAATCGACATTATTCGCATTCCAGCAGCCAGCGCTTGAAGTAGGCAGGGAGTCAAGCAGTCTACCAACGCAACGGCCGCCCTCCATCCTCCCTTTTGCCTAGCTCGCTGCTGCCAATGCATGAATTTGTGTTAGAGTTTCCTTGTCTCCAAAGATCCAGCAAGTTCCTGGTAGCCAATTTGCATGTTAAATAGCTACTAGCAACCCCCCCCCCCCCCCGGAGCGGTGGTGTTCATGGTGGAAAGGAGGATATATTAACCAACAGACGACCGTCAACGACGTGGCCCACGACCAACGCATCACCAGCACCGGAAGTCGACCTCCACGATGGCGGATGCGAGTCTCCAGCCGCCGCCGGCCGATCCGTATGGCGATACCCTCGAGACGCTGTGGCAGCGGTCGAAAAAGAAACTTGCGCTTACGAAGAATGATTCCAAAGAGCCACCCGGTAAGTCGCAGGCATCCCTCCCTCGAAACGAGCACCATTTGGAATCCAGATGCATGACCGCGTCGCTTTCTTAACCCCGTTTCCCGCCTCATGCTGGGGCTCGCTCTCCTTTTGCGTCGGTTGCGCTGCTTGCCTCCTTCGTCACTCTGCGCCCTGCGGTCCCGGGGAGTCTCCCATTCGCCATGCTGTCTCGGAGCGTGCATGATGATCTCACATAGGACTAGTCACTCCATACCGTAGGCTTCCCCAGGAGGTGTATTCCGCGCTTGACTGACTGACTGAGGGAGGGAGGGAGGGGGGGCGGGAGGCGGGAGTGGTGGTGAGATGGATTCGCGGCATCTGTCTGGTACAAAGAAATTATACCCCCTATATAGCCTCCTGGGCGGCTGTTGAGATATCCTCTCAGCGACAGTGCTTTCCATGTTGTCTCATACTGTCACCTACCCCCCGATTGCCCTGACGGCAAGCAGTAAGATAGTTGCTAAAGTAGTATCCTGCTCAGATTCGGCCATTATTGAGGACGAGAGCGCGGCGCTGGCGAAGGCGGCGCACGAGCGACGGCGGGACCAGGTCCGGAGGGCCCAGCGGTGGGTTCATTTCCGTTTTCATATAATGGCTCCTTTTTATGATGTCGTGATTAGTTGCTGTTATTGTTGCTGTTGCTGTTGATGATGATATCCGGGCTCCATCTAAGACTGTCCTGTTCCTTTTTACATATAGCAAACACCGCGAGCGCAAGGAGAAGTATATAAAGTCCCTCGAGCAGGAACTGCTTCGTCTTCGGCACGAGAGAGAGTCTGTCTCGAGTGACATCAACCGATTCACGTCGGAAAACAACCTCCTTCGAGAAATCATGCGGGCACACGGTATCCAGATGCCACAGAAGAGGCCGCGAGACCGGCTGGCCAAGGTCACTGTCGTCGGCGAGCCTGGCTTCGGCCAGCGCCTACAGGTCTCCCTTGACGAAGGGGAGAACAAGATACCCAATTTCTACCCAGAAGGCTTCGGAGTGTCCTTCACTCAGAAGGTCCTGCATAAGGCCGCAGACCTCTTCACGTCGCCGCAGATTGAAGATCAGATTGCGCCGGATGAGCCTCGACCAGAGTACTTCAATGCCGACCTTCAGATACGGCCAAAGAACGACCCTGGCGGATGGGGATATGAACCCCCAGTTGCTGTACAATCCCATCCATACCATTTTGATTCAACCCAGGTGGCTGTTGATTTTGTTTTATTGTAAGGCCGTCCATCCCTCCTTTTTCCTTGCTCTTATCAGTCACTCCGCTCTAACTCCGCCCCTTCTATCTAGCCTTGAGCGTTGCTGTTTACGCCACCGTATGCTTGGGAAGCAGGGATTCTCAGGACATGCACTCACCCTCCAGGCGCCATTGCTTGTTGGAACCCCTCCGGTTCTGCAGAACAAGTCTACCTGGGAAGTACCTGCTAGCGAAATCGAGAGGCTGCTTGAGCTTGCAGGGGCGCTGAACCTGGATGGTGAGATCACACCGGTGCAGGCGTGGCGGCTTATTAGTGACCACCCTAAGTTCTACAAATTGGATCCCGCGGGTTTGCAGAGGATAAGCGAAGGGCTTGTCAGGAACATCCATTGTTTTGGGTAAGTATTGGTCGCTTTGTTGCCCTTAACTGCCGACCGTACTAACTATTTCTCCAAGATTCGGGGCTATCTTAGACGAACAGACATCCATCAATATCGTGGAGAAAGTATATGCTTCGTTATAACTGTAATACTGTCCCCCTTCTGCCGGACGTCGAGGAGGCTACGGGCGTTAGGAATTTGATAGGTAATACCTGCTGGCACATACGTGTATGTTTAAAGATTGTTTTATTCCATAGCCATCTAAGAATTGAATAATATGAACCCTTTTCCCACTCGGAGTCTAGGCCGATATCCACTGTCCAGGAAATTAAAGAAATTAAAATTCCAGAAGGTGATGGAGTACCTTCTTAGAGATCTAGCTTTGCAAGTCGCTTGGATTCAACCTTGGTTGCAAGGCCAAGAAGCAGCTGGAATCGGCTGAATCCTTCTAGCTCCTTATACGAGTCGTTGTTACCGACGGCCCGCCAGCCTGTGAATGCGACAAACTCCTCTAACTCCGGCTCTCCGTCTGCATTGACTGCTTCCTTGCCCTCCATCTTTCGCTCTCCATCAATGCGCCAGCCGCTTCGAACAAGGTATGGAGCTGTGACTTCTTTCAGGTGTGGAGAAACCCTCTCTTCCCAAGTCCTGGTAAACTCCTCTTTCCGGGCAGGAAGCATATGAAACCATTCGAGTGTTACCACTGGTGCACTTGACGGAAGTCCCGATTCCTGCTGGTCGATATCAAGGTGTGCCAGGCCCGCAATGTCAAATAGATCCTTGCCGCTCTCTAGCAGGCCTTGGTTCGCATCGGATGGTATCCAGTCATCGTAGTGATGCGTCAGGCTCTCCCAGTTGCCGACTATATAGACATATGCCGGATCCTCGAGCTGGGTAAAGATGTAAAACGGATACCCGGTGTAGGCTTCCATGCTCTGTTTGGCGGTGCGAAGAAATGCTATCGTCGCATCGTTGGGCTTGCCGATGGTCGTCAAGGCTGCCGGCCGCAGCTTTAGAATGGCAATCTCGGTAATGGTCATATCTCCTGGTTATACTACTGCCGTGCTCTGTAGACGAGGCTTCACCAGTTGTAATCGACAGTATCACCAACAGATTGATGGGTTGTTAACTTGTTGTTGCTTGTTGGTGAAGGCCGTCGAATCCCGCTGGATCGCATAGGAGAGAAGCCCGTCTTGCGGCCCTTACCCAGGCAGCCATGCCTTACGCAAACCAAAGTATCTCCCCCTTAACTAGTTAGCCATCCAAGAAGCATGACATTAATTATACTTAGGTAGCGCCGCCCTTCGTAAAGTAGATATAGAAATCGACGGACGTTTCGCGGCGGAGCTTGGGATTAGTCAGCTAACGGACGAAGTATCGGATAAAAGAGCTTAGTCATCAGGATCGCGACCTTCCGAACTTTTGTCCGCATAAAAAGCTTGAGGTCGTCGTTTCTTCGACCACCGTCTCTGCTTTATAACGTTATCTCCATCGCTGGAGACAAACCTTTGCTTAGCGGCTGAACTTATAGAGCTTGGAGTTATGGAGCCTCTCGTTATGTCCATTCAGTCGAGTTTCAACGGCCCATGATGGCTGATCGTCGTATGCGGCTGGCTTGTAATGTCTTATCAGTATGACTCAAACACAGGGTTCGGGGTGAATCCTCCTGGGGCTGATTCGAGAAGATAATAATACCCATCGGTGGACGAACTCTTACCCCCTAATTCCGGCTGAATTGCTCATACTGACACATTGTGGGCAAAGCGGCTCATCATGCTTGAAACGGGGATACGGCGACAACACGGAGGGATGTTGTACCCAAAAGAACTAGTTCTTCCCCTGGCATTCCTTTTCCTACAATAATGATTCAGGCATTATTGTCCTTTCATTTTTTCCGACGTCATTCCGGACCTTCATGGCATGAGCTTTACGCGCCTCAGCCGGCTCTGGTTGGTTGCCGATCGGCCAGCCAAAAAGGATTGTTTGTTCCAAGGCTGAAGAGATGGAGCAGTCATCTGGATATAAAGATCTGCTGATATTCTTCTTCGGAAATGGCTTTTGATACCTTAACTCTTTTAATCCAGATACTATCCTCAGTTATATCCATATATCCTTATCAAAAACCCCCTCTACTTTGGGTTGGCTCCAATTCAGCCACAATACCTTTTTTTTTTTTTTTTTAGTACGGACAACGTCTAAACACACAGCAGTTGCAGAACCCACGGCTCAGCATGCTCTCAACATCAGAGACCGAAAGGTCGACGCCTCAACGGCCTCTATCGACATCATCGAATCATACGACTCAGGTAGATGGAAACAACCTTCCCAAAGGATCTCACAACCCTTCATCGACCTCATTTCAGATAGTTGCCGAGAAGTCTGGCGCCCCGACCGGAGATAGCACACCCTCTAACGAAGCCGAAGATGGAACAGAATACCCGGGAAAATTTGCTCTTTCTTTCATCGTCGTGGCTCTCATCCTTGCTATCTTCCTAATTGCCTTGGACATGACCATTGTTGCTACTGCAATTCCTACAATTACTGCGCAGTTCAAATCGTTAGATCAAGTGGGCTGGTACGGATCGGCGTTTTTCCTGACTGTGGCTTCGTTCCAGTCCACATGGGGGAAAGCGTTTAAATACTTCCCACTGAAAACAGTCTTCATGCTTGCTATCTTTGTCTTTGAAATCGGTTCCTTGATTTGTGCTGTCGCAAATAACAGCACCACCTTGATTGTTGGTCGAGCTATTGCCGGTGCCGGCGCTTCCGGCCTCACTGGTGGTGTCTACACGATCATTGGATTCTCAGTACCACCTCAACAACGTCCTGCTTTTACAGGTATACTCGGAGCAACTTATGGTGTGGCCAGTGCAATTGGTCCTCTTCTTGGTGGCGTTTTCACCGACAAGGTATCATGGCGATGGTGCTTCTACATCAACCTCCCGGTCGGAGGCATTAGCGCCGCCATCATTCTATTTTTCTTCACTGCCCCGCCAGCTTCTAGACCAGTCAAGGCCCCTATACGCGAGAAGCTATTGCAGATGGACCTGGTTGGAACATTCACAATCATGGCAGGCGTAGTCAGCTTCCTCCTAGCCATGCAATGGGGAGGGACCACCAAAAAGTGGTCGGACTCCACCGTCATTGGTACCCTGGTTGTTTTTGGACTGCTAGTCATCTGTTTTATTGTGAACGAATGGTGGATGGGCGACCGAGCACTCCTTCCCCCACGTTTGTTCAAGACGTGGAACATCAGGATCAGTTCCATCTACATCTTCTTTTTCGCTGGACCATTCTTCGTTTTGATTTACTACCTTCCCATCTATTTCCAGGCAATCAAGCATACCTCAGCTTCCGATTCTGGAATCCGAAATCTGCCATTCGTACTGGCAGTCAGTATATTTTCCACACTCTCTGGTGGTCTCATCGCGACATTTGGCCACTTCAGCTACCTTATGGTTCTTGGTTCTATCATGCTCACTGTTGGCTCAGGCCTCGTCTATACCTTTGGGCTTGACACACCATCAAGCACTTGGATCGGGTACCAAATTCTTGCCGGTATTGGAGGAGGCCTTGCCCTTCAGATCCCAGTCATTATCAGCCAAGCTCTAGTAAAATCTGAGGACCTCTCCAGCGCGACTGCGATGATTCTCTTCATCCAGACCATGGGAGCTGCCATCTGGGTGTCTGCAGCTCAAACGGCGTTTGTGAACAAGTTAATTAAGAGACTTCCTGAGGTCGCTCCGCGTGTCAACCCGGTCCTAGTGATCAAAACTGGAGCCTCGGAGCTACACAAAGTGTTCTCTGGAAAGGATCTCGAGGGAGTTCTTGTTGCATATGGCGATGGCTTGAAGGTCACCTTCATTGTCTGCGTAGCTCTTGCTGGCGTTTCTGTTTTCGCTGCTGCTTTTATCAAGCCCCTTAACCTGAATAAGCTGCAGAACAAGAACACAGTCGGATTTGCTTGATATCCCCGGCCTGGTTTTCCTTTCTTCCCTTATAAGCATTTTTTTTCATCTCTCCTCTTTTGTGCTAATGTAGTTATGACTTATGTACTTGATACAATAGTGAAAGTGTACTTGCGGTATATACCATATACATACATGATATTGATAGAATATATTCTCTATACTCGGTACCTGAACCATATGGTCACTCTGTCCTCCCTGTCGCAGAAGTAATGGTTTTTCAAGTTGATATAGTTAAAAACGAGTTAAGCTTAACAAACTTTAACTCAAAAGTCTAAGTGGAAAACAAAGACAATTAAAGTTTTAAGCATCTGAAAGGCAAAAATGATTAATAAATGATTAATAATTAATATCGATTAGTCATGCGCCTTCGGGGTTAACGCAATTCAGCTCCGTCTTCCTTGATTAAAAGAGAGCAAAAGCCGCCACATCGCGGCATCTGCAGTTACTTACGCTGCTGCCTGAATGTTTGGGCGGTTGACCTACCTGTCACTGGCATTCGTTCTTACATATCTACAGGGCTGTATTCCGTAATTATGGAGCCATTTCGTCGAGCTCTCTCCGGTGACACGGATTCACTGCACGACCAGGAGCCGCAGCGCAAGAAAATGCGCAAAGGAACAAAGAGCTGCTATGAATGTGCGTTCGTTCTACTCTGACTTTGATCTCCGCTCTACAGATGTAACGAAAAAGCCATACCATTTGGACCATCCTATTAATGCCGTGCTAGGCCGGCGTCGAAAGATTCGCTGCACCTATGCGCCCACTCGGCCCGGGATATGCAACGAGTGCCACGCGCGAGGCTCTTCCTGTATCGATCAGGAACATGCGCCCCTGCGGCCGGAAGCTGCAAAGCTCCGTATAGGAGACCAGAGCTACAGCTTGAGGGAGCGGGTAGCTGCTTTAGAGCACACCGTGAGCAAGCTGGTGAAACAAATGGATGAAAGCGACAAGGGTAGATCTAAAGAGGCCGCAAGTTGGTCATACACGGAGTCCCCCACAGATAGCATTGATCGAGGTCGGTACTACCGGATATCCAGAAGCTCTCTTGGTTGCTTGACCTAATGTTTCAAACTAGATACCAAGAGCCTGTCCAACTGTCAGCCTGAAACGGTGCCGGAAGCCATACCAGTCCGGTCCAAATCGATGGACCAAGGAAGCACTGGGCCCGGCGCTGCTCCCCTTTTGACCTTATTCGATAATCACATCCTTTCTCGGTATGAGAAGCATGTGGATTTAGAACCCTCAAAAGCCGCCGATCCAATAGCTCTGAAAGAAAGACGTGCAGTTCTTGCACTGAGAGAGCTCCTGCCTTCCCCTGTGCAGCTGAAAAGACTAATAAATTCTCCGGCAATTATATGGACCATATGGCGCGCAAGATTCCCAGAAATATTAAAACCCGAGGCCCTCGAAAACCCTGCTGATATTGGAAAGATTTTGTACTGCATCATCATGACTCTTGAGCAACGTGCGGTAGAGTTCGATTTCCAATCCCTCAGGGTTCCGGTACCTAAGGAAAAATACGTGGAACAATGTGTTGCTGCTGTCCAAAAGTATGTTATCGAAGATGACGACATTGCTTCATCTCTACCTGGTATAGAGTGTATCTATATGGCAGGAAAATATGAAAGCAACATCGGCCGGCCACGAAAAACATGGCTACTGACGCGCCGGGCTATAAATTTCGCCCAGCTATCCGGCCTCCATCTTCCGAACAATCGCCCTGGGCCAGACGATGAACTTGGAATTCGCAAGCTTCATATATGGTGTGGCCTCGCATGCTCGGACCTATACCAGAGCTCAATTCTTGGGCTCCCTTATTCTGTGCCGATTCATCTCTTGAAGCCTCATATCGCACATTTACTGAAGGTTAAGAAGATGGATCCTGCAGAAGCATATATGTTGCGTGTCTGCCTTCCATTGGGATCTATAATTGATAGAAACCAAGACGGAGGCAATATGTCTCTTCCCCTTACCCTGAAAATTGACCAAGAGTTAGAGGACATGGGTAAACAGATGGGAGACGATTGGTGGGATTCATCCCAGTTAGGACAGCTTAGCCCCATAGAAAAGAGCAGTCGACTTTGGTCACAATTTGCTCACCATTTCGTGAGGATGTTGCTGCACCTACCATTCATGCTGAAAGCCAACACTGATAAGCGTTGCCAATATTGTCATAATGCTGCTCTTGAATCAGCGAGAAAAACCATCGAGTGTTATAAGGGCATTTATGATATTCGCAATTCCGACCGTATATTTTGCAAAGTCATTGATTTTCAGGTTTTTACATCTACGGTTCTCCTTATCGTTCACTTGCTCGGCTCCCCTTTCGCCGACGACCCACAGACTCGTGCCGACTGGAGGTCAGCTATGTCCATTGCTCGAATACTTCGCCACGACCCAGATCTGCCCGAGGACTCCGTTAGCTATCAATCTGCGAGTGTCATTGAAAAGTTATGCTCTTGCCGAGATGCTGATGGGGCTCTGAGGACTGGATTTAAAAGCAAAAATTGCAACCAAGCTCGAAGGATTATACTTCCATATTTCGGAGCTGTCAGCATTGTTCCTGGTAAGATGCTGAAGGAACAGCAACTACAGCAGCAACAGCAGCAGCAGCAGCAACAACAACAACATCAACACAATTTGCAACAGCAATATCAGTACACACAACAGCAACAAATGAGCCCGCCGAACTCTATACCTGAGAAACAGAATTCTACAAACTCAAGCGGGTATACCACACCTCAGGATACACCTTTGATGTCACTATTTAATACCCAACTCCAACAGACTCCTAGTCAATCATCGTCGTCATCATATCTACAAAATGGCGTTCCATTACCCGAACCAAATCTAGATGTGAATTTAAATCTCAACCTGATGGATGACACTGGAGGGTTTGGTAATCCCAATCTAAACTTGGATCTCTTTCTTGGACAAGGGTGGAATTTCGAATGGATGGATGCACAGAACTTCCAGCCTGTCTGATAATATCGCATGGAATATAAGCTATAATTTTCTTATCTTTTTTTTTATTCATTCAGAGGGATAATTTCACATTTATGGAAGTTGGGTTTTTTGTATATCATCTTGGGCAAATGACTATATGGTACATGCGTTACTCAACTAATTCTTATCAACATATCTCCTAATCCTCCTATATCTGAACTTGTCCATATATATATGACGCGATACCAAAAACACCCATGTCTTCAGTTAACCAAATACCAGGCTAGAGGGTCCCTTCGAATGTCAAAACAGCCAGGAAGATAGCCACCCAGGCTGGAAAATCAGCAACGGTCCATCTAATTCTGTGTACGCTCAGCCAGTCTTCCATCTCAGCAGAACCACCCCGCTTTGACGTGTTTGTTCTTAGGCGTTTAATTGGAGGCGCAACCCATGGGATGAAGGTCAAGTGGCCCAATGCACAAGTCACTCCCAAGGCATACATTTTGGCACTAAATGGCAGGGTCATGATACCCTCTGTGATGGAAAGGTCGTTGTTGTATGAGAGGTAGATATTGGCTATGGACGTGGATGAGGTTATGGCGATAAGTCCAACGACGATCGTAACGCCGCTTTGGAAGACTGTGTTAAACCAGCGGGGAAGAACGACATCGGCTTCTCTGCGGATTGTTGGATGCAGGAAGGCAGAATTCATGATGAGTTCGCAAGTCGAGTACATTACGCTCCCTGTACTACTGATGAGAGGCGCAAGGCGAAGGAGACGCATTGGATCGAACAGCATTCCTGAAGCCATTTTGGTTATGTGGCTGGCTAGAAAATCGGCTGGGGGTTGGGTGTAGAGTGCAAAATCGGGAGAGAAGTGTTTCCAAAAATTTCAACAAGCTGAATTCGAGAGGGTATTGGACATTTATATCCTAGATTATTTATCTGGTGCATACGGAATACAAAATTAGTATCCGCTGCTGGAAGGATATACCCATGGTGCGTCAGTTATGAAGCCTGGAAAAATTCTCCGATGATCATCGGCGTTAAAACGTTGATGCATGTCTGCATCGAGATCTATATGTTCTCTCGTATCCCTTCATATAGCCCAGAATTGAATGACGGAGCCTACAAATGCCTACCATCTTAGAAGCAACAATACGCCCATTACCTCTAATTATTTCCCATTAGAGGCAACAGTCCCCCTGATGTCATTCTTCGATGCTGATTGGCTGGAGCTCCGAAAGCCGAGGCACGTCGGATAAATTAATTTCCTCCCGGGCCGCTTTCTTCAATCACGTGCACCAGTTGTACAGCTTCCACATGTTTCTTCAAACATCGTTTTCATGAATCTATGTTGATGCTGAATCAGTGAAGTATTTACGAGTGACTGTGATGCATTGCAAATGATCTATACGGAGTATTCCATATTGTCCCCTTCCCAATAATATTATTAATAATGGCCCTCTTGCACGCAGTTCACAGGCTTGCCACGACCATGATTGTTACTGACCCACCACGGCCCTTTGGCCCATAACCCGAACTCTCGAACCTGGAGAACAAAAAAATTTAAATAGAAGCAAAAGGCCATGGTAGTGGCTCTCGGCTTGCGGCAACGAGTCATGCCTGGCTGTACTTGCCTATTTCAGCATCCCAGGATCTCCCTTCGGTCTCTCCTAGTACTGTTGGCTAGCACTTAACAGCCGTCTGTTAGTCAATGCAAAGCAGTGGAGGTGCCAGTATTAATTCTGGCAACGATTCCACATTGTTGAATTATCCAAACAGCTCGATGATTTGATTTCCCCCTTTGGTTTCCCTTGATTCCCCGAGAAGTGTTCAGTAGAAGTTGAACATTATTTGGTTGCGGCAGACAACACTGAAAATACCCGCGAGAGGTACCTAGTTACCCGGGCCCAGGCCTGGATGGCATATTTAGCTAGTTGAAAGTGGACTTGCCAAGGCATATTCGACGTTGATGATGAAACTCTTTAGCTGTGGAGCATTTTTTTTAATACCCTGTGCTCCCGATCAGTTTCTTGCCATGAGTCGGATTCGGGCCATGCTTATAAATCCTCTCCACCTCCAAGATGAGCATGCTACTTGAAGCAGATTTTTATTTTTAATCTCTATCATGATCTCAGGTTTTTGTGGTGCATCGGATGGCATTGAAGAGTCGACGTTTGACATTTCATGCTACACTCCGTTTTTCATTCTTTTACACTTAGACCTTTCTCTATCAAGATCTGATGCTAGTATATCAAGACCTTGAGGGTTGATACCATCTTAATAACCGATCATATATGGGTACCAGAACCAGCATAGACCGGCCAGGTCCGGCTACGTCTGGGTTGACGCCTTTAGAGGGCTTTGAGAAAGTTGATTCTTTATCGAAGCCTGAATACTACGAAGCCAAGACATCTGAACCGAAACAAACAGGGGACAGAGACAGCGTAGAAGACGCTGAATCTCCTTCTCTCAAGTCAGGCGGGCTTCCACAACGGCCCAAAGGATGGAGTGTATGTTATGAATAGGCATTTGCTCCAGATTAAGCTACCAGTCCTAACTCGAATATAGTGGACACTTGCAGTTATTGTACTACTAGCTTCTTCCTTTCTTTATGGCCTGGATACTACCATCGTGGCAGACGTTCAAGCACCAGTGGTAGAGCAATTTGGTGCTGTTCAAAAGCTCAGCTGGCTCGGATCCGGCTTTCCCCTTGGATCAGTTGCCACAATTCTTCCAATGTAGGATACCACCCCCATCTCATATTAACACCCAAACACAAGGCTAATTAGCTTATAGAGGCGCACTTTACAATATATTTAGCATTAAAATTATATATATTGCCTCTATTATCTTGTTCGAGGCCGGAAGTGCACTGTGTGGTGCCGCACCAAACATGAATGCACTGATAATAGGGAGAGTAATTGCTGGGATAGGTGGTTCTGGAATGTATCTTGGGTAAGAATCAATACCAATGCTAACAAAATCAACTCTTGTGCTGACATATACAAGGGTCCTTACATATTTCTCTGTATTTGTCTCAGAGAGGCGCCAGCCGCTTTACGTGAGTACGTCTGGGTTCGTCTGGGGACTCGGTACAGTTATTGGGCCCGTCATAGGGGGCTTATTTGCACATAGTAATGCCACCTGGAGATGGGTATGTTGAACCGTTCCATGTGTACATTGTGGACTGCTAATGTGGCTATCAAGGCGTTTTATATCAACCTTGTTCTAGCTGCCGTGAAGGCACCCGTGCTTCTACTCCTGGTTCCCGACTATCTGCCTAAGCCCCACAAAGGAGCTCTTCAAAAGCTGAAAGAGTTAGACATCATCGGTATGGTTCTTAACGCCGGGATATATGTTGGATGGGTAATTCCGATGACGTTTGCTTCCACTCTCTGGGGATGGTCCGATAATCGCACAATTGCCTCGTTTGTCGCCTTCGGTGTTATCTTTATTGCATTTGCAATTCAGCAGGGCATTCCTCTCTTCACAACTCTAGAGAGACGTGTTTTTCCTGCCCAGTTCTTGAGACGCACAGTGATGATCCTCTTATACGTGAGCACCTCTTGCACGAATTCCGCCCTTCTCGTTCCTGCCTACTATATACCGATATTTTTCCAGTTTACGAGAGGTGATAGTCCGGTGGATGCTGCAGTACGTCTCCTTCCTTTGGTCATTCTTGCTATTGTATCGGTTATGGTCCAGGGGATCACTATGCCCCTGGTTGGATACTACACTCCATACTACACCATAAGTGGTGTTTTAATAGTAATCGGTTCAGCTCTGATGTCGACAGTTGGTGTGGATACTCCAGTTGCCAATATCTATGGATACAGCATCATTATTGGAATTGGAACCGGACTTGGTATACAGGCTTCCTATGGAGTTGCAGCCGCGAAAGTCAAGGAAGATGAGGTTCAGCATGCTATTAACTATATCAACTTGGCTCAAATCGGAGCTGAGACCCTCTCTCTTACTGTTGCTGGAACTATTTTCCAACAGCTGGCGTTCAAGAATCTTTCCAAATACCTGGCTGGACGAGGCTATACTTCTGCAGAGCTTATCGCCGCCATTGCTGGGACACAATCCGTCATCCTCCAGAACGGCTCTGAGGAAGTTAGGTCGCTGGCTATCGAGGCCATTGTGGAAGCTATGAAGAAAGTCTACATCACTATGATTGCAGCTGGAGCCCTTCAGGTGATATGTTCGGTCTTCCTCCCTCGAGAGAAGCTCTTCATGAAGCCTGCAGCCGCATAAAGGCAGTTTTCTCTAGAGATGCACCACAATATCATAGCAAGAGTATGCGCTGCGGTACCTGACTCTAAGCTATCAAACCGTGAGATGAGGACTACCTGGGACAGATGAGGTGCATCATTTCTTCCAAAGTTCCGTTGGAGGAACCCAGATCCTGTCTTCTGAGGCCGATGATGCTCTTTACCATTCAATTACTGGCTTGCGTTCATCCTTGTTTCACCACCAGTTGTCTGATGCAGTTTGCAGTGCCTCTCTCCTGTCCAAACCTCTCCTATATGAGCCCTCGGCTCCGGTCAAGCACTGCGACGCTGATATAAGGGATAAAAAAAGATATAACTATTTAATCCCATCACTTCTCGCAGGCTTTGAAAAGCTACATCATCGTCATAGTTCCTTATGTCTATTTACAATACCTTCGTATATAGGTAGACCTGACCGCTGGTGTGCCACTGGTGGCTGGAGGCTATGAATATACTAGTTAGAAAGAAGGCCTTCCATCAAGCTAAAGTAGCTAGTCATGCTGTATCTTGATCTTGTCACTCCGTAAGGTCTTTCTTCGTCTCGTCCTCGTCATCTGATGAATTCACGCGGTGGCTTTTTCATGTATAGAATCCACGACGAATGGGGATGATGTCAACACGCCAAGCCAGTCTCCTGATCCAACCGCAGCTGAAATATAACTAAAGGCAAAGGACAGCGTAATCAAACAAAACGACGTCAAGCGCTTCAAGACCTACAGCCAGCCATCCGCTGGCGCCGACGAGAGGCAAATTATATGGGACCAATGCTTCTGCAGTGCTGAGATCTCGCTTTTGTCATCACTGAAGTCTAGTGTATGTTTGTGCTTTCTTGCGAAGACTACCTACCCAGTCGCCTCCTTATGTACTCGACACCAAGCGCAATAAAAGAATAGAAACTGACCCTCCATCCCCCTTAGATACAAGAACCTTTTATCATTACCGATCGGCACCGCATACTCCCTATTTCACCCCTCTTGCTTGCGTTTGTGAAGTGACAGCCGCGACAGCCCGCGATCCCAGGTTGAAGGCCTGCTTGCTGAAGTGCGATTGAGTGAGGCTCGATATTTGAATGAGGATTACACCATGACTTCAAATGGGCACTTTTCTTCTGTTGGAGATGTTGACGGAGGGGACTATCAGCATGGAGTCCAGGTAGTGGACGGCGATAAGGAATTCAAGTACGTCACCTTTGTGAAGCAAGAGCACTGTCTACATGTTTTTCGCACTGGGCGCTCTGTGCGACAACTTGAAAGGACAATGATATACACGCCGTTCTCTATTATTTGATTGCTGACTTTTGAGTCTATACGAACAGTCTGAACCTGTCGAAATATCTGATACACGAGAATGTTACCCCGGCAGGATTTAATTACCACCTTATCTCGGTCTTTGGCTCGCAGTCCACCGGAAAGTCAACCCTCCTGAATACCCTCTTCAAAACAGACTTCAGCGTCATGTCCGAGACCGAAAGACGTCAGACCACTAAGGGAATATGGCTCTCGAAAAATAAACGTACTGCTTCAAATGAAAAAGAGAAAATGGCGGATAATATTTTGGTCATGGACGTCGAAGGGACTGATGGCAGAGAGCGCGGAGAAGACCAGGACTTTGAACGCAAAAGTGCCCTCTTTGCGCTCGCTACAAGTGAGGTGCTTATTGTCAATATCTGGGAACACCAGGTTGGATTATACCAGGGAGCCAATATGGGTCTCTTAAAGACAGTTTTTGAGGTAAATCTTCAGCTATTCCTCAAAGATACAAAGTATGTTACTCCCCCCCAACATTACTCCACTTCCACAAAGAGATACTGACATTTGGTACCTCTGCTTCATATAGATCCACACCCAGGTCTCTACTATTTTTTGTTATTCGCGACTTCGTGGGGACGACCCCACTTAAGAATTTACAGAATACCCTAATGCAGGATCTCCAACGAATATGGACATCACTCTCCAAACCAGAAGGGACCGAAAATTCTACTATTGAGGATTACTTCGATTTTGCTTTTGCAGGCTTACCTCATAAGAGTTTCCAGCCGGAAAAGTTTGCTGAGGAAGTTGACAAGCTTAGTACTCGATTCAGAGATGGCCACCGTAACCCTTCTAGCCTGGCTGTTAAGGGTACAGCGGCGGAAGACGGCGTTTTCCTTCCTGAGTACCATCGACGAATTCCAGCGGATGGCTTTTCCGTTTATGCGGAAGGGATCTGGGAACAAATTGTGAATAATAAGGATCTGGATCTTCCTACTCAACAAGAACTCCTTGCACAATTCCGCTGTGACGAGATTGCACGAGAAGTACTTGTTCTCTTTGACCAAACCATCGGGCCGTTTGAAGTGCAACAAGCTGATGCAACTCGATCCGGAATTCCATTAATTCTCGCTGGCCTTGGTGTCGCTATGCGTACAGCTCGGGGAAAAACAATGGCCAGTTTCGAAACCGAAGCCAGCCGGTACCACAAGCGTGTTTTCGCAACCAAAAAGTCCGAGTTAGAGGAGAAAATTGATACCCGACTTAAAGCACTATTTACCGGTCAACTCAGTGCCGCCCACAAGTCTGGCGTTGCCGAATTTAGTGAAGCAGTCAGTTCTGCCGTTAAGGCAGGGCAGAAGAAAGGTGCCAGTTATGATTTTGCAGAAATTGTTACCAGGGAAAGGAAGCTCGCAATTGAGAAGTTTGAAAAGGAGGCAGGCACCGTTGTGGTAGAGGGGGCTCCTTGGAGCGATTACAAGCAGGAACTCTCCCTATACCAAAAGGATCTCGAAAAGATCAGTTCACAGCTAAGAAAGGACGAGATGAGGCGCCTTGCCACTAGAGTTGAACGATGGGTGAGATCTCGGCTAGGTGACTCCATTGATCTTGAGTTCAACGCCCTTGGTTCAGGAAGAGGCGGCTCCAGGGCCCCAGAGGACGGAGAAAAACCCAGTGAAAAAACAATTTGGGATAGAATTTGGTCTCTCTTTGTAAACACCGTTTTGGACGCCGAACGAAGATTCACAGAGCGAGCCAAGAGCTTTGATGCAAGCTTGGAGGAGGTTGACGTTGGCCTATGGAGACTGCGACGAAAATCCTGGGGTGTGCTACGTTCTAAGATCGATGAGGAGATGATGGAGGGGAACATTCTCCTTAAATTGCGCGAAAACTTTGAGGATAAATTCCGTTATGACGACCTTGGTGTACCCCGGATCTGGCGACCTACGGATGATATCGAAGGAATCTACACCATTGCCAGAGAATCTACGCTTAATTTGATTCCCCTCCTAGCCCGTTTTAGGCTAAACGAAACTTCCGCGCCTCCACCGTTGGATAAATGGGTCGGTCATATGCCCAGCTCTGCCAGCGCTGTCGATGAAGAAGACCTTGCGCCAATTGGTGGCGTTGATGAAGATGATGGCAAAAGTCTGGAAGAAGAGATGACTATGCTGAGCGAAGCTAAAAGACAGGATTTGACTGTTCGATTCAAAAAAGCTGCTGATGGCGTGTACGTTGAAGCAAAAAGAAGCGCCATTGGCGGCATTACCCAAGTACCATTGTATTTTTACGGCCTCCTCCTGGCTTTGGGCTGGAACGAAATAATCGCCGGTGAGTATTGCTTCTTGCATCCTTTACTATGAAATTACGACCCGTCAGCTAACCCATCATTTAATAGTCCTTCGGAACCCAATATACTTCTTGTTCCTGCTAGTCATTGGCGTTGGAGCTTATGTCACTTTCAGACTCAATCTCTGGGGCCCTATGATAAATATGGCAGAAGCAGCCTCTCGCCAAGCTGTTGAAGAGGGTAAACGACGACTTCGAGAGTTCTTGGAGTCGTCTGATACCGGACGCCAGGCCATGGCTATGTCCGGGCGCAACAGTACACATGTTGAAGAATTTGAAATGTCATCCAACCTCAAGAGCAAGGGAAGGCGTTCTACCACGGACGATGATGACGATGACGATGACTTGTAAAGGTACTCTATATATTTTTTTCTCTTCACCTCGTTTATCAACCAGGTATATTATCACTATCAGCTTTCTGCTTCTTTTCGCTGGTCATATTTAACTTCCAGTTTTCGTTTTCCCTTCCGTCTCCACTGATGGTCAGCCATCACCTCCACCATTTAATCTTTGTTCTAATTTGCATGAGTGGTTGTGTGTAGGAAAATTGGGAAGAAGGGTCTCGTCTGTAGAGCATCATAGAGTTACTTCAAAATAATATTTAAAAAAAAAAAACATCCGAACTCGTCTTCATAACTTTGGCACAGCATCCACCGATGCTCAATGTGGTTGTGGATAGGAGCTTACTAATCAAAAAAATTCGGAGTAAAATAAATCCATTCCGTCTAACTACCAAAGTGGCTCGTGCGTATAACATCGATGAAGTCACTTCCTTTCGACCTCGAACATTCGTTGCAACAACTAGAAAAGACCGCCTTGAACCCTCCAACTAAGTCAAGAAAGAGAACGTAAGGCTGAAAATGGGCTCCGTTGTTCTCCCTCATCTTACTACGGCCTGGCACGTAGACCAAGCTATTCTTTCCGAGGAGGAGCGTCTTGTTGTCATCAGATTTGGTCGTGACTGGGACAAGGACTGTACGTTTTACTCTGACTGCCTAAACAACATGACTGCCCAAGGCAAAGATAAGTTCTAACTTGATACGCAAATCAATATAGGCATGAGGCAAGATGAAGTGCTCTACCGAATCGCCGATCGCGTCAAGAATTTTGCCGTCATCTACCTTTGCGATATCGATCAAGTGCCAGATTTCATTCAGATGTACGAACTCTATGACCCTATGACAATAATGTTCTTCTTCCGCAATAAACATATGATGTGCGATTTTGGAACCGGAAACAACAACAAACTCAACTGGGTGCTGGAGGATAAGCAAGAGTTGATTGATATCTTTGAGGCGATATATCGCGGTGCGAAGAAAGGAAGAGGTTTGGTAGTAAGCCCAAAAGGTTAGTTGTGGATATCTTTGTCGGTTCTCTTTCAAAGTGTATCGGAAGATTTTTTTTTGACTAACAAGTCGCTGCTATTAGACTACTCCACCCGATACAGATACTAGCCGGTATCCAGGTGTTCTCGTGGAGTGATCCACGAATACAGGCAGTCACACGAGCATATATCAATATGAGCTCTAGGCTCGCCGGTCCCAATTCGATGTTCCCGTCTCCGTTCAAACTCGTTTGCGTACGGTCGAGTACAAATATGTTGGTGGAGACCTATATGTTGGTGGAGACCTTAATTTCTCTTTAACTGCGGGAGGAATATCCCGCCTCGAGGGGGCTACATTGTTACATTCCATCCCCTTCCACAATGGTATGTTTTGCTGGAACATTTTTCTTTCGTCATCAATAATTAATTCGAAGTCCAGAAGGAACAAAGATACTCTTCGTTTCGAATCAGAAACTTGATATTCAAATATCCTTACGGAGAGAGGCTGCAAAGTGCCTTAGTGGACGAACAGGCTATGCTATGATAGTAAATCTAATAGGCACTATGTCCGCTTGTCTGCTGACCGTCCACCCCCTGGCAATATCCAAGTCTAATGCACAACTTAGAGCCCTGATAAAGCCAGATTTCGATGTTAATATTCTAATAATGTGCTAAGAAATACAACAGTTATGCAAGAATATTCGATATGAAGTAACATATATTAGCAAGCGTGGCTAAACTGTCACACGATCCTTATCTTTGTCTCCTATAAATGTTGACTTAATGCTCAATTGTCGACCCCAAACGATCCACCTCAGTCAAACGGGCAGATCATCCACAGAACCCATTATTACACATCACACCTTCGCCCTAAGCACACATCCGTCCCCACGCAACCTAGGCATACAATAGCGATCTACTATGGTTTTTCCCTCTGCTTCCTTTCGCATTTCTTATCTCGTAAATAAACACGACGACTAAATCACCCTGCAGTTTCAACCTCGGCACAGAGTCACATGACATGCTCGTGCCTGGCCAGTGACGCGCGAAAACCGCTTTTCAAGTTAAACTAGGGAAACGCCATCAATCAATCTATTCTATTGACACCTTTTTCTTTCTGTCTTTTATTTTAGCTGTCCTTTTCAGCACTGTTTACGATTACAGTGCCCTCCAAGTTTCACTCGTTTGAATTGGGTTCCTGGCTACTTCGTTGGCCACCTCCCTTACTCTCTCTCTTTATATACTCAGGACCCCAAGGTTTCAAAACTGCTGAGGCTGAAAGATAACCTGCAGCCTCACCTACTTAAACGAACTTGAATACTCCTGCTATCCAATTCCAGGAAGAGTTCTACGTAACGGGGACTACAAGAGCCGTAGGACGCTGAACCAAGAGTTCCACGATGGCGGTGTTGTCAGTCCCGGTTGTTCTGGCTACCGCTAGCCTGGCCATCCAAAAAGCTCGTGCACAGTTAACCTGGAAGAACCTACTCTTATTATATATTTTATTTAATCTCAAATCAGTGCCCTTTTCGTGGCATGTAAGGCTACTCCAGCGCAATTCTCCTTGCTCCCCTTGCTCCCCTTGCTCCCCTTGCTCCCCTTGCTCTCCTAGCTGACTTCCCGACCACTATAGATTCGCTTATTCTATCATCTACTCAGCCGAATCCATCTGAAGAAACACATTTATCCAAACCCGAAATCGAAAGACGAGAAGAAGCCAGGCCATGTTCACCCAATATTCGTACCGTCCAGCATAACAAGCAGGACGACGTTATGGGAGACCGATTACAACATTCACAAATCGAACAGTACATACTTTTCCGATCTCGATATCGCACGTACGACTTTAGTGACCAGCTTGTATAGCCCTGGCCTGGAGCTTGTTAAGCGCGAAATGAATAAGAGCGTGATGCCATGGCAAGCAGCTATATCCTGGCAGAATTGCGGTGATGCTGGGATCTGTTTACTGCACGTTCAAGAAGGAAATCAAGTCGTTTGAGAAATACGAGATGCGGACCAAGATTGCTGGCTGGGACGAGAAATGGCTATATATATTGACCTTCTTCCTGCGATTCCCCAAGCGCAAGGGAGAGCCCAAAGTACTACTTGCAGTTGGAGTGAGCAAGTATGTAGTGAAGAAGGGCAGAAAGACAGTTCGGCCCGAAAACGTTCTTCGGGCGAGTGGATTGCTGCCTCCCCGACCACCGGGTGAGGAGGTACCCTCACCACCAACCGCTCTTGATACCCCTGCAAATGGCGAGGCAATTGAGTCAGGAGAGTCCCTAGACGAGCCTCTTCTCCGCAAGGTGCTGACTTTGACGGAGAATTCCGACCTTGATAAGGCCGTGCTGGATAATGACGTTAAGAAAAACCGAGACAACACCGAGAAATCTGGTGCCTGGGATTGGCATAGGATTGAAGAAGAGCGACTTCGTGGCATGGACGTCGTTCGATCATTCGTCAATATCGATGCAAAACTCCACGAAGAGGTTGATCTATCTGTATGACGTTCTTACCGGATGTGTATAGTATTTTGTCTTTTTCTTTAGTTTTCCCTTCATATCTTTATTGTATATAATATATACTTTGAACCCTATTGAGTCAAACATTTGGCACTCCGCGTTTGCCTATTAGGAGGCATAGAGCTTGGAAGCTCCACGGATAGAGCCGCGATTAATAGATTAATAGATTAAAATGTATCGCTGTTTTGCAGGTAGTCTATTGTTGGCTATACATTTTTGAAATGAAAATAGAGTTCCAATATAGACTATTTACAGCCATAAACGCCTTTTCCCACCAAGACCTCCTATTATAAAATGACAGGCAGCCTCGTCCAATATCCTTTTTAACGGGTTCTAAGAAATGAAAAGTTCATAAATTGTAACAGGCCAGCGTCCAGGTATTGCTGGTACATAGGCAACATTTGGGAGGTGAGCCCATTTTATGAAACGCGGGTTGGTTGGGACGGGGCACGAGAGGTGAGAGTTTCGGAGGTGTTTCCGTGGTAGAGTGGGAAAAAGGGAGTGAAGTAATGTACACTCAAAACATACGCTTCGAGATTTAGATTGGTATTATCGCTAAGTAAAGAGGAAAGGCGCGAGGAACGGATGCGGTTTAAGCCCGAGAATGCTTAAATGGTGGTGGTTGATTAATGGTTTTTGACCTTTGCCTCCTCCTTGTCGTGAATTCGGTGTTCTTCAGCGTCGACCATATCCTTCCACAGGTCATCGTTGGTGTTTTTGTCCTTCTTCGCTTTGGCCCTTACAGCATCGGCGATTCCTCGACCTTTCCTTTGATCCGAAATTTCAAATGCTGCAGTAGCGCAGAGAACGGCCAGCGTAAGTCCCTGAGCGTAGACTCGAGCCTGTACGATCTTCTGTGGTCCAGTCAAGTAGGGGCTCCGGCTGACAAGGGCAAACGACCCAAACATGCTGGCAAGCCAAGTGAGGCCGACAATCTTGTACTTCTCCTGGCGAGCGAATTCGAAGATTCGGTCCCTCACGCTCATCTGTGCCAATTCTTCCTTGCGTAACCGGGACTCGCGGTCTTCTAGGAACTCTATGTCCTGTCTCTGGCTCTTCTCAAACGACCGAGATCCATGGTCGGCTGCAACAATTCCGGTAAATGTGCCTGTTGATGTCACTAGGAAGGCCTTCATAGGGAGTGTGAGGTTGCGGACTCCGGCCCATCGTTTCGACGCTACCAATACACCGGCCCAACCGCCGATGAGACCTGCAATTCCACCGATTGTTACTCCCTGTAGAACGGCCCTAGAAGACAAGTTAGTATTGGAGCAGGGGATGCGACGGGAGTTACTACTGACTTGTGGTGGGCATCTTCGATTTCTTTAGTGATGATCTTCATCTTGAAAAATAAATGTCCAAACTCTGCAAACTGTGCCTCTAGTTATGGCTCGGATTAATCGAACGAGATCTATGACGATGCGAATTTGTCCTGCGACAGGGTACTGCGGCGTCTCGACCGTTATATAGCTTGGAGTGATGAAAAATTTGCCGTTGTGTCAGGAATGCAGAGCTGAGCCAGCCTTAGTCAACACGAAGGCCCAGCTATGACGTTCTCGCCTGCTGCAAACCCCGACGAGGGACGTTTCGGGCGGCAAAAACTCGGCCTCGGGGTTTGGCAGGCTTAGCTGCGACAAACCGCATTCTTCGTCCACTGGTCTTTTGCCGGATAGGCAGGCACATAAAACAATAACTGATAAGATACAGCCTGGTGACCCTTTTCCACCACTCCGAGAGCGCGCAGCAACGACAACAGTCAAGCGTCTGTCTCGCAGGTCGACCAGAGGCGCTTGCGTGCCGGATCCACGGAATCATCTCCCACGGAGTAAGACTCCGTGCCTGCGTTCCGCCCTTCCAATCGTCTGGAGTGAAGCCAGAGAGGCAGGCCTGCCTCGGTAGCTATGGGTTTTGTAGTTCCACAAACAACTTGGGATAACGCTTTTGTCAGTGTTCGATAGATTGCGGCCCACAAGACCTTCTTCTTTTTGTCCGCATGTCCAAAACCGTGGACAAGGTTGCTTCGAAGTCCTTGCTATAAACTCTGGCATACTTGTCTTTCGTCCTCGTACCTACCCCGTTCAAGTTCTCAACGACGCTCATCATTTTGCATGGCAAGCGCTCCAGCAACCATATAGGTTTCGGAACTCTGCTTGCCTGCTCACAGCACCTTTTCATAGGTTAGCACCGTCGTCCTCCGGTTAGCAAAGTATAGGCCTGTGTCACAGTTACGTACTTTTGGCGTTAGCTTGTACCTTGCCTTCAATTCCAAGGCAGACAGGATGCCCTTCTGGACCGCAGCAAAACGTTTGGCAAGCATATTCGAATTCATCTTGGATAGTCATGACACTTTGCAGGAATAGCTAGTTAGAATAAAGTATCAGATGTCGTTCTGTCAAAAAAACAAAAAAAAAAAAAAAAAAAAAAAGAGATGTCGTTAGAAATATCCCCAGGTTGACCTCTACACCTGCTATTTATAGCATATAACCCGTTACGGAAGTCGCGATGTTCTCATCGATATTGCCTACTTTAAGTTATTGTCAGTTTTCGTATTAGTCATCTCATTTCACTATTATCATCATCATCCTTCTGATAGCTATTTATTAGGTTACTAGCCAGCTTCCCAGTTGGGTTGATTTGCGAGCTCCTTGAGGATGGACCGCCCAAGTTTGCAGCATCTTGATATGTTGTAGAAGGAGGATCTGATAGCTATGTCTCGAAGCTATCGTCTGCAAGGTCAGATAGAGCTGTTTTACAACTGCAGGGTAGATTTTGACGCGCAGTAACTACAATTACCTACCTAGTTATTAGCTAACTAAGTTGTGGACTCAGATAAAAAAACCTCTCCTATATTAAGCAAGACAAGGTACTCAGCCCGAACTCTCTATCCGAGCTAGCGATGGAAGACGCCGACTCTGCTGAATTGTGTCTTCGAGGTATGCCATTACAGAACCCCTGATCGCCTTGCCCACATTGTCCAACGTTCCTCTGCCTGAAGCTGTGGCGAGTCTCCAGAGAGACCCCCATAACTTAGCCGACCGGTCAGTACCACACTTCAGTTGTGACATATGTGATGAACAACCCTTCCTAATCCTCCTAATTTGCTTTTGTACACGGTCGTAGTCATCGTGCACGTCGAATAATAGCCCGTCGAATGGGTAGGACGAACATACGTCAATAAGGTCTCTGTCAATCGTATCGGTAACAGCTATAATACGTTCCAAAAAAGTCTGACGGAGCTAAAAATCCGAAACAAATTCCTCGATAATCAATGAATCAGCACATAGAGATTGTAGGTCGCAGAAGTACGCTGCTTCTTACCTCTCGAGACTTCTCCCGAATAGTAGTAGTGATATCATCAATACCACGCACAATAAATTTAAACGTACCATCCCGCTTTCTAAAACATCAAGCGATTCCGACGTACTTTGTACTAGCACAGGGTCGTTACCTGATCTAAAAATTATCCTAGAGCATAAAATATGTATAATACCCCCATAATACGGCACTTTCTTTGTAGTTAACTCCTCGACTCTTGCCTTTGGACCCTAGGCTACAGGTAGAGCTTCAAAAATAGGCCGTGTTGGTTGAGGCCAACTTTCTAGACTGAATAATCGGTGGACACACGAAACACCCTGTTACATTACCGAAGAAAGGAGGCTATCTGTAATAATTACGACTATAATGAGCAGGGACAAGAAATGCTGACAGGGAGTCGGGTGTGGAGTTTCCGTGTGCCAGGCCTCGAATCCCCCAGCCCTATTTAAGCTTTCACCGCTAGCGCCGGCTGAGTTGAGCCTCAAGCTTAAAACTATAAATAGATAGATAGATCAGTAGCTTACTCCTCTGCTGATAAAGTATACCCGCATGTTTATCTCGTTGCGCAGTTACTGATAAAAAGGTGGCTATTTAATGTAGCGTTGGTTCATTTGGTTAAATTATATATTCACTATTATATCACCGTGGCTCCAAAGCGGCAAGACAGCTCTGTAAACGACGGGAAGTTTGATACTACATTGATAACCATTAGATGCTGTATTAGAATGTTTTAATAACATTCATTCACATCAGGTATACGTATGTATCTCCTCGTGTCATGTTGGTGAGTGATGGTCCTCGTCAATCGAATAACATGTTAGGCTAGAATGTATATACAAAGTGGTAATGATTGTAGCGGCCTCTATTAATAACAACAATTACAAAAGAGTACGTCCACGCCCAGTAAACTGACGCATGCCATGGTCTTATCTACCTTGATTAAACTGGAGTTACTCTGGCTGGAAGGGCGAGGAGATCAAAACAAGAAACTGGAAACCATGAGAAATGATGGCCCTGTTGGCAGAGCGGTGGAGCATATAATTGACTAGAAAATGAAACTTGCACGTGGAGCGACACAGACGTACCCAGTCATCTATTAATTAATTTTATTCATAGCCAGGCAACGTTTAATGATGCCAAATTCAAAATGAGGTAGCTTCAATTTTGACTAATTATTGTTCTATTTTCGTGCTGTGAGTCCCAATACGCCTAGAATTACATTTCATTGCAAAGAGGATAAAACAAATTGTAAGAGAAAGAGAGCCTCGCAGAGACTGGAAGAGATATGGGATCGAAAACGCTGTAAAGACAAGATGAGTAATCAAATCTGCAGGTAAAGAAAGTAAAATAAGGTGGACGAAGGGAGCAAGGAAAGGTGGCCTATCGCTTTGATCCCTTATTAGCGGCAATTTGCCTGGCTTTCATACGTCTGAATCGATCTTCTCCGCTGGCACCTAGAGGGCGAGCAAACTTGCTCTCAGAGACGCCCATAGATCGTGGCACAACAGTGTAGCTAGTGTGGCTACTTTCGACACGAGCACGATTGGCAAGACGAGGTGGAAGCAGTTCTCTAGCACGCGCTTCCGCAGCTGAGGCTTCGGCAGATACAGTTCGATCAGCGAGTCGGCTAGAGATTTTGTTAGTTCTACCGATAAAGCTGTATAAAGGTTACGTAGGGGCTCATTCAAGTAACATACCTGGGATCGAAATCGACTTCCTCGTAGACTCGTTTAGAGTAATCGTCGCTTCTCTGGAGAATAGGGCGGGTCCATTCAGCGAGAAGACGTTCAGCCTGGCGTTTGATCCCAATCTCCGGGCGCTTGCTTTTTGTATAAAATACAATAACTTTGCCAATACCACTAGCAATCAAAGTCTCCTTGTTAATAGGTAGTCGTAGCAATGCTGCCATTAAATCTCGCTGGATATTGTAAGCTGGCAAGGAACCGTCATCAAGAGGTTCTAGGAAAAATTTAACAGCTTCCAGAAGGTTTATTTCTGGGTCGATAAGACTGTTAACATATTGGTTGCGGTTGAGGAGGGAAACAACCTCTGGAAGCATCTTAAGCTTGTGCATTGCAGGGCGGTTCTCTTTGCGAGCAATACTGTCTAGACGAGCTGCGTCGGTCATGCGCTTGCGAACCTCTTCGATCTCTGCATCGGCATAATCCGCCAAATCCTACAAGGGATGGATATCATGTCAGTGGTAGCCATGCAAAGAACAACAGGAATATGGACTCACGATCCCATCTGCTTTCTTGATACGCCGTTTCGAAGGCTTCTTCAGCGCTTCGTCCATCATCCGGTCCAAAGCACGGCGTCGCCCTATGAAAGTCCCTAGTTAGCATTATCCTAAGTTGTTGGCTTTTCCTCTGACTAGAGTATAACTTACTAGTAGCAGGATCCAGAGACTCTTCATCGATCTCTTCTTCCACTTGTTTTTTACTCTGTCTGGGAGCTTTCTCGCCCCCTCCCTCTCTCCGTTTTCTTCTCCTTTTGCCGTCCATCTCCTCTCCACCGCTGAACTCTTCGCTACCCTGCTTCTTCCTGTGGCTTTTCTTATCTCTGCGGCCCTCCTTCTTTTTCTTCTTCGTCTGACCCTCGCCATCTTCTTCAGTTCTCCGGCGTTTATGGCGACCCACTAGCTTCAAGTTTTCTTCATCGATGGCGAGTGCTGGACGGTCATCAAGAGGGATGTCGGCAGGGTCAAACTCCCTGAACTGTTCCTCGTCGACATCAGAAAGAACAGATTCATCGTCAGATATATCTGCCGCAATATCTCTCTCCTTATCAAGGGTCACATCCTCTTCGTTCTCGTCCTTTTCGAGAGCTGGCGAATCCAGACGCGGTTCTGGAGATTCGGACATGGTGCCTGCGTTGCGAGTTGACGCTGTAGAAAACTGAGGTAGTAAACTGTGCGCTGAGCCTGATCCGAAGAAATATGGTATAGAGACTGTGGTTACAGCAGATTAGAGGCAGAATGTGAGGAAGCGCAAGAGGTTGAACCCGAGCTCGAGGTGAAGTCGAAGCAGGTCGTCAGTTTGAAGAAGAGAAAAAGGTCAAGAGTTGACGTGCACTTGGTCTGTGCGCAGCCTGCGAACTTTCACCGGGGAAAAAAAAAAATGAAAAAGTTGAATAGAGAAAACCAACTAACAAATAATCACTTTGAATAAGGACCACCAACACAAGATACCATCCATTTAAAAAGAAGATAATAACTATCTATCAAAATGTTCATGCCAGGTAAATACTGCTTTGTTCGACTCATACCAAAAAGCCATTGACTAATGCACCATCTTACAGGACAGGAAGCCATCTCTCCAGAAGAGATCAAGGTACGTGAGACGACTCTTGAGAACTAAGGTCTTCTCTCTCTTATCTGGATTGTTTTTGAATATAGGCTGGTGAACTGGAAGCTTTCGAGACTCTCAAGATGGTTGCCACTGGGAGTGTGTTGCTCTATCTCTGTAAGTTGGCTGTTGTCACTCCCACGAGCTGAGCAATTTGAATAAGCAACATGGCTAACCGGTATTGTTACGATCATTATAGCGCCGTTTGCCATTGACTTCGTCCGAAGACTTTTCTAGACTACTACCAACCGGATATACCCATAGTTTCTCATAAGATGGATGGAGTTTGTTTCTGTTATTGGGCAATAGAGTGTTAATACGATGAAACCACATGGAATCACGACGGTTGGATAGGCACTGTCTATGAACAAACAGCCAGGCTTTGCCAAGGTCATAATCATTACATGTATGAGTATAGGGATTTGAAAGCAAGAGATTTAAATGCCAAGTGATCTGGAAAGATGATACCTATCCCACCACCGCATTTCCCGCAACGCCGTCTTCAACAGCCATAATAGAATATGAAATTCACACCTCAGAAAGATAGTAAGAAAAAAGGTGTCAATTATGAACTTAGCAATAAACACAATTCAGGGTCATTTCACGCGCTGCAGTATTAGCGATTAAGAGGGTATAGACTGCTCGAGGTTTCCAAAATCCTTTTGAACAGAAGCAAGTTCCTTGTTCAAATGCTGAATCTGAGTAGCGTAGTCCTCAAGAATCTATTATCTAGTTAGTACACGACTATGACAAACGGGATTTATCTTCCATGCCATACCTTCTTAGCAGTTTTTAGAGCTGCATCGTCAAGGGAATCGTCTGCCTGATTAGATGTGTCATTTCCTGTACGTTCAATTTCAAGCTGAAGGCGCTTTGAGTTCTCCCGGATAGCCAGCATCCTGGCCCAAATCTCTTCTGATCTTCCGTTAAGCGATGGGTCGAAAACTGCCCGCTCCAGCTGGAACAGCTTCTTGGCTAGTTCTTCCTCTGTTTGGTCCATAGCATATCCGCGGTTTCGCAACAGTTGCGTCTTTGATGCCAAGGCAAGGCATCTTTGGCTCAGCACTTTGTGTTTCCGTCGACAAGCTGCAATCTTGACAGATATGGTCAAGTCATGCCGTGACAATAACTCCGTCAAAGCATTATTAATTTCATGTAGCCGTGTCTGCATCATTGACAAGAAATCCTTCTGTCTTTGTGTGCGCTTCCCCAGCTCCCAGAATCCCTGTACAAGAACAGGGACATAACCAGGCCCTGGACGTTTTCTCAAAGCCTCCTCCCACTTGTTCTCATCATCGTTGGGGCCCGGCTGGAAAAATGGCGCAGATTCCTCGCCCACGTTATTATAGAGGTAGCCACGGAATGGAGATGACCGATTAGTAGCATCCCATTTGTCCTTTACGATCATTATCTGCATTGGCACGGTTCGGTGAACTATGGGGAAATTTATTAGAAAACGGCGTTTTGCATAAATAAGTCTGTTACTTACCTCCCGTCATTCCCTGTCCAGGAGTCCAAATGGTCGAACTACCAGCTTGCGAATATCCTGGATTTTGACCTAGCTGGGGTTGTTGCTGCTGTTGTTGCAGTGAGGGAGCGCCGAAACCTGAGAACGTATTTCCAGTTTGCGCCTGTGGCTGCTGCTGCTGCTGCTGTTGCGTGATACCGAAACCTGCTAATGGACTCGCATTTTGTTGATTTTGTGGTTGCTGCGTAGTAGTAGATCCAAGAGTGAACCCTCCAGTTTGTTGTTGCGGCTGTTGTTGTTGCTGCTGCGCTGTAGTGCCAAATCCAGAAAACGGGCTGGGCTTTTGTTGTTGCCCAATGCCACCGAATAAGTTACTCTGAGGCTTCTGCTGGAGTGACTGTCCGAAGAGTGAGCTTCCCTGCTGTTGTGGTTGCTGTTGAGTGCCAAATATGCTTCCAGTCTGCTGGGTCTGGTTCGTCGACTGGCCAAACAGAGATGGAGCCGAAGCTTGTTGGTTCTGTGTGCCAAATAGCGCCATCGCGTTTTGATATCCGGAGGCTAGATGGCGACTGGCCCTGTCGATGGCACGTCGTCGTGATCACGGCGCCAACTGTTGTAAAATAACGAGTACTCGAATTTGCGTGCGGTCACAGGAGAAAGATGACCCTTCAGAAGTGGACGAAGCCAGAGCTGACGTTTGGAAATCAGGACCTCCGTAAATCCCACCTCCTGAGTCCGATTCTTGCCCTCAGGAAGTACAAAAGCTGTAGTCGGTTTGGATGAGTTTTGGTTCCTGAAATATTTCCAAAACGGGACATCTTCAAAACTTAAATCACGTGATAGAAGCTTGCAAGCTGTGCTGGCGCTAGTCCTGATTAGGAATAATCTCAATATCAGAAACATCAAACTCCAGGAGAACGGAAAGAAGGTGATAGTCAATTTGATTGATGATGCATTCAAGGCGACATTAGGAGGGGATGTGCTATTTAGATCAAGCATAATGAACAGCCCCTAAGTCAACTCCAAGCCCCGCACACTGTGTTCTCCAATCAAGCAAGATGGCCGATACCCCAGAGACCAAGAGCAAGAGGGCTCAAGAGATAGCTCGACAGTGGCTAACTAAGGGAGGCATATTCCATGAAGACTCTGATGACGAGCTAGGGTCTGAGGACCTGCCATGGGAATGGATCTATGAGGAACCGCAGCCGTCCCCGACTAAGCCTTCGAAGGGCAACAAATCGGGACCTAAGATCATAGGGGCGCGAATGGGCTCGTTCGAATGCAGGATCGGCCACATTGTCCTTCTGAAATCTCCTGAGGCTGGCAAAGACTGGGCTGGAATTATATATGAGTTCTTGGATGACCCAGATCCGGAAAGCGGCGAGATTGTCAAATCTATGAATCTAATGTGGTTTACATCTCCTGACGAGTTTTTGTCCACAAAAAACAAGAAAAGAGCCGATGCCCTGCCAAACGAACAATACATCACAACCGACTTCAACATCAACCCCCTAATGTCCATAAACGGACGAGCCACTGTTATGTCCAAAGATGCATTTTACAAGAAATACCCCGACGGAAAACCACCAAAGGGCAAGGCCGCAGCAGCCGAATTTAACAAGTGCATTATCTGTCGAAGAGGAGTTAAACAGCTTCAGGGAAGATACACAGACGAATTTATCTGGGAGGATATTTATACAGAGTCTGAAGATGGCGTCTTTGAACTTGTAGAGTTCATAAGGGAGGCGCTCTCCAGGGCCAGAAAACGAGCCCAAAAGGGGACTGGTGTATGTTCCCAGTGAAGGCATATTATATTCCGTGGATGCTAATGTACTTGTGCTATAGCCAGCAAAAGATAAGCTAAACGATTTCGCTCCCTCAACACCGAAGAAGCGTCAAAAAACAGAGTCTGCAGCCGGCACTCCCCAGTCCCGGCAACGCCAGAAATACCTAACAACCCCGACGCACAAGAGGTAAGCATCTCAACAGCGGAAAAAAACTCTATGCGCTAACAATAACTGTAGAATCAAAGTGAAAAGACCACTTGAATTCACACCCCTATCAACTCGGACTCTTTCCCCCTCACATTTCACGGCGTCTCCTTATCGACAAGCCCGTAACCTGCTTCATGTCTCTAGTGTCCCAACGTCACTCCCCTGTCGTGATGCTGAATTTAACTCTGTTTACGACAGCCTACATACGGCTATCAGTGACGGTACTGGGACCTGTATTTATATATCAGGCCCACCTGGTACCGGAAAAACAGCCACAGTCCGAGATGTTATTGTCCATTTAAATACAAGAGTGTTAGATGAAGAAATGGACGACTTCATCTTTGTGGAAATCAATGGCATGAAAGTCACGGACCCCCATCAGTCATATTCTATGCTATGGGAAGCTTTGAAAGGCGACCGCATCTCCCCTTCTCATGCACTTGATTTACTTTCTCGAGAATTTTCCCGACCGTCTCCTCGTCGGGTTCCCTGTGTTGTTCTGATGGATGAACTAGATCAGCTAGTTACTAAGAACCAGTCCGTCATGTATAACTTCTTCAATTGGCCTGCTCTGCGGCATTCTCGACTTGTGGTTCTTGCAGTTGCCAATACCATGGATCTTCCGGAGCGAACTCTGAGCAATAAGATATCCAGTCGACTGGGTCTTACTAGAATTACATTTTCGGGATACAAATATCAAGAGCTCATGGAAATCATCGGATCAAGGCTTGAGAATGTCCCTGGGAATATTGTCGATGCAGATGCAATACAGTTTGCAAGTCGAAAAGTTGCTGCTGTAAGCGGTGATGCCCGTCGTGCGCTTGATATATGTCGTCGAGCTGTTGAGATAGCGGAGCAAATCAGTGAGACCAAAGCAAGAGAAAAACGTAAGTCATTGATTGCTTCTTCAGCAAACACAAATGGTGATGCGGATCTCGAGTTTTTACCTCCGACACCTAGCAAGAGCGTATCTCGCCGCAAATCCGCTGCTGCTATCTTGAGCTCTCCTCGAAAAGGAGACAAAAAAAGCGCAGACAGTACGGATGAAAATAGTCTTCCACGAGTTACAATTGCTACTATTAAGCAAGCCATCCAGGAGGCTACATCCACCCCACTGCAGCAGGCTCTCCGACGCCTGCCCCTCGCATCCAAGGTTCTTCTTGCGGGACTTTTAGCAAGAATTCGACGAACTGGAATAAACGAGTCTACTGTTGGCGATATACTCGATGAAGCCAAGCGTATATCTGACGCAGCAACGAGTGTGTCTTCTTCCTCCAGTACTAAACTCAAGGAAATTTTGATTTGCAATTCCCAGATACAGGGTATAGGGTTCGCAACCGTTGATTTGATAGATGCAGGTCTTGTTGTTTTAGAGGGAGACCATGGCACAAAGTCAGGAGATGGCATGAGCCATGCCTTAGGAAAAGGAAACAGAAGCAGCAAAGTTCGGCTACGGATTGCGGCGGAGGATGCCAGGGCGGCGTTTAGAGACGATCCGGAAGGGAATATGTTAGGCTTAGGCGTTGAAGGATAGTGCAAGATTAATGGAATATGCTTGGTAAGGCATTGATGCCCTAATACTTTATAAAGACATTTTACCATTATGCCAAAAGAGTATTTTAATAGAAGTACAGGTATGAATCTCATGATAAAACGATTTGTATGCTTGACCTAGGAAACCCTGAACCCGTTAACGCCGTCAAGCGCCATGATGAGAAATCCAACATGCCCACTCATTCTAATATCTTTTTCTACCGAGGGTCGGTTTCCAGTCTAGAGGGTGCGACTCGGGGGTGGCTTCATCATCAGGTTTCCAGATCTTGATAGTCTTGTCAGCCTCTCCGCAAATCAATCTCAGGCCTGTCTTGTCGAAAGTAGAAGCCATGACACCTGCTTCGGCATCTAGAGAACCTGGCTGTGCAATTGTGTCCAGGGACTGGAAACGGTAACCTGACTTCCAGTCCCAGAAAGACATGGAACCATTATCCCCACCAGAGAAAAGTACATTGTCCTCATTCACAGCGAGTGTGTTTATTATAGCATTTTGACCTTCAAAGTTCTGCATGAATGCACCTTCAGGGCACTTCCATTGCTTAATGCTTCCAGCGCTAGCACTTGCAAACGTAAACTCCTTTGGATGCGTAGTGAGCGCTCTGACACCTTTCTTGTGGTGAGTTAGGACGCCCATTGTCTTTCCAGCCGCCAAATCCCACAATCGTACGGTTGCGTCAAGGGAGGAGGAAATGACTTGGGGGTCTGCTTCTTGACACTTTACGTCCGAGACTGTGCCTTTGTGACCGCTGAGGACGTGGATGTTGCTTCGAGTACGCATGTCCCAGACACGCGCCACACCATCTCTGCCTCCCGTCACCAGTACATCTAATGTAGGGTGTAGTGAAAGTGTGTAGACACCGCTGAGATGGCCGTGATAGTGTCGGATAACCTTGTTCGTTTCGAGATCCCAGCACTTGACCATCTTGTCTTCTCCGCAGGAAAATAGATATGGATGTCTTGGAGAAACCGCCAGGCCTCTGACTGTGGATATATGACCTGTCAAGGTGAGCCTTAAAGTGCCCGTGGCCAAATCCCATATTTTGATAGTGCGATCTCCTGCACCACTGGCAAACCACTGGTTGTTCGGCTCTACTGCAAGACTTCTAACCCATCCTAAATGACCTGATATCACTCTCATCAACTTCCATGGCGCGTGCCAGTCCGGCTTCGGTTGCTGGGAGATATCCAGCCGTTTTATGAGACTCGTAGGGGCGCCATCTCCGCTTGACTGCGCACCACCTGGAGCAGCGCTTTTCACTAGCGCAGTTGACGTGCCCGGTTCTGGTTTTAATTTGGTGCGTTTCCCTCGTGCTGTAGCTGCTTTTGCTTGCTTCTCTGCTAGAGACGGCGGTAACGTCTGCACATCTCCGTATTCCTTTTTCCTCCGGTATGAGACACCAATAGATTCCGAGGTTATAGGCGTAACAGGGGAGAGATAATCGGAGCCAAACAGTTCGTGTGTTCGTTTAGCAGATTTCCGAACCGCCTCGTTCGCCGAGATGCTCCCTTGAGCTACCTCCATCGTTTCGACTATCGTCTGTAATGATCAGAAGCGCTCACTTCGGCTGTGCGCTGGAATCAAGGACCACGCCAAAAGGAGCGAGTCCTGGTAGGCGCGCTTCAAACTCGATATTCAAGGCAGAGTTCGTTGCGGTTTAAACGGTAACAAATCAATCTAACCCGTGGTGGTGTATTTGTTGAAGTATGCCTGTCCAAATCGAGACAAAGGGTGTTGATAATGCGAGAATTGTAGCTTGTGGTTGTTGATGGAGGAAGCATGGAGCTTGGTGTTGCGGCTAAAGAGAAAAAAAAAGGCTGCGTCTCTTCGCCAAGACTTGAACCTCCATCAAAACAGCCGCGCTCCGAGATAGCCGCCACAGCAAGACTTCAACACAACAAGTCGTACGATTCACCTGTAAAAAGACGTCAACGACGTGATAGGGAAGGAGGATGAAATATTGCGAAGATGGACCCGGATTATAATGCAAAATTCGCTATCCATGAGGCTGCTCGTGAGGGAAAGAGTACTTAGCCCCATTTGCTTGACAATCTAGATGCGCCTGTCACTAACAGTTGCATAGACCTGGTAGTTGAATCTCTACTCAATGTAAGTCAGTTCTGTATACTGGCTGGTTTCGATGCCAACTAGGTGTTGTGTTTCATGGCCTTGTTAACATAGATGATCGGACTATAGGCAAACCCCAAACTTGCATACCTAAAGGATGGAGATGAGAGATTGCCTATCCACTGGGCTGTTGCATATAACAGGCCACCCATAATCGAGCTCCTCATATCAATGAAAGGATTTGATCCTGACGTTACTGTCAGTTTTAGTATAACTCAATACCCTGCTATGCTTATAGGTCCAACTTACTAAGACCAGAATAAGGATGCATCGGGATGGACGCCACTCATGATTGCAGCAAGTTTGAAAGACGGAGAAGGTGACGCCATAGTCGACCAGTTACTTCGTAAAGATGCGGATGTCAATATGAAGACCTCAAGTGGCCAGGTATTCCTTCCTCTTTCCCTGAAACTTACGCCTGGGACCAAGATATCAAACGTATTGACCCTGATAGAATGCCATCCATTTTGCTACTTCGAAAAATAACATATCCACTGTTCGCAAGTTGCTTGAAAATAAATGCAGCGCAAGGGTGAAAGACAAACGAGGTCAACTGCCACTTCACCGTGCAGCAGCTATTGGATCAGTCCCACTGGTCAAACTCCTTATCGAAGAAGGGAAGAGCCCATTGAATGCTACGGATGTCGACGGCCTGACTGCTCTTCATCATGCAATTTCAGAAGGGCACGGAGAAGCAGCTTTGACCCTTCTAAGGGCTGGGGCTGAGGCTGATAAACGAGACTCCAACGGTCAGCTTGCTATCGAACTTTCTCCAGATTCTAAGGTGAGAGGCATTCACTTCGCTTTTGACGTCATGATTTGTGTAACAAATGGGTGTAAATGCCGTTATCTGACCGACTTCGATAGGTTCGGAAGTACATCCTTGAAACTGCGGAAAGAGAAGGCATTGAATTGCCATGATGATATTTATTATTGTTGAGTACATCAAGAAATAATGAGATTAACGACACGCTTCAATTGGCCACATTTCAATACATTTGATAACATATTTCCTCACAGTAGATTCCCTCGTATCTAATCGTTATAGCGGCAGTAACAGGGGTAAAGTTATAAAATGGGGGACATTCAACACGGCAACGCCGAGCCTGGTCTATGACTGCAGATGTTTCTGGAGTGTGTCGCGGTATATATCCTTTAGGTCAGCGATATCCGCCTTTAACTCTTCTACTTGCTCGCTCTTTTCACCAAGCATTTCAAGAGTAGTCTGATATCTCTCGTTCAGTTGTTGAACCTGCTCTTCAAGCTTTCGTACTTCTTCATCTCCAGCTCTCTTCTCTTCAACTTCTTTCATAAGTTCAACAACTTCACGTCTTGCTTCGTCTCGCTGGGAGGTGATACGTTCTAATTCATCTTTGAAGCCTGCACGTTCACTTTCAAGCCGGCGGACAGTAGCACTCATCCTCTCCACCAACTGTACAGATGGCCCAGCTGCAACGGTAGACGCAGAAACAACATCATGAGCTCCACGAGAGTGTTGAGTATGAGTTCCCGGTACTGAGGGAGTTGCTGGGGTAACAGAACCATTAAAATATTCGTCAGGTTCTAGTGTCTGGACGGAGACATTGTCAACTAGTGGAGACGAGGTATCATGGGCAGGTGTACCACGAAGGAGCGGATTGGAGTTCAAGGACGAGTATGAATTCTGCCTAGGAGGAGTATCCAGCTTAGGGAGAGTAGACGACCTGCGGCTATGTGGGATCTCAGAGAGAGAGGATAACACATCTGATCGTCGACTCGGCGTCGCAGATTCCCCTCGAGCTTGAAGCACCGATGGAGAGGCTGCTATGCCTTCCTGCCATTTGGCTCTCTCATCCTCGAGACGCTGTTCCCAGGTAGCATCCAGAATCTCCTTCTGCTTCAACAGATCCTGCTGTGCTGCAAGTAGTTCCTCCTCCACCTTTTCGAGTCTTGCCTGCAACTTTTTCACTTCGTGTTTACTCTCTTCAAGGTTCCGCTCAAGCTCACGAGAAAGTTCACGGGAGTTCTCACAGTCTCCTTCAGCTCGTTTGACTTTTAGAACCTGTTATATGGATGTTAACATACACGTCAATTTCTTTAGGGGTTAAAGGTCCCTTTCTTACCGATTCCCGGACTTTCCGGCGCATGTCCCCTTCCCGTTTAGCAAAATCATCCCTTTCTTTCTCCACACTGGCTAGGCGGGAGAGCAAAGAGGTCTCTATTCCATGCCAGTTGTCACTGGCTACAGCATACTGCGTCTGTAAAGTCTCTACCTGCCGTAGGAGTTTGGCTTGCGCGTCACCAGTAGCGCTCGATGAAGCTTCCTCAGCACGAGCTCGTAGGCTTTCCATCTTACTCTCCAAGACCGATTGCTCTCCCCGAAGTTCAATTTCTTGGGTCCTTGAGCGCTCCTTTTCTCGGTTAAGGCTGTCCTTAAGATCTTGAATCTCACGACGTAGCTTCTCCTCACTGAGTTCATGCTCCACTTTCGCACTGGACAGCTCCTCCTTGAGCTCAGTAAGCTGCCGGCTCTCTACTTTTGCGGTTTCTTCTTCAGCCTTTCTCTCAGCAGCTTCAGCTCTGGCAGATGCTCTAGATAGCTGGTAGCTCAGGTCAGAGACAGTAGCTTTCAAGATATTGCGCTCAGCAATTGTAGATTCTAGATCTTCCTCTGCACTTGACTGTTTGTTTAAGCTGGCAGTGGCTCGTTTCTCAGCTGTCTCTGCTCGTTTAGCACGGTCGTTTGCTTGATTTAGATCTTTTTCCATTTTCTCAAGCCTCTTTTTGAGATCTGCCTGAGATTTGGTGTTTTCCGCTATGTACTGCCGAAGCTTCTTGATAGTTGATCGATGCTCGAGCTCGGTTTTTGACAACTTTTGACCTTCCTCCATAAGAGCTGCAATCTTCTCCTCCTTTTCAGAGAGCTTCTTCTCCATAGTGCCAGGAGCAGCAGTGGCCGTAGAATTACGAGCAGACTCTGCTGCTTCGCTTGCTAGATACTTCAACTTTGCTTGAAGAGCATCAATCTTTTCTATGTAGTTGTGTAGCTCCTCTTGCCATCGCAATTCAGATGCTTCATGATCGGCCTGCAGCTTAGCCATCGCCGCCTCATAGTCTTCAAGACGATTTAACCGGGACTCAGCTCCATCCACTTGAGCAATCTGACCTGAATTCACATCTTCATCGTTGTTGGAAGACTCTGAGGGGCCTGGCATTTCATCAGCGTTCTTGGATGCTGCTACACCCTGTTCCCCAGACAGTACCTCATTTGACCTTCTTTCTTGGACAGTAGCATCAATACTAGTGCGTGGCACTGAACCAGTAACCGATTTGTTATCTGATGCTGTATCGTCTGTAATCTTCTCTATGTTCCCAGTGGTGCTATCAATGCTCGTTCTGCTGCCATCTGCGGGGAGTGGACTGGAGGTTCGTGAGGGCACGCCAATTGATGATGGCGGACTGGTGACCCCTCCAGCTCCGGACTGCTTCACCATTGCGCGAGCAAGCCGTTCCTGGAGTCTGTCATTGACTCTGGCTGAGGAGGAGCTTCTTGAAAGACCTGGTGCAGTGGGTTAGCTTCCTACGGCCGCCAACCAACAGTTAACTACCAGCTAAAGGACCAAACATACTAGGAGGCGCCATGCCCGCCCGGAGACCAGGCTGCTTCTCTGCGGGCTTCTCTGTCTTATCTCCATTCTGCGCGGCCTCGCTGTCGCTGTCGGCCAAGATGGTGTCCAGCCTGGACTCGACGCCAGCCACGGCTTGCTGTAAAAAAGAGCCGACCTTCCATTTCGACATGGCTCAACGCTTCGCCTCTGGCGTAATTCTTCGTATGTATCAGGTGTTCATCGAGCACTCGTGTTGACACGACGTCTATTTGCGTCTTTGGGGAGGTCGGAGGGGGGCAGGTCAGATAGTTATGAGATAGGCGACAGAGCAACGGTGGTTCAAAGGTCGAAGCTAACTATAAATAACCGATTGCCATTCAAGGTTAAGCATAAACGGTCGAAAGGCAAACCAGGAAATCCTCCTCTTCACTTCTTCGTCAACAAGGAAGCAGAATGATGCCGTTGTTCGCGGACAGTTTGTCCTTTAAAGATAACCAGGAAGTTATCCGATCTTGAGTCACTGATCTGGAGTCAGTGAAAGAGTCGTTACTAGTTTCACAATTCCTCAGCCTTCTGCCTGCAATGCAGACGCCAGCAGCCGACTATTTGACAACACTTGGTCAAAGAGTGAGATCGAGAATACTCGCAGATCTACTGAATTATATGGACATGGCAATACCCGAGAAGAGAGGCCTGGCCAGCTGCTAGTTTCGCATCGCTTTCACTGTTGATGCGAAGGCTGAGGAATGACAACGAGCTCGTATCCAACTGCTCCTGGACTATCGTCCCTCCTTTCCCAGAGAACCTGAACCTGTCAATCGGCCTTACCTGTGAGAAGCCAGCCTTTGAAGTGTTAACAGCAAGTGGGCTACTCTTGCCTTAGAATCGGACAGCTCAGGAAAGATATATTCTGCAACGATTACTCTCTCAAACCGTGATTTGTTGCTAGTTATTTGACGAGACACCTTCTAAAGCAACAACATGTCCAGGGTCGAGACACGATGGAGCTGTCTCAACTGGATGCTTCATTGGTAGATGATCTTCAAATACGATGGCTCATCAACAGTGATCAAGGAAACTATTATGTCTTTCCCACTCGCAACATGCATTCCTTTCTACATCAGTCAGGTCCATCAATATCAAGCCAGCCCGGACCACTATCAATAAATAAGAGGCCCAGTCAACTTGACTGAAAAATGAGATACCAAAGGGGCACGGGTTTAAGTACCCCTCATTGTTCATCCCTCCCCAGAGCCCAGGGCCACGTCGCAAGCAACCAATTCACTTCCCAGAGAACATTACGACCACAAGAATCATCCACTATGAAGTCCACTCTGCTCTACTCTGCGGCATTTGCATGTCTCGCATCCTTTGCTTTGGCTAATCCGTTGGCCAACACGAACGCTGGTATATCCAGACGCGATACCGCCGCCGCCATGGGGGCCTTGAAAGTATGCAGTGGAGATCGTCAGGCCAGCGCCCGCTGCATTGGCAATAGGCTTGGTCCACAGAACGGGTTTCAAAGTTGGTAAGGGGAACCCCCGTGGGTTGACGAGGCATATGATCTTTGTTGCATTTGATTTTCAGGTCAGAACTCTATTTGAAGTTTGTATACTAACCAATATCTCCCTGTAGCAAAGGCCACGGCAGAAAATGCTGTCCCGCAAACAAAGATGGTTCTGGTGGATTGGGTGCTTCAAAAGGCCTGGGACGACAGGATTGCGGGTTCTGCTTCAGTGGGAAATGTACAGCCTGAGCAGCCAAATGTGTCTTTGGTCAGAGTCTTGGAAAGTTACTGCGACAAACTTACTGGTCCTGTTATATTATAATGACCTGAGGAGATAACCATTTTCTCCCCTAATGTGTTCAATAATAACCAGCTAGGTTCATCTAGACCCTCGACACTGGGAGGTGAAAACGACGACTTAGTTAATAATTTTGCTAGGATAGGCGAGACCTAAGCTAACGGTAATTCGTTCCCATGCACTGGCTAGTTTTCATTCCACTTCCAAGCAACGCTCTCCCTAGTTACCTGCCTGGCCCAAGTAAGTTATCTACTTAGGTGACTCCAATCAATCATGTGACTTTTAGTCATCCATCCATCCCGTGGATAGGTGGATTTGTCTGCCGCAACCTTGATTAGGGCGGAAGCCCCTAATTTACTTGTTTGACAAAGCTCAGTTTGACTTCAATTTCTCGGGCATACTTGACTCAATATCATGTCAGGCCAACCCAATTAGGCCAAAGCAAGCTTCCCTAAGTGTCTCTGGGATCTGCTGTTTGTCAATAGAGGAGTTTCAGGCATAGTTTTTGCGGTTGACGAGCTATCGGTGATTAAGACGCCAACTGGGGGGAGGGGAGAATGCTGAAGAACTTCGGGTGGAAAGGGAGATTCTCGAGCGAATTGGGGACCATCCGCGGATAGTGAAACTCTTATACACTTATAAGGATCTTATTGTCCTTGAGCGGCTGAGATACCCTCTACGATTCGGACATGGGAGCTCAGGGAAGATGGCCGGACAGCTAGCCTCGATGAAATTTTGAAATGGTCTGCTCAAGCGCTGAAGGAATGCAGTATTTCCATGCAAAGGGCGTCTTTCAGGTTGATGTCGGTCTTCGCAACTTGCTGGTCGACTGGGACGATAATGTCAAGTACTGCGATTTCTCTGGAAGCTCAATAGACGGGAGCAGGCCGACTGTCGTTGTCAGCCCGACGGCCCAGCATCCCAAGGCCGTGATAGGGTCTCCTACGGTACAGACGGAACTGTTTTCCCTCGGATCTGCGATATACGAAATCTCGACTACGTTTAAAGCGTATGAGGGACTGGAGGAAGATGAACTACAAGCTCGGTATGCGAGGGGTGAATACCCTGATACAAGCCAGCTTCTTCTCGGCGGCGTGATTCTCAAGTGGTGGCGTGGTTGTTATTTCGACGCAGGGGAGGCAGCAGCAGAGATCAGAGACATCCAGCGAAGGATGAAACATGGGAATGACCTGGGTCTATCCATCAACGGCCTGATGGAAAGAAAATGGAGTGAACATACTCGAGGTAGGTAATAAGAAAATGCCTTGGGTGGCACATTGCCTCACTTAAATGACTAACAAATCATAGTATATATCCGCATGCAGTTGTTCATTGCCGCCGCTGTCTTCGGTGCCCAAGCCATGTTCCGAGCCACCACTATTAATCCCATAGCATAGTAAACGCCAGTCCTCTTATCAACGTTGCGTGATGGAATCGACTTCCCCTTCACTTTCGAGGCCCTCTGGTGGTGCTAGGGTTGACGTATTTCTAAGTAAATAACCTGTCAGCTTCTAACATTATAGATCTTTCGGGCCTATCTAATAGAGGATATAGCTATATAATATTTTGCGCTGGATTCAGGCAGGTTATACAATTTGCATCTTTTCGTGATGATCCAAACTGTCCGGTCTCCGTTGCATGCTCGTCGCAGTGCTGGTAGGTCCCTTGGCTTTGCGGGTTATCACAAAGAATATATGTTCGTTCCTTGACTACATGCTTTGGAACAGCAGTGCATCGAGAGGGAATGATAGGTATATAATAGAATACCTGCACATAGTTGGAGACGGAGTCTCGGTTTGACTCTAGAGTAGTGTTGGAAGGAGGTCCAGTTGATAGCCTCTCTCTCATCAAAACGAAATGCGAGAGCAGGGAGGACTTGCTTGCGGGGTTGCCGCTTTCCCGTTGCTGCCTAGCTACATATTATCAATTATTTACACAGTCTCTACAGGGGAGGGGTACTTTGACCCTGGAATGCCTAGGTAGATCTTCTAGTGCCTCCCTCTCCCCAAAAAATGGAGAGCCAATCTTCCCGCTTCCACATATTGATCCCTCTCTTTCAATGTAATGATCGTCCGGACAGTTGAAATCTATATCTGTCTGGCTACTTCCGGAGTACCTCGCCATGCGTCAAGTGCAGCGAGGCTGTCTAATAAATTTCGATGACTCTAGTATAGGGTATAAAGAGGATAAAGACCGGAGACATGCCCGATCTCCCTCTTTGCTGTCTCGTAACATCCGCCATAGCTTTTAGTGCTGCCTAGACTGTTCCTTGGTGAGGTTGATATAGTTAAATATCCAAGGATGTTTCGATCTTTGAATTAGGAGTAACTTGTTAGAGGCAACAGGCTTGGCGTGGAGCTCCCGAGTTGACGACGGCCATCGACGACAACGTCAACAACGACATCGACATCCAACTTCAGTATCAACGACAGCATCAGCAGAAGCGATAGCAGCGGACACTGACCGGAGCTCCAAGCTGCTGCTGAAGCAGACCGGCTACTCACCGAGATTCCCAGATATACATACAGACACAACAGTCCCGGTCATCATCTGGCAGCTCCAGCCATGTCCCTCGAACCACCAACCTACCTCACCTCGTTGCAGAACAACATCAGAGCTCGACCGATACCATGGGAGGGCGCAGTACGGGCAGGAAACATTACGGAAGAGCAGCTGAAACGGGTCAAGGCTGTTGATAAGGTGCGGAAGGACTCGAGACAAAAGACGATTGAGAAGGATGTGGCGGCATACACTTCGCTGCTGGCCGGAAATGGGTCGGAGAAGAGCATCTTGGAGTCTGCTACTCGACGGACTGATATAATACAGTACATTCTCGTCCTCGCCGGAGATCTAATTAGTGGTATGTATGACCGAATCGATAACTTGGTAGTCAACTTCTAACCAGGCGTGTCTAGATGTACCGGCTCTGACATCAGCTCTGGTGGAGAGCAGCGAGAGCTATCGACACTTCCTCCCTCTCCTTACCAACTCGACAAACTCGGAGGATCCGATTCCCCTGCTCACCTCGTCCCTGCTGGCCAACCTTGTCTCGGCCTCGCTCAGAGCTACCCCCAAGACATCTCCAAAGGACGAAGTTGCCCTGCCCAAGCTCTATGCTTACCTTTCCACTTTGACGAAGAGTGCGGATACGGGGCTACAGGATATAGGAGTGCAAGGATACTCCGCTTTGCTGCGGACAAAGAGATCAAGAGAAATCTTCTGGAAGGAGAGAAATAACACCGTCGAACCACTGATCGGGATTCTGCGCGCCGCAGCTGGACCAACCAAGGATAACGGGTCCTCTCTAGGTGGAAGTCGAGCTGGGGAAACCGGTATTAGCGGCGGAGTTGGGATCCAGCTTTTGTATCATGTGCTTCTTGTGTTGTGGCAGTTGAGCTTTGAGGGAGACTTGATTGGTGCCCAGCTTGAATCGTGAGAAACCCATGATAAACAAAAACAGCGTTGGACCATGCATCGACTGACGTGATATCCTAGGGAACATGAAATAATTGCACTGTACACCAACTTGCTAAGGCTTTCACCTAAGGAGAAGACCACTCGTCTGCTGCTTTCGACGCTCCGTAACCTACTATCCAGCAGCAAAGCGAATCTTCTGCCAATTGCGGTGGTGGTGCGTCTACCAGCCATGCTGAGTAACCTGAACAGCCGCCATCTAAGTGACCCGGACTTGCTTGAGGACCTTTCTGCCCTGAAAGAGATGCTGGATGAATATACAAAGAAGCAAACCACGTTCGACGAGTACGCTGCAGAAGTACAAGCTGGCCACCTTCGTTGGTCGCCCCCGCACCGCAACCCAACTTTCTGGCGTGAGAATGCACGCCGAATCCTGGATGAGGATGGAGGAAGTCTACCTAAAAAGCTGGTCGAGATCCTGTCGAAGGACTGGGAGACAGACAAGCAGGTTTTGGCTATTGCGTGTAACGACGTTGGGTGTCTGGTGAGGGAAGTGCCCGAGCGACGACACCAGCTGGACAAGCTAGGCCTGAAGGCGCGAGTGATGGCCTTGATGACTGACCGGGAAGAGTCCGTGAGATGGGAGAGTCTCCGAGCTGTGGGAGAGTGGCTGAGATACACGTTTGAGGGCTGAAGGGTGTTTTGTATTCTCGGGATCTGTCTATATATCTGCCTATCTTTGATCTCTTTTGGTCTCTCTTTTTGGCCTTTCTCTTTCTTTTCGTGTTTCTCCTTTTTGTACTCCCAAATCCTTCTAGAGCCCGCCTGCATCGACCATAACACCCGCCTGTCGGCTGCATTAGATCTTCAGAACTGCACAACAGAAACCAACCCCAGAAGTACGGAACAGAGATCCTGTTTGCCACCAAGATTAGAAGCCTCAAAAGACATCCCATTGGCCAGTCACCATGTTGCGAATCTTCAAGGTTAGCCTAACGCAGCAACACGTATTGGCAGAAGCAGGGCCAGGACGCCAGCCATTGGACAGGGAGTATTAAAGGCCGGTATTCGGTATGTTCCCTGTCGAACAAAAAAGCCATCTCATCGATCGAGAAACGGCCTGCACCGAAGAAGCAAAGAGACGTCCACTTCGTCTGTCGCCTTCGTCTGGGATGAGGGAACACCGCAGCTCATGGCCGCCGGTTCCCCGTATAAAAATATTTAAATATGCACTCTTCCCTCCTCCCGTGAAGTCCTTGACACAACATACGCACACTGCTCTTATCCTTACACTTACTCCCACCCGGCACATACGGAATATACACCCAGGTGTTCTCCATACACCAGGCGATCACATTCGACCTTCCACTTTCTGCCCCCAGCGGTGCCTGGGTTGCTTACTGTTGGCTGCAGTCAATGCATGGCGCTTTATGCAGGAACAAAGCGCGACTGACAGGCCATTAACAAAGACGAGCATTTTATCCCGTGTCCTGGCGCTGGCGCATGGCATAAAAGCAACCACCAAGGGACGAAGGTAACCTGGAAGTGAGGACCGAATTTCGTACGAAGGTACGAAGGAAGACGGACGGAAGACGAGAAGACGACCTAAAGAGCGGCCTGAGTGCCTGCCGTCCACGTGATTTTGCCTTAGCGCCGAAGTTCTTCAGGCTTCTCCAAATCAGGGGGTGGTTGGGCCAGGCGAAAGACGAGTCTGAGGAAGAGCTGGGGTGTGTGGGCGAAGACAAGCCCTGACAAGCCCTGGGGGCTGCTTTAAGGGGGGTTCAGTGCAAGGTGCTAGGGGTCCTATGGGCCAGAGTCAAAGGGCTAAGGGAGCGCCTAGGCAAGAGTTAACGCCGTCCTGCAGCCAACCAAGGCCCTTGCCCTGGTTGCAGAAGCCCCTGAACCAACTCCACCCCTCGTCCACCCGGTAAAAGGAGGAACCGCCAACGAGCAGGAGACGCCAGAAAGAGCGAAAAAGGGAGAGACAGAGAGACGGAGACGTCAAGCCTGGCCAATATGGCGGCTTTTCTATCGGAGGGGACCACTACGGCGCCACCAGGCGCCACTCCTGTCTCTCCTCAGAGCTGCTACTGGGACAGTACGCGCACTTCCTCGACTTCGAGTTTCTCTTCTCCCTACAACTGCTACCAGAACGACTCCAACTACGCATCTACCCCTTCGCCGCAGCCGGTGCCGCCGCCAATTCGCAGAAAGCCACTACCGCCCAACGTCGCTCCTTTGCACTTGACGGCTGAGCCAACACAGTCTAGGAGGCCGTCTGCGTCCTCCTCGGGCCATGATTCGCTTCCCCAATCCGCTACGTCGATCAATTTCTCTGTGAGAGACCTCGACAGGTTCGTACTCGGCTGTCACCCTTTCCACCCCCAGATGTACAGAATCTTGCTAACAGTGTACGTCTGTAGATTTCCACATGGGCATTCTCCAAAGCCACAATTCCCAGGATATACTCAGCGTCACCATCGAGTGAACCACTCTACCGCTTCTGTACTTGAGACGCAGCAGTTCCGGCAGCCTACGCGCGCCCGTCTTACAAGTGAACCGCTACTCTCTGGACGCAGTCTGAATGCGGTAATTCAGAGCCTCAAAGATCACAAACGGTCTTTCACCATGGCCTTACACCCTCCCCAGCACGCACCATCTGCAAAGCCTCCGCCTCTGAGCGTCGATTCTTCTAGTGTTCGGTCAATGTCTAACGGCTCCGTCGACTACAGACCGACACCAAAGACTCCAGGGAGCAAGATCACGTCCTTCTTCGGCTGGAAGACTAACGCTGGCTCTGCCTCTCCAGGTAACGAATCCTGTGCCACTGAGATCTCGGATTCCGCTCTCTCTCCTATACCTTCTCCTATGACCTCTGTGAATCCTTCCACTGCTGCATCTACCGTATTTACAAACACCCATCGTCCACAGGACTCCTTCTCTTCTGTGCCCAAAATGGCCGGCAGATCCCAGACCATGCCCATGGACGCCAGCGTGACTTCACGGCTAGCGGACATGGAGCACGAATTACGTGAGATCAGCTCGGAGCTGGCTGGCTCCATCCGTCGAGAGATGGAACTCGAGGATATCGTCGAGAGAATGCAACTAGAGAGCAGCGAAAGCGATAGAAGAGGCAGTGAATATTATTTTTCAGATTCGGGTCAGGGTTCCTCCGTCAAGGATCTAAGTATCAACGGTAGTACCAAGACCGAGGACATCGAGAAGCTGAAAAGGAACTATGAGCAGGAACGCGCGCAATTGAAGATTGATCTCTCGCAGAAATGGCAGGAAGAGCGTTCGCGAAGACAGGTTGCAGAGTCGCATGTCCAGCTTCTCGAGTCTCAAATCAGTCAGGTATGCTAATCCCCTTTAGTTCTCAATATGCGTTAGAATCCCTTTAGCTAAATGGTATCATGTAGTTTCGGCGGGAAAAAGTCGAGGCATCAAATGCTGCTGGGAAATCAAAAGAGCTTGAGGCTGCATTGGAAGATACCCGTCGACGGCTCACGGAGGAACGACAGCTGAAGGATAATATGGAAGACCTTCTTACTGGTATGAGGGTGGAACTCGAGCAACAGAAACTAGAGCGAGACCAGCTCCAGGCCCAAATGCGGCAAGATATGCAAAACCTCCGCAACGAAAACTGCCTTCTTTCGCAATCTCGGAAGGTACCTCCCGAAATGCCCCAATCACCTCGTATCGACTCGATCGCCGAAGAAGCTATCGGGATTGGTATCGGGCTAAGCAATAATCGGGCATCCGGCGGACTATCAAGATCCAACTCCCTGGCCAGAATACCCCCGGTTCGGAATGGTGTTGCCCGATCCGGTTCGCTCTCTCGTCCAGCCTCGATGATAGTGAAGGGGCCCGAATTCCACGAGTCGTTAGTAAATCAAATGAAGGATGTTGAGACTCAACGTGACGCCCTTCATCAAACGGTTAAGAGCCTACTCGAACGCCAGTCTTACCAAGCTCGACAACATGAGAAGCGTCTCAGACTAATGGAACTCGAGCTATACCGGGCTCGACAGGCTAACTCGCCCCGAAAGAGGAGTTATGAACGTGATGTTAAGAACCTGCGTGAGGAAATAAATCTTCTACGTCGTCGGGCGGATGACGCTCTCGATCAAAAATGGCAGTGTGAGAAGGGGCTTGCCGGGCTAAAGATGGATCTTGATCGTGCCGAACAAGAAACAAGCTCTCTCCGCGCTCTGCTACAGGACTATGATATCCCTGTTCCTCATATGGAGGAAACCGATGCAGGCGGGATGACTGATTTCCACACCACCGCCAGTTCCTTGGAAGAAATGTATGCACAGCTTAAGATTGAAAGGGAGAATGCCGAGCCAGGCTCACCGATACCAAATGAAGATCTCGAGAATGAGATCAAAAAACAAGTCGCCTCGAATGCTTCCTTGCGAGCCCGACTTGCCGACGCCATCAGCCAGGGTGAACGTGAACAGAAGCTTTCGGCAACCAAGATAAACGAGATGCAATCGAGGCTCAAGTCATTGGAGGAGATGCTCATGCTCGCACAGCAACGCTCGGAGGAAGAAGTTGGAAAGCATGAGCAGGAGGTTTCCGCTCTCATGGAAAATCACAATGCTCTCCTTCTCAGAGCCAAGGACGGTGTCCGAAGTCCAATGAAGCTTTCCCCCGTCTTGCCAAACTCACCCTTTCCAACGTCCAGGTCGCCTCGTCTCACCAAGACGACCAGTGGTGAAGCCCAAGGCCTGAACCAGGTGGCCCAAATTGAGAACCTCGAAAGCAAAGTTAGAGCCTTGGAGCAAGCTTTGAGAGATGCAGATGCTGAGATGGGAGAGGTCGTCAGTCGAATGAATACGGCACAGATGCAGGTTGCTGAACTGCAGTCAGATAGGTATGTTCTTTAATCACTCTAACGCGAAATGGTTGACTGTACCGTCTAACAATTGCAACCTATAGGGATGAAGCACTTCGCCAGACAAGAAGGCTACAAGCTCAAATACAGCAATGCTAATAATACTTAATAAATACGCAAAACATACTACCGCCTTCCGCCATAATACAACAGCCATCACCACCGCCCATAAACGAGCCATGAAGTCAACTACGAAACGATAGATGTCGAATAAACAACCAATCCTACCATCCCATTCTCTTAGAGGCTTAACATATAGACCGTGCGAGAGATTGTACGAGTCTCAATTACTCCTAATGTTTTATTCACCTATCTTTATCCTAAATTTTTTTTGTTCTTTTTCCATATCCCAGCATTGAACAGGCGCATTTTCACGTCGGCTTGGCTTGACATGGTTGATTCCCTTTTGGTCTTCTTCGATTTTTTGGAGTTGATTTCTCTATTTACTTCTCTTTCCCATACTACTTTTGTCATCTTTCAACTCTCTGCGTGTTTTATACATACCTTGAGGTCAGCCAGGGCCTCTTTGTTTTACTGTTCTACTTTCTTCATTTCTTTCTTCCCATGGAGGAATTAATCGTCACTCCAGGTTGGGAAGTGCGATGGTACCAGACTACGGATTTTCTTTCCTACTTTCCGCGATAACAGAGGTGGACGTCTTGCATTTCAACCCACCGTTTCAAATCTTGTATTCTAGCTTCCTTGTAACTTATGTTTTTCTCTTGCTGCCATTCAACAATCAATGCGATGCTACGCTATGCTGAATTCTTGCTCTTTCCATTGCTTGTCTGATAGGCTGCTTCTTTCCACTAACAGAGTACGGAGTATCAGATCACTATTGAGCAGAATAATGACATTACGCCAAGGGTCTCTGACAAGCCCTTGACGCAGGAAGGAGCTCTTCATTTGCCACTTTGAAACAAGAAAGGGCCAACCATTTCTTGCGCTTCTGGGCAAGTGCTGAATACGCTGATAATCGAAGCTAACGAATTTCGCACCAGCATGTCTGAACCCCGAGTTTCAGGCATAATAACTGGAACTATGGGATAATTCAGCTTGCAGTTATTCATACTGCAGGGTCGATATGACTGGGTTAGCTGCAGAAGATATCAAACTTCACTTTTACGCTTTTCTGCTCAATTGGCCCGAAAGTAGCCTACATTCAAGAACCACAAAGGAGAGCAAGCTCTTTAAAGTTGCCCCCAGTTAGTTACCGCCTCATGTCCAGTGAGGAGTCATGTCAAAACTAGTTGATAGCTCGGAAGTGGTGGGTTTCACTCATAATATGATACTGCAAGGACACCAACATGAAGCTCCCTCAAAGTGCATTTGCTCTAAGCATATTGTGCGCCGGATAGAGTGGAGGAGTATTATTCAAATGCAGCTCACCTGTAACCAAGGGCCCCTGCATATATATACAGATGGCAATATGGAACGTACTCTGGAGACCCGGGTTCTTGCTATTTTTAACGCAGGTCGCTTGATTGGTCTTGGCGTTGGCCAGTATGGAGACTATTGACCAATAAAACGTAACTTATGATTACATAACATACTATTTTGTCGCTAGCAGCCGCAAAGACTGCAAGCGCGTTACTTCATCAACAACACCTCGAATTTAGGCCCCAGCTTCTCATCGCTGCGCCCCATGGGATACATGCAGTCCTGGTGATACCCTGAGTACATTATCATTCTAGCAAAGCAGTATAGTAGTCCTTACTCTTTGTCTGAGCTTACACACAATTATGCCAATGGCTTACTCAAGATTTGAGTCTGTGCTTATGAGCAGGTTCATGACCAATTCACGCAATGCAATGCATTACACAACAGACAGTTGTCCCTGAACAGTGATATGTCTTGAATCACTATGTATCCAGTAGAAAAAGGACTGAGAAGTTTGTCTATATAAACCGCAGTACCACCATGGAGTTTTTCCTATCCAAACACTCAAACACACAGATCCTTTTCCAGACAAACCAGCTCAATCGCCCTGCTCCCTACAAGCCCCCAAAATCAAACATTTCTAAATATCCCAACCGACAAGATGGTTCAATTTACCTCTGCTATCATGGCTCCTGCCACTGCCGCCTTTCTTGTTTCTTTCCTCGCCCCGTCGGTCTACGCCTCACCAATTCAAATCAAGGATGGTGTAGAGCATGTCATTTCCTGCCTGGCTGAAAAGGGCATCGCTAGCGTAATTACAGGGGCTATTGTGGACGCCGCTACGCCTTGCATTGTTGATGCTATCCATGCCAAACGACACGACGATTCTAACGGATCCCCTCTTCGCGTTCCCGATTTAAACAGAATCATGACCGAAAATGGAGGACCTAAATACGCCGAGTGTATGAAGGAGAGCTATCCTTCCTTCCCTGATGTCGATGTCGTCGAGACTCAGGTTATCAAGGACTGCATCTACCTTACCCAGCCAAATGGCAAAAACTTAGTAGCTCGCGGCAAGTCTTATGGCTATGAGGCTTCTTGTACCAATTATAAGGATGCTAAGCACATCCCCCGCGTCTTTGAGGAGGCAGGACCATTCCGCGCAAAAACAGATCCTTTCTGTGATAAGATGAGACCGGCTGTGATCGACAAAGGCGAAGGTGAAGTCTACGAGGTACTGGGCGATACAACATTCAAATACGGTGACAGCGGTTTCGCTAGACCCCTTCTAAAGCACGATGTTAAGGATGCGCTTGGTCTCAAGACCAGGCTGACTTTGACAGACCGTGGCCGGGACCTGATCAAGGACGACGCTGCTGGATAATGTCGTTAACTATGACGTTCCTAACAGCTTGACTACCTATGTTCATCGAGTTGGCCGTACTGCCAGAGCTGGCCGGCGTGCATGAAGGCGGTGGCGAGTTCCCTACTACTGTTGCTAAGACTGGCAATCTGAAAATCTTTGACGGAAAGGAAGAGATTGGGACGCTCTTTGTGGACTTGGAGGTGATCAATGAATGGCCTGGACTTACCGAAGATGAGGAAAAGGAAGCCGAAGGTAAGCGTTAAAGCCTCTGAGGCCTTTCTCGCTCAGAGAAAATCATTCACGCTATCTCTATGATTTTCACAATTCAGACATTGACCTCCTGTCCTGCTATCCTGAGCGGTTTCCCTTCCCATCAGTCTGACTATCTTGACCTTTCCCCTTTTCCCCATCTCACCTTTCTAATTTTCCCTCTCTTCTTTCCCTTTGTTGTCTTCTACTATTCTATTCTGTATTAACATTACCTTTACTTGCAATTTACTTCTTATATTTATTATCTAGAAACAAATTATGCGCACTTACTAAGCAGAATCGCTTTAATCACCTGACACTAGATCTGGCCAGCAAAGTAAATAATTGAAGCTCGACGCTGGAGAAGCAAAGGAAAGCAAAGTACAACGGAGCTTGACTGGCATCACGCAGTTGCAGAATCATACCACAGGATATTTTTTCTGTATAGCCCAAGGGAGGACATAAGACAGGAGCCGGGCTGTTCGAGTTCTACTTGATCATGGCTGCTCTTGAAGGAGATTCGCCTCTGAGAGGTAAGACTGGTGTCATGACTAGCAAAACAATGCGTAGCGCTGCATAATAACCCGGCAACGAAACGAAGAGCTGACAGGCATACGTAGACTATATTCTCCCAGCGCTCAACCAACTATCGCGCCTCATCCCTCCACCAATGCTACAGAACGTATTCACATACATACAACTAGCCCGGGATCACTGGCATTCTGCCCAACTCACATACATCGAGCCATACCTCATCAGACCGTTAAATACTCTGCTCAACTCGCCTCCAGACCTCTACTCGGTACTCGCGCTGCTTCTTATCTTCATCATATCGCTTAAAATCCTGGACTATGCACGGAGGGTCATAATGTTTTGGGTCATGTTGGTGTTCCGGTTGGTGTTTTGGGGCGCGATCGCAGGAGTTGCATGGTATGCGTATAACGTCGGGTGGGAGCGAGTGTGGTATGACGCTGCGTGGGTGCTTGGGTTGCTGGAAGGGTTCATCCGGCAGCTGATAGCAAACGAGCCGCCCTCTGTTAGGAGCTCTCGGACAACGGGCGGGTGGCGATCGCAGGATCAATGGAGGAGTTCGCAAGGCAGGCCATGGAGATGAAAATTACGATCCATGCCGGCACGTCTGGGTTGAACTTGGGGCAGTATACTTCCTTTTCATTCATATTCTTATACTTTTTTTTTTTTTTTTTTTTTTTGTATTTGTATTAACTAGTAGTCCTTTTAAACACTTTTAATGTTCATGACACCTTGGGGATGGTGCTCAAACCGGTTCCATGGCAACCGAGTGGTTATATTCGTTTCCTTTCAAAGCTGCGGATATCCATGGCTAACCATGCGGTTATTTGGTCTTGCATTGTTTGCGATGGTCGCTTGTACCATCATCGCAGGCCATTATTGCACCATCTCCGCCTAGCGCGGCGCTAAGCTGCTTTCTTTCTTTCTTTTTTTGGCCGCGTTGTAATAGACCATCCACAAGGGTATCAATAAATCGGAAATAAGCAGATCATTCCATGTCCGCTTCGGCTTCGGGGTCAGCTGCGGGCTCTCTTGGCTCTTGCGCTTCATGGTACTGTATCGCGTCGTCAATATAGCTTAGAACGGCAGAGATGCTATCCTCGTCCTGCGCATCAAGCTTGAGGAATGAGACCATGCTAAAATCATCAATTAGTCGGGCAACAGCCTTATTCAAACGGTTGAATGAGCTACCGGTCAGGACCTCAGCGGTGGAAGACGGGTCTCGGCCAGTTGACTCCTCCTCGTTGCCAGGCTCTATCAAGTTGACATCCACCGAAGTGAACTGCTTGAGCTCCTTTTTACCAATGACACCCTTTATCTGGTCCATCTTACTGAGGATGTTCACGTGTGGTATCTCTAACATGATCATGGCGGACATGGCACTCAACGTTCCCGCAAAGAACTTGGGCCGGTCGACGACGAAAGAACTTTCCAGCAGGTAGGCGGCGCAGAGAGATATGTTAAGGGCTCCAGACCGGGACAGATATTGGACGAGCGACGGCAGGAGCGGGACATGAGTATAGAGCTCTATCTGGCCGGGCATATCGAATATGATCAGGTACTCTTCGCTCAGCGGGTCGAGGGCGTCGTTGAGAAAGTCGAGATTCTGCAGCAGGAACTCAAAACAGTACATCAGGCCGCCATTGGGGCCCAGGCCCATCTCCTCCATCACATCTTCGAGTGTGATCAGCTCGCGGATGTCCAGGTCGGGCTCGTAGGAGAAGCTCTCGGCGGCCGGGTCGAGGTTGACATAAAAGCAGCTGCGCCGAGTGTTCTGGAGGTGCTGGATGAGCGACGTACAGAAGGTCGTCTTGCCCGCGCCGGCCGGGCCCATGACCAGGACCCCGAACTTCGACATGCTGGTCCCGCGTATTGCTTATTTGCTAGGATTGTTCGGCTAGTTTCCTCTCCTCTTCGTTCCTTTCAACTCGTGTGTGGTTCTGCGGCGCTCGCCTCGCGGCTGGGATCGAGGCAGCGGGCTTCGGGGACCCGTCAGCCTTTCGGTGTATCCTGTCGCCTTTTCAGCTGTGCCTTCACAAGCCCAACAGCACTCGGTCAGCCCTCAGTCCATCCGTATCATGCTTGTATATCCGCTATCACCGACTCTCTGTGCCCGCAGTTGCTGTAGTTGCTGTAGTTGCTGTAGTTTTGTACAAAAATACCTAGTTTACTAGCAGGACCACCGCCTTTCCTCTTTGGGCTTTCTGCCAAACCCCCTCGGAGCCTTTTTTTTTTCTCTTGTTCTGCCGCCCCTCACCGCCTTCTCCTTTCGGCAGCCTCGTTTTTTTTCCTTCCGGGGCGCTTTTTTTTTTTTTTTTTTCTGCCCCGCCAGACCGCCCGCCGACTTACTTAAACCATCCGCCTTTTTTGCTCCCGCCTCCTCCTGGGCCCCTTTTCCCAAACCAAACCTCCAACTCAGGTCTCTTTTCTGGCTCTCCCTTCCACCCCAAGCAAGCACTTCTGCAACGCCTCCCTCAGACAGCGATATCGTCTTGCCTTTTTGCTCGTTCTACCTGTGTTCCCTTGCTCCTCTTCGCTAGACAGATATCTAGGCCGTCACAATGGGCAGCTTAGCAAACGGTGCCACTCAGGGCAACTTCCTCTTCACCTCCGAGTCCGTCGGCGAGGGTCACCCAGACAAGATCGCGTAAGTTGCAATGGTTGTCGTGTCTCCAGGCGTCTGCTCTGGCCGGCCTGCTAACAATTGAGCGCAGTGATCAGGTTTCTGATGCCGTTCTCGATGCCTGTCTCGCTGAGGACCCCCTCTCCAAGGTGGCCATCACCCCTCCAGATCCCTGTTGTCGGAAGTCTCTGCGGTCACTAAACCACCCACGAAAATCACAGGTTGCCTGCGAGACTGCCACCAAGACCGGTAAGTTGTATATGCTTGTCTCGCATTACGCTTGGCTTTTAATTTGTGTCTCTCCGACTGCTGACCGTCGCCATAGGCATGATCATGGTCTTCGGTGAGATCACCACCAAGGCTCGTCTTGACTACCAGAAGATCATTCGTGATGCCATCAAGGACATCGGATACGATGACTCTGCCAAGGGCTTTGACTACAAGACCTGCAACGTCCTTGTTGCCATCGAGCAGCAGTCCCCCGACATTGCTCAGGGTCTTCACTACGATGAGGCCCTGGAGAAGTTGGGTGCTGGTGACCAGGGTATCATGTTCGGATATGCCACCGACGAGACCCCTGAACTCTTCCCATTGACCATCCAGCTTGCCCACAAGCTCAACCGTGCCATGAAGGATGCCCGCAAGGACGGCTCCCTCCCATGGCTCCGCCCCGACACCAAGACCCAAGTCACCATTGAGTACGCCCATGACAACGGCGCCGTCAAGCCCGTCCGCGTCGACACTGTCGTCGTCAGTGCTCAGCACAGTGAGGAAATTACTACCGAGGTCCTCCGAAAGGAGATCCTCGAGAAGATCAT